ATGGAAAAAGCACCGGGTCTCGCACAAAGAATCGAGCCTCGGCATTGAAAGCTGTCATGACTTCTGACGGGGTTTTCATCCAGCTCAAAGAAAAACATCGCCGTCGCGAGAACCGCCCGGACGAGCGAATCTGGAACGGCGAAATTCATCTTGAAGATCTTTTCCAATGAGTTGATATCGTCTAAGTCGGGTATTGGACCGTGAATCTCATGGTCAAGTCGGAAGATATCCGGCTTCGAAAGGCGTGGAAGATAATTTAGTGCCTCGAAATAGCTTTGTTTGCCGTCCATCGAGGGAGAAAACATCAAGGCCCGGAGAAGACGTGGTAGAGCGCCCTCCCGGATTCTGCTGCGCCAGGCTGAGGAGGACTCGTGAATAACAGACGACCACCCGGTTCCGACCGAGAGAAGGAGATCATGTCTTTCTGCTGCAGGCCAAACTACACTTGACTCACGCAGAGCAATGGACAATGGGTTGTTTGCACGCACTCCTCCGTCCTGCAAGGGACCCAGACCAGGCAACACTCTTGTGGAAAAGTAACTTCAGAATGTCAGCTTCATCTGTTCAAGGGAGCACGGGGAAAGTAACTTACAACGGTGCTGCAACACTAGAGATTGCTCTGCCATGTTATAAACAGTATTAGCAACGCAAATCATCACAAGTTTGAAGTACGCACATCGGGAGTGGACTTACGCTTCTAACAGATGCAATTCCTCTTGGTTGTCGTTGGGAGCCACAAAGTCATAGGCAGCAGGAGCTGCATTCCGACCCACTCCTCGATAGTTTGCCATCGCACATGCCTTTCCATCGGAGGTACGACTTGCCACAACAGCCACTCGACAACCTGACGGGTTCACTGTGGGAACGTCAAAAATTCGACGGGCGGGATTGATGGCTTCTTGTAAAGTTTTTGATAATTTTCTCGAATCGTAGAGCCCGTGGGAGGTCAGATTGAATGCAGAGGCTAGCCAATGGGTGTAGCGAAGAATCGGGTTCCTGCAATCACGACGGAATATCTTTCGTGCTAGACTGGGAAACTTGAGGAAACAATTGGTAGTTGAAGTACCATTGATGAAGATATCAATTTCCGATAATGCACCTAGGGGTGAGTTATTGTCAGTGTTTAAGCATAGAAACTGACTCTCCCACCGGGCTTATACTTACCTACACTCGTTCCAGCGCACAAGTCTGGCAGCAATGCTATTGGTAGACCAATGCGTTTTTCCAAGGCGCAGAGAAGTCCCAACTGGATGAGGCCCCGGACGCCTCCTCCTTCTAGGCTGAGGATAACAGGGCGTTTTGTCGGAGGAAGTTGACGGATGGTCATCTTGCACTTGCGTTCACAAATCGGACATTGGACAATTTCGATTTGATACGCCCTGGAGGGTTCAAATTTCCCGAATATCGCCACACAGGTGTCACACAATGCGTGTGTACATGGCAACATATGCTCTGGAGGCCGAAACAAGCAAACAAAGCAGGTGGTAGTGGAATATAGGTTTCCTCCATGACGATGAAATTGACCAAGTGCATCTTTGCGAATAGATGAGGAAGTTCGGTTGACACTCAATTCCGCGAACCGTTCAACAAAGCGCGATCGAATACGTTCGGTGAGTCTCCCAGAAGGATAACAGTTCGAGATACCTTTACAATGAGCCTCGTATAGCATGGTAAAAACTACTGAGGGAGGGAATCCTAAAATCGTTAGCGTTGGTATTTAGTTGGGGACTGTCAGTCGTACCGTGCATGCCCGGTGGATAAGCATCCATCAGAAAAGCCGACGCGACAACTTCGACCAATCCTTCCGGAACAGCACTATGGTTGACAGAGGACATCGCGCTCTGCAAGAACTCAAGCAGGAATTCATCTTTCTTCTCGGTTTGGGGGAACCCTATGCGAGCTTGAGCCAGCAGATCTAATGGCGATGCTTTCCAGAGCTGGCCATTGACTGGAACACTTGCATTCCAGAGTGCGCTCAGATGAAATGCAGAAAACCGACCACAGACTATCTCGTCTTCGGCGTGAACTGACTGCAGCTTCTCAGATATAAGGGCCCACAACGGCTCAAAAGCGATCGTGTCAGAAAGACTAGATCTTGAACTCAGATCTAAGAATGTGATCCTTCCTCCCTCGACTATCTGACGCAGTTTTTCATATCTTGGTGAGGCGATCGCTGGCCCGTGAATGTTCTTATTGAATATAATGATCACCTCGGGTGAAGATCGAATAACTTGACTCCCGACTTGCAGCTGCCTATGTGGTTGCTGGAGCAAACTTTGCGTGGCTTTGAGATCGGATTCGGATTCGACAAACAAGCACAAGACCCGAGTCCATGGTAGGACGAGCTGTCTTTTTGTTTCTTCCTGTATTGATTCAGCGGAAGACAAGCCTCCCGCCTTCGAGAGTGCGTATTTTCGATGCTTGGTGGTCGCGTGTCTGAGCCATTTGGTATCGCCAGTATTGTGCTGTAAGCATAGACTGCTCTCAGCAATCATGAGAGGGGTATCCGTATTGATAGCCTTATGGTCAATATGTAGGCGGATCAGCCCATTAGCACCCTTGCGGGTGACATTATTTTGTGGAAGGAAAGATCGTAGGGCTCTGATTCGGCTTTTATGACCTGCAAAGTAAATTAAATCCGGATATTGGCGTTCAGGAAACGGCATCCCCTTCACAAGCTCTCCTAGACGGTCCGTATCAACGACAGTCCAATCCTCTCCTTCTCTGATAATATCTAGCCAAGCCGCCATCACGAGTGCTAGCAGCCTCTGGGTTAGGAAGGCAAGTTATAAGGCTGGTAGGCTCTTATATCTGAAAGTTCGTTCTAAACGCCGATTGTGTGGCCTCATATTCATTTCTTGATCCAGAAATCAGCAGCATAAAAGTGGTTTCAGTTGTGCGTCTCTCAAAAGCTCCCTAATATTTACGCCCAGGAACACATATTATAGGCTCATGATCATAATTGTGATGAAGCCATTACAAATACTACTTCCGTCGATTTCGTATTGCTTGATTCCCAACTACTAAGCTTCGAACCCGATAACACTTCTTAATGTTAGCTGAAATTCATATAAATATGCCACATAGTATTGGAATTCGACAGGTAGAGATCTTCTTCTTTACAAAATCCAGGAAGCATGCCTACCAATTCCCAAGAAACGCTGATTTCGTCTCCAGCCCGAATTTATCCAAGGGAGAATGTTACCTTGGCCAGAGAGACCTCTCACAGTCCCAGCGACGCCAAAGAAGACCAATATTTAAGAATGCTCAAAGAAGAGGATCAAATGGACGTAACCTTCAACATCACAGCAAGTGCGGCCAACTGGTCGCTTCTAGCCGGATACCTCGTCATTCCTGGTACCTTCGCATCACTCCAGACATCAAAAGAAATCGAACATGTTTTGACGTCCAACAAAACGGGCCGCGTTATATTCCACACCATTCAGAATCCACCATTGCTCGGAATTGCCTGTTTGTTCCTCGTGAGCGGCATAGCAGCAATGCTGTGGCTACTCCACTTCCCACACCTAAGGGGCAACTACGTGTGGCTGACGAACAAGATTTTCATGTAAGTGGGACTTGGGTACTGTAATGGCCAGAAAGTAGAAACAGCAACTAACTAATATGCCAGGCCAGTGACTTTGAACGCCGGTGCGGGACTGCTTACCACCTTGATCAATGTCTTCGCATCAAATGGAGGAATTTGGTCGGTGATGGCTATAGTGACAGCTGTTGTCACTGGGGCAATATTTATCATCTTTTTGGCTGTTTTGCTAGTTTACAAGCTCTATAAACTACCACCATTCAACGGACAAAGAATTGGTCTCCAAAATCCCGCACACCCACGCATGGAAGATTCCGAAACATCTGCAGCGGGTAATAACAAAACCTGAAGAGTGAACTGTTCTCTTACTGCGGGTGCTTTTTGAGATTCATACGGCCAGGGAGCTATGAGGATGTATGTTGGAAACTAAAACAAACCAGAGTTTGGGGATTTTTCCGGGCCCTCGTCATGCGTTTTGTCCCGACTCAGATATGGATTTGACTTATCCTCTCGGCAGTGAAGAAATTTGAATTAATATTGCAGAGTTTTTGGACCATATAAGCATAGCAGCATTGTAGAAACCAGGCTTGTCTATTGCAATTGTCTGGCAGGGTAGCTTAAGGCCATTTCTTAACTGATTATCTACGATCTCACATCAGATTGTACTCATACGCTTGCTCGCGAAGGAAAGATATGACATCGCTGTCATTATTTATGTACTACGAAGAGGGCATGTCACTTGTATATCAATCTCTTCGGATCCAAATATCAACGAATTGTACAAATACTCATCGCCTCCCTCCCCGCCCTTTATATGTTGTACGCCTATTTGAGGATGACACAGGCTCTCGCTGCAAACAGTCGGAGTTCGGCCCAATCTGACTGTCCTATCTAGGCCACAGCTATAGATAAAACAACTGGCTGAACTAAAATTTCATCGCTGTTTTCCAATCTGTGAGGCTGCTGATAGATACATAGTTGCCGAGTAAAACACATACAGAGCGCTGATATGTAAGCCTGTCCCCGTTGCCAAAATTTCACTGAATTGACACTCTAACCCAAACTATGCTTTCAGTCAGTTTCTGGAGGTTGAATAATTTCTTTTTCGGATTTTAATCTCTATTATTCCTTATCTGGAAGATATCAGCCGCCCTCCGTGGGGAGGCCTCATCTTAATATCAGGGTGCGCAGAAAATGTACTTGATGATATAAGATTCACAGTTGATAGTCGATCTATTTTATTTCTGAGGTAAGTGCTTGCATAATGCCCAAGGAATGTTGAAATCTCTATTTTGATGAGCACCCATGCATAGCTGAAAAGTTTTCTGATATATGGTTTACGTATAATCATGATTCAAAGCATAGATCAGCTGTTTTTAGGAAGAATATAAAGAGTCCTGGTTGTATCCCCATGCATTTATCATAAGATTTCATTTCTCACCATCAGCCACTCAAAATGTCACCTCGTCATTATAAAGGCCCAAAGAACGGCGTCATAAAAGCTCAATCAGCGGTTAGGGGCGATAAAAAACTCTCCAACCTCGCAGACCAGGGTCTTTTGGCACTTGGAGATATCATTTCTCGGTCCAAGAAAGATGATTGCGCGCAACAAGCTGTATCTGTCGGTGTGATAAATGAATTCACAAATCATGAAGACGCCACATATCATCATACGAGTACCACAGATGAGCAACGCCCCGAGCCCAAAGATCAGACTGAATAACAGAGTTTGAATGCAATGAAGCTCCTGCGGATGCATAAAATCTCAAAGCAGATGATCATGACACAACATGGGCAAGAAAAGGTGTCGGCAACATTCCTTTAAATCAATCTCTTATTGTTTGATCCCGTGCGGCCTTGATACAAGTGACATGAAAGTTTCAAGACGTGTGGTTGAGCAGGCTGTCTATTTGTTGTTATACAACCTTCCAGAAAAATTGAAGAACACGAAGCTTTTTACAATATGAAACCCTTTTTTCGGCAATTCAAATGAAAAGATCTTCACTATAGAACACCACCACAAGACAAAAGCCTCAGTGCCGCCGCTAGAAGATCAGAGAACACTCTCAAGCTAAATGTTCTTTCCCAGACATAAGTTTTGCTAGATTCAATGATTGATGTAGAGGCAGCGCAATCAATATCTCTTTTGTGCTATTTTACTCTACATCCAACAGTGCTTCTGAGAAGAAATATAGACAGCATCCCTGGTGGAATTTAGGTTATGACTCTGTCGCTCTCATAAGAACAAGCAGTCCTGATAGCATTCAAATGAGAAATGATTGCGCTCCTATGAATAAATACCGCCCACTTCAGCCCTGGGCATCATATTTGAGCATATATCCCTGTTATACAGCCCAGCCGACGAGATTCATTTATACGCCCTGGGATTCCTCCTCTCTGCCAATTTTATGCCACCCTTGATCATTTTGTTTCACGGAGTCTGGCAGGCTCTTATGGATTGGCTTGGGGTATTGTAATTTCTTGAAAATAGACGGTGAGCACAGGGCAATAGATCTATTTCAGACAACCAGTGGATAATAAGACTTACTAGCTGATCTTGTGAAAGCGGCCAACCTTCCAAATTTGTCACCAGTGTGTAAATTTGGCCAGAACCTTTCATCCGAATGCTCAGATGAATATCAGCAGCACATTCAGAACTGTATTCAGACAGCTTTCTGAAAAGTGTTTCCCTTCTTCTTCGAGCTTTCTGATTAGATGCACTTCGGGGTTTTATAAATGGCCGCGGAGAATTATTCATTGTGGTAGAGAAGCTTGGAATTGGATAAGTCGTGACGGTCAAATTTAATCTGAGACCAGGCACGTCCTACTATATAACTGCTTGGCTGTGCCTAACGAACATTTATCTCAATCAAAAAAGAATGTTCTATCAATGGACCGACCGATTTTCACGGTTCAACGAGCGGTATCAGCTTCTGTGAAATTTCAACGGTTTAGCAACGAACCGGCATCAACGATTATATTCCTTCCATTGAAAACATGAGGGAGGGCTCGTGCAGTGTTGAAACGCAATGGCATGGTGGTATCAATGGTCGTATCATTTGATTATTACTGCTCGACAAAGCATCAATTTTGTATGATGTACCTTGGTACATATACCAGTTGAAAAAATTGAGGCCGTATTCCAGACTACCACAGGTGCGTCATAATTGGTTGACGGTCTCACATTCGACCATGATGGTCCGTGGGATACAAAAGAATCAATTGCATCTAAGAGCAAATGCAATAGGCAAGACACCAGCAATTATTTATTCGAGGTTCAGTGGTGTGTCTCGTTTAGCGGGCGACATATTCTGCATATTGAAAAATTTCAGTTCAATTCTCATACATAGTTTGAAACAAAAAGTCTCTCCTTGTGTGTTGTTGCCTTATGGTTGCTACTACGAAGCTTCTAGGATTTCCCTGAGCCTGGAGATTCTGTGGAACCCATGAGACAGGCAAAAAAGCGTCTTGGAGAAAGTAGTTCAAAATGTGTTGGGATTCCTCGCTTTGGTGGCTCCGCAGCTTCGGAAAGCGCCAGACCGGTCACGGCAACAGCTTTCATCCTTAACACCAACATTGTACCCCCTTCCAAGGGTTGCAAATGTGGCTGCCATGGCTTGCGTCCTACTTTTGCCGCCCAGAGGCACAAATCGACTCCATAGAGGTGTTATTGAACCTATTGACGACGGTAGAATCTAAGAGGTTCTAGCTCCGGTTGGCTGAACAGATAACGGGGATTTAGCTGGCCTCCAGACCACATACTACATTTGCCAGCGTAAAATCAATTACAGTACTTTACTTAAACATCCAGTAAAACAGTACTGCATTTTACTGGACATATCAATTTTCATTCATGTACAATATATCAGATTCTAGAGCCTTCAATGACGATTAGTGTCACCAGCCGATAAACCCACATTGTTAGGATTTGCGCCAAGCTTCACAAGCACCGCCGTATGCTGATTCGTATTGTCAAAATCATATCTCAAGGCTCTGTCGAGCTGTTCCTGACTAGCAAATGGGCTGAGATGTTCCAAGAGCTGTTCCTTCATCTCACCTTGGCCGGCTATGATGTGCTCCAAGATAGAATGACTGACGCCATCGCGAGCAGTAAAGACCGCGCCATGTTTTATTAAGCAGTCAATTATTTCTCTATATCCAAGGTAGCCTGCTTCAATGAGTGGCGTATATCCAAACAAGCCTCTGTGGTTGACTTTCGCCCCGACAAGGGCTAGTGCATCAAGCATATTCACAGAGCGGGTAGATATCGCATATGTCATCGCGCTGTGACCCATACAGTCGAGCTGGTTGACATATTCAGCTTGCTCTTGCCCGGACATTCCTTTTAAAATCCGGTGAACGACGTTGAAGACCTGCGGAGACCGGCTTAGGATGGAAAGATGTAAAATGCTCATCCCTAATTTGTCCGTATCAAAAATAGCACACGGGCTTCGCTGTAAATACAGGGCACCAATTCCTTTGAAGTCTCGAAGAACACAGCTATGTGAGACTGGCCACTGGGATTTGGCACACTCAAAAATAATGTTCTGCATGATCCTTGCGGGACAGTCAATATCTTTGAAGATGTTTGTCAAGATACAAATATCTCTTAGTAGTGGTTGCTCACAATTTATCGAGCTTTGAGCAATCTTGTATAACCATGACATTTGCCACTTATTTTCGTTGAACAGTACAGCTAGAAAATTCAGATTTCGAAGCGTAGGGCCCACTTTGTGCGTGAGAAAACCGAGCGAGGCAAGTAAAAAGTCCCATCTGCAGAACACAAACGAGATCGTGTCCTCAAGTGACAGGTAGTCCAGTATGTCGTATAATAACTCAGGAGGGAGCGAAAGAATCGCACTGGTAATGTCGCTTGACCGATCGTTACTAGACTTTAGTTGCTGTTCCATCTTCGACACTCTGGCTTTCAAAGGCTTGACCCGAACAAGCTGTTGGCGTTGATGTCGATGGAAGTTCTCTAGCGTGGGGCTCAGAGGTTTGAATATTAAAACAGTTTGAAAAATACTAATTATGGCTTCTGAATATCCTTCCCATTCAAATTTGATGTCGACAAGGAAATTGAGTATGTTATGCAAGCGTATGTGATGCTATCTCGGTATAAGTGAGGTGTGAGCGTCCGCCCTCATTTATACTTAACATATCAGATTTGTGTCAACAATATGAATGATGCATTTTGAAGTCCAAAACTATCTGCGGCAAAGAAATAAATTTTGCTTCTGATTCCTTCTTCCAATTTCGTCAAATATCTATGAACTTGATTCATGATATTCTTTATGCTGTCAATCCACCATTCAGGTTAGTCTCAAATTAATAAAAGGGGCATATATAATGGCTTCCTGTTACTATTTGAGAGATATCTTTCCTGGGATATCAGTTACTCTTGGTTAAGTAGACGAGCTAGCCCGGCCTAATCGGAGATATATGGGTTAGTACTCGGTCGGTGATCTACCCCCGCCTCTCCTTATTTTAAGAGTGGAGTATACAGCGGATTGGGCCTTGCCTAATATTATTCATAAGATTTCCCTCATACAGTAGTAAGTAGTATTCGAAAACAGATTCCCCCCGAAGACACACTCGTTTTCTTTCCCAGCGACCCACTAGAGTGTCAACCCCGGATCGCCCTGTTTCATGTCGCTCTCACAGCCAATCACAGCTACTAAAATTCCTAACAAGGGGCTTTCTAGCCAAATTAAGCTTAGAATGGGGCGTTGGGAAAGAAAGCGTATGTGTCTTCGACGGGAATCTGTTTTCGAATTCCACTTTACAATCCCGCGATAGCTCTGGTAGACTGATTTTAGCGGAATGATTTAAGACCATATTGTAGTCCTCAATTCCTCAGAGCTGTATGAATCCTTCTCTCAGCTGAATTGTCTTAGCTTGCGAAAAGAATACCACGAGGCTAAGCCGCGGGATTTAGGCAAACAAGTACGCCAGAAAAACTTGTAGAAAAGACGACGTGTATTGAGGTGTGTAAGCTAGATCGAAGGCCGGTCTCATGCAAGGTCGCTTAGGGGAAACACTTCTCGTATCGCAGGGGATACCCAGAGTATGCTCACACATCAGCTCTATAGTCAGGGCCTTTGAAACACTGCAGTGGGAATTTTTCAATCATCGTCAGCTTCAACAACACTCTTTGTCGCAAAACAAGAGGCACTTGAGCATTTCAAATCATAGATCGAATCCGCTTGTACAAGATCAATTATCAGTCATTCATCCAAGATACACTTCTTACCTCCATATACTCATTCTAGTAGGCATTGATCATGCATAAGATCAATATGAGGATGGGCAATAAAAATTCCTACGAGACTCAATTCAGGGAAGCCTAGAGCTAATGACAACTACATCGATGCCCAATTTCTTATTACGGCGTTGCCGCTTGGACTTAAATCTTTTCTCCGTGTTTCATACATTGCGTTTAAGAACACCAATAATCTAACAGTCATCGAATAAATCTATAATGGGCCCGAAAGTACATGAGTGTTCACAAGGTCAGCCTGATGATATATCATACAGACATATTTTGCCAAAGAGATCCAGTCACAGTGGAGTGAAAATCAGAAGCATGTCGCTGGAGATGCATGATCTCTGCGAACTCCTCGCCGCAGAGTTTGCATTCAATTGGGTTGCTTGACACAATTTTCTTGAGATGCTTGACCCGGATATGTTTTGTGACGTCTCCGTGTGAGGCAAACTTTTGCGTACGCTTGGGAACGTCCAGATTTGGTTGCCCCAGGCAAATAAAACAAAATAAAGGTCGATGATCTTTCATTGCAGATCGAATAGCAGACTCAAGAGGGCATTCTTGCTGATCGATTGTGTCGGGCGCTTCATTTTTCAGTTGGGAATTTTCACTAGAATCTTTTGGTCGCTTTTCCCGAGGCAGACGACAAGTGTCTCCCTCCTGAAATTGGGAGTATTCGGCTACTGCATTAATTGCTTCAGTTCTTCGAAGCGTCTCCTCTTCTATCGTCGAGCGAGGTAAAGAAAGGAGGCTGTTGATCAAGCGTTGCTGCGGAAGAGGAACATCGTTCGAGCATTTCAGAGGCTTGGGCGAAGAATCTTGTTGTCCGATCCCTGACAACTGACGCTTGATCTCCAGCATAGGTTGCTCTCTGTCATATATTTCTTGCACTTCCTTGAGAAGTTTATCATATTCTCTCTTTTTGGTCCCTGCCAGCTCTTGGTTCAATTTTCTGTAGGCTTCATATCTTGGTGTTCCTTTGTGCTTTGATGGGGGGCCTTGAAAGGATCGAACGATCTCATCACGCTGACGTATCAATTTTTTAACCACTGTCAAGTGATTGAGAGAGAAGGATTGCTCGGTAGTCAGCCTCTGTGGACGATTTGGATCGATAGTGCGACTCATCCGGCAGGCTGCACGCATGATATCGTCTTCTGGGTCGAGGCCGCGAATTATTGCTGGCAAATTCTTCGAGATTCTTCTGCTGAGGTAGAACTTTAGAAATGTTCTCGTATCGGCATGGTGCATGACAAGATTACGCATAGAATCACTGACCGAGCCTAGAAACGAGTCAGCCTATCGCGTCTAGGGGTCGATTCAGGTTTCTTACCACTACTGTCAAGAGCCGTTCCTGCTCCATAGCGTAAACTATACGGACGTGTCACCTGTCGGATGCCTGTGATCACTCCAATCTTCTTGACCCACGGTTCCAAGGTCGAGTAAGGAAGAGGTCTAGCGGGAGAGATACCGATCCCGTTCAAAGTCCTTTCCGACATCCGGAATACTGGTACATCATCCATCGTTGAGTCAAGTTGTAGTTTTAGCTCATTGCACTCTTCGCGAATTCGGATCTGAGGAAGCTGACTGGCGGACACAAGTACTTCTTCTCCGCCAACGCGATCAAATGCACGATCCGCAAAGAGAAGGCCTAGCAAGAAAACATGAGGGCTTAGCACCAACGAAGGATCAAAAATGATTTCTGGTAGAATATATGTGTTCCTGGAAACGTTTCAGCAAGAGTCAATGGTATGGTATTGTGTACTCACGCATCTTTAGCGCCCAGCCATTCCTTGGTGAATTCAAAAGTAAATTCTATCACAATACGATGTGGCCCGCCTCGTGGATCACGCAAGAGGCTGACTTGGATGTGACGGTATCGCAGATTAAGAATGGCCTGCGGCCGGTTGGTTGTGAGACCTGCTAGCTGCAAAAAAAGCCCAAGCTCTATGCGGTGGCGGCCATGCCCGAACTTTTTCTCTGTTGTGCTGATTGTAGTTTCCACAACCTTGGCCAAATCCTGAACATCCATAGGCGGCTTATCCCTTCCTCTTTCCGACAATTTATACTTCTTGGCTAATCTTCGAATTACCTATTTCCGAAAGTGTCAGTCATGGAGAAGGACAACACAGCTGAGATGAGAGATGGTGGGAGCTCATACTCGCCGCATCTGACGGTTCATTTGATTACCGATTTTGTTTGATGTGAACCTTTCGTGAACCAGGCGAAATACTTTCCAGAACGTATCCAAGGAGCTTTTGCACTTGATCCCCGGAAGCCTTCTTCCATTCTTGCCGCGTCGCAAATTGAGAGTCCATTCGAGGAAGTTATACAGAATAGGAATCGATATGCGACGGTATTCCTCTCCGGGCTCCTTTTGAATGAAACGACAGAACCTTGCGTTTATATTTGTCAGCTGAAGAATGGGACGTAAAAGGAAGGATTACATGCAGCACTCACTGGGTCCATTTTTCCTCGACGCGGTCGAGAAGGGTCGTGGTGCCTTTTCCGTAGTCTTCCTGAGTATAGATTGCCTCGTCGAAGGTACCAAGTTGCTTGATGTAGTACTCCGGTGGGTGCTCGTTGTCTGCAAAGAGTAGGGCAGCGTCACTGGCATACTCTAACTGAGCTTCCTTGTCCTCAGGCTCGGTAATATCAGTTTCAGAGCCGCTATCACTGTCTGTACCAGAGAAGTCACTTCCACTTGGCGACTGGCTATATGGATTGCGACATTGACGGCCCATCATGTGATGATAATGTCGTCAGCATGCAAGTACAAGCAATTCGCAGAAGTGACTGAGGTGTGCTTTGGAAGTGCAAAGCAGTACTAGACCTTAGGCGAGCAAGATTGACAGGAAATTTCGAGGACAGAGACATACCCTCCTATTTATAGGCTGAAAACTTTTCAAGGGAACTTATGGTACCGAAGCCAGGAGCCTGAAGGGATTCCGAACTATAGAAGGATGTGGGCGCTGAAGTGGATCCTGCGGAACGAATGAAAGGCCACTGCGGTGCGGCTACGGTTCGCACAGTCCGCAGCGCGACGGAGAATGGGTGCGTGTTCAATAGGTGAGAGTGAGTGGCAGGAAAGTTGGCAAATGGGCGGCCAAAAACGGCGCTCCGGAAGGCCATTTTCGGCTGTCTTCTTGCCGTCTTCTAGTTTTTAGTAGTATATATTTAAGAGCTTTAGGGCCAATATGGCCTAATCTTCTATGCCAGTTATTTATCTCTATATCTTTATCTTCTAGATATAGTAGCTTATTTTGATATTTTATATTATGTATCTTATTAGGATATAGTATATTAGTATTGGTTTTATATAGGGTATCTTTATATCCTTTTATTGTTGGTTTTTTATTATTATATATATATACACTATTTTCTTTGAAAATAGATATACCTTTTAGTCTATTGGTACTTAGTATATTAATACCTAATTCAGGCATATATAGCACATTATGCATTATATATATATAGTTTAGATTAGTCTGTATAATAACAGTTCCTTTATATTTTATTGGTATTTTTAGTGCTTTTCCCCAGTTCACTGATTCATTTACTGCTTGTTTATAACAAAAATAATTTAAATTTGTAATAACAGAGACAGTAGCAGCAGTATCAATAACAAAATTACAAATAGGTCCAATCTGATAGGGCAGTTTGCCTAGATAACCTTTATTATTTGTAAGTATATTTTTGTTATTTTTAGTATTAGGGGTATTATTAACACTTACATCATTATCAAGATCTAATAGAAGATTATCAATCTCCATATCGATATCCTGAATAGGTATAGTGTCAAAATTATCTGAATCAGACAGAATAGTATTAACAACAGCAACTTGATCGTTATTTTGTAGGTTTTTGTTTTTGTTATTTTTGTTGTTTTTGTTGTTTTTGTTGTTTATATTGTTTGTAGTGTTTGTATCGTTTGTATCAATTGATTTCCACCAATCTGGACGCTTATTAGGGTATAGGAAATAACAATCATTAACATTATGATTGGTTTTGTGACAATTTTTGCAGAATTTGCCTTTATAAGGCTGTTTTTTCCATGGTTTTTTGGTGATTTTGTTTGTATTGTTTTTGTTAAAGAAGGAATTATTAATACTATAAATAGTATTATCTTCTTTTCCACGTGATTCATCAATAAGTGATTTTATTAGTGAATCAATAGTATATGCCTTAGGATCATTACGCAGAGATTGTGTAATATTTTGTATAAATCCTGAATAATCTTCGTCTAGACTATTCAAAATCCAGGCAATAACTACCTGATTAGGCAGTATAATCTCTTTAGATTTTAGGTCACTAATAAGCAGTTTTACCTTATTAAGGTATTGCTCCATAGTGTCAAAATCTCCCAGAGTAGTATTAAAAAATTCTTTTAATACTAGGAATTCAGTAGTAAAACCCTTAGGATTAAATAATTCCTTTAGGGTATTCCAGGCCTGAATAGCACTAGTTTCATCCTTTATATATAATAAAGGATTATCGTCACACAATAGCTTAATAATAGCTAGTGCCTTCCTGTTTTTTGCAGGAGTTATAGTGGTTTCATCGGATATTGTTCCATCTGGGTCTAGGGTATCGAACCCTAAATCCTCTTTGACCAATAGAGCGTAGGCCCTAATTGACCATGTAGTATAATTTTCGATGCCTGAGAGCTTAGGCACCTCAATTTTTTGAAGATTTGCCATAGTATATAATATATATATATATATATAGATATATATATATATCAATAGGTTTTGTATAATTTTTTTTTTTTTTTGAGGTTTGTTGACATTTTGGCCAAAATACGGGGGTATCTCGGATTTAATATTTTTAGACTTCAAAAGTTCCCAAATAGGAGATAAATAAAAAAGAGGGCAAAAAGTATATATAAAAAGGTGGTATAGCCAGATATAGACAATCCGGGCTCATAACCTATAAGACTGCAAAGGTCTTACTAGGCTTAGGGGAATATAGATAAAGGAGGAATTATTATAGATAGTTGATTACTGAGTAATCAATAAGATTAAGGACTTAGTTGCTTGATTATAGAGGATTCTGATTTATGTGTATTATTATTTCTAAAGGAAAGAAGGCCCTATTTAACCTTAGAATAGTTATACCGGATAGCTAGTATTCCAGCTATCCGGCCGGTTATCTAGCTATCCGGCCGGTTATCTAGTATACCGAATATCCGGTCGGATACTAAGTATACCGAAGATCTGGCCGGCTACCTAGTATACCGAAGATCCGGTGTTTTTTAGGGTTACTAAGCCTTTTAACTAAATCTTAGTTATATCTTTAACTAAATCTTAGTTATATCTTTAACTAGATCTTAGTTATATCTTTAACTAGATCCTAGTTATATCTTTAACTGGATCTTAGTTATATCTGTATAATATTCATAATAAGCTTAGATACTATATTACCTAGATAGTGTATTAATCTAGGTAGACCCCCTAGATATAACAGGCTAGGGCCTAGTTGATATTATATAATAGTATGTAACCTTTTTCCTGCAGGAAACCAAGGTAGACAGATATAAACAACTCTCCTTCTCTAGGATTACTGTAAACAGTATACAGGCCTAGCCCTAATCGAACAGTCATTGCTATAGCTCTTTATACTAAGTAGCCTACCTTAGGTACTATATTATAGGATTTAGAAGTATACAGCACCCCAGACGTTTGATATCAATCCGTACTTGAATCCCCTTCGAGCCACCTGTATATCGAGATCTACTCAAACCCTAGTATCTTTAAGATCCTATAATTATTCAGAATTCTTAATCTCTTTAAGAATCAGTCTGTATATCAACTGTCCAATCTAACTTCTACTATCCGATACCCTTACCTAGTTACAGATCTCTAGCCTGACAACTTAGTAACTATTACAACCTGGCTGCTTACCTACCTTATAGCCTACCTTCTGGCCTACTATCTGGCCTATCAACTGGTCAATTAACTGGCCTATAAACTGGTTAATCAACCAAGACTACTGCTACTATACTAGAGTAAAATTGATTAGTTATCTTATAGAACATTCTAAAGAACCTACTTAGGCTTATACTGCCTATATAGAGATTGCTTATATAATCTCTATATACTAGGCCTATAGCTAGATCTCCTATCAAGCTAATACAAAAAGCCCTATTCAAATAGCTTACCTAGTTACCTAGTTATAAGCTATCTTACTCTAGACCCTATAAACCCTAGAGTGCCAGATTGCTAAGGCTAAACCCTAAGGGCTGAGGGGAGTGGCTGAAAGCAGTATAGCTTACCCGTAGCACCTGGCCTTGGCATCCCCCATCAAAAAATAATTCATCAAACCTGTACCCTATAGTCTGAGTCCCTTCTAGCTAGTAATCTACTAATATTTTTTGATAGATAGCTAGTTTAGCCTATATTACTAAAAGATCTCTAAGATCCGATCGGAAAATTCTATGAATTAGTATAGATAGGGGCGGGTGCAAGATTTAAACCTTAAAATCGTGTACCCCCCCCCTCGCCAAGACTTTTTAACTATGAGTACCCCCCCCGGGTACGGGCCCGACTATATTTAGGGCACTGCACTATCGCTTCACGACGCTGCATTACTAGCGCAGGATAATGCGAAATTACGTATGGCGAACGAGAAGATTGTTAAAAAGCGCAATCGGTCAACTAGACAGATACCCTGCGAAGAGGGCCTAACGGTCGAAGAGGGCCTACAGCTAGTTGAACAGCTAAACCAGCTAGTAGAAGGTGATAGGGTAGTATCGTACGAGCAGGGCGAATTGCCTACTCAGGCAGATCCACCGCGTACTAGGGCTCTGCCTAGGTGTAGTGGGTGCAGGGAGATTGGACACAAGATTAATACATGTAAAAATCGCTATATTTAGCTAAATTGATGCGTGTTGGTTGAGATAATCGATTTTGAATTTTTCTAATAGGGTAGGTGTTTCACTCGGGCGGGAATTACGTTATAGGAAGTGAAGTTCGAGGGCCTAGGCCATACCTTCGGCATGCACTTGCTGTTTGTCCACTTTATCAAAGAGTAGATATTCAGCAGTATATACAGCAGCTAGAGGATAGCCTAAACCCTCAGGCAGATAGCTGCTGCTTTAGGTTGTAATGGTTACTAAGTTGCCAGGCTAGAGACCTGTGACTAGGCAAGGGTATCGGATGGTAGAGGCCAGATTGGACAGTTGGTACACAGACTGATTCTTGAAGAGAACAAGAATTCTGAATGATTGTGGGATCTTAAATACACTAGGGTTCGAGTGGATCTCGATATGCAGGTGGCTCGAAGGGTATTCGAGCGCGGATCGACGTCGAATGCCTAGGGTGCTGTATACTTCCAAATCCCGTGACATAGTTACCTAGTTATAAGCTATCTTACTCTAGACCCTATAGTTAAACCCTAGAGTGCCAGATTACTAAGGCTAAACCCTAAGGGCTTAGGGGGAGTAGCCAAAGGGGGTATAGCTTACCCGTAGCACCTGGCCTTGGCATCCCCCATCAAAAAATCTCCTGTACAAACTGCCCCCCTTAGGGTTAGCCCCTTCTAGCTTAAAATCTACTAATATTTTTTAATATAAAGATAATTTCACTAATTATATTCAAAGGTATTCAGGACTCGATCAAAAAATACTAAAATTCAAGATACTTAGGCGGGGGGGGCAAGATTTAAACCTTAAATTCATGCCCCCCTCCGGGGCATTGCCCGACTATATTTAATAGGAGACCCACGAGATTTTATCATATATAGATTGATACTTGACTTACTCTTAAATATCAACGAATTAAATAAGAAACACGACTACGCAGAATTGTTGAATACCGCCTTTTGTAAAGATTCTGGGCAGCTAGAAAAATGCATTTTGATTATACTCAAAATAGGGCGGTATGGCATTGCGTTACGAGCATTTGCGGAACTTGCTCTGGAACAGCCTACCTTATTCGACCACATGACCGTCCATGCTCTGGTGCCACCCCCAACAATCTCAACTCAACACGTTTGCGCTGATCTTGGTCTTGCTCTTCGGAGGATTGACAATTCCCAACGAGATCAGTATATTGATCGACTTTCACAAATCTGGGCAGGGAAAGGAAATCCCTACTCGTATTTTGGACGCCAGTGCCATACTCGCCTCACTGTACACGTCAAGCTTCGACCTCTAAGCTTCTATGATGATAACCCTCATCGTATGCCTCATTTTCGATTTATAGGAGTCAGCAAAAAATCCTGCTACCTTTGCGATAGGTTTCTCGCTAATCACCCGCTGTCATTCACCACCTCCGCTTGCCATCAAAAAGTTTATCCCATCTTGGGCCCCTCCCTTTACAAACAGCAACCGTAATTACAAACTGCATAAATTCATAATCGCGGGTATGACAATCATGATGGAAGCTGCGAATAAACAAGATCTCAATTCCGGATCAAGGCCCCGACACAAAGTAGTACCACCTGATTCTTCCTAAAAAGAAAATCATTGTCAAAGATCAGCGGCAGTTCTCGGCATGCTTGAAATACTTTGGTAATATCGACAAGCTCAATTTGCACTGTTTAGTTTGTGATCAAAACACCATGGATCGAGAAGTCGCGTCTTTTGCTGATATCGATTCAATCCATGCTTGCTGAGTTATTGTACATATTTCAAATGGATTCGACATTCTTTCTTTCGTTTTGTACAGTAACGCTTTAAGCTGGACCTGCCGCTGTTCCGGCTTTTGTTCGGAACACGGGCCTCGGTTCTCGGTCGAAACGCCCAAGCGCTCGCGTCGATAATTGCTTGCAGTACGCACACCAAAATGAAAGAATCTACAGGGATTTGAGGATACTTAATTGCATATTAGATGAATGTAGGTAACCATCTCTGGCAGTTATCAGACTCTGTGAAGCTCAAGGAAGTATTCCGGTCAGATTGCTCTCTGCTTTGAACAGAAAACAAGTCAAAGGATCAACTACAGGAAGTCATTTCCAGCCATGAAAGTTTGGCTTCACGCGTCCGTAAATTTGTTGATCTGTTCGGAAAACCAAACCCAACCACGTTCAGGGACACTCATAACGACTTTGGACTCCTAGATTACAGCGTACTGTGGAGTGGAGATTATGAACTCGAATAAATTTACTATAGTAAAGATAGGTAGATCTACTTTTTAACTAGTCTCCTATCTAGAAAGAGATAACTCAGTATATATAAGTTACATAATCAGATTTTCTAGCCTATTAGACTCTATATAGACTTTTTACTCCTAAAAGCCTTCTACGTTTATTAGTCTAAGAAATCAATTTGTGCAAAATAGGTGCACATGTCTTTTTGATTTGGCAATAGTGGAACTTCACCGATTGAAAAACGTTTTAATACCTCTGAACCGCCCACTTCTTTGACAAAAACATTTTCAACCTGCTTGCCACGACCACATCCGGCACATTGAGAGTCCGGGCTAGGCCGGGAATCATTTTCTCATCAAGACCTTGCCTTTGGATCTTCTATACTGGATGATATGTCTTGTACCATACGTGTAAGGTCTCAATAAGTGATTAAAATCATCCACGTGATAAATATGTGTAAATGACCCATAAGACAGAAAATTAAAGGCATTGAATATCAAACGTCATACGTACATTATAGGAATGTTCGCCGCCAAAATTTCCCAACCCACGACATCATCTCTACTAAGTCTCATAAGGCGTCTCATGGATAGTTTACCTCTCACATAACGCCACATGTTCATCGCTCTCCGAGGACTGAAGCTGAACATGCATATCTTCAGCCAGCTTCTCCATCCGACTGCTCGCAGTACACTGATCGCGTTTGGCTGCCGCCTCATCATCCAAGCCATGGAACAGCAAGGCTAGTATGGAAGACTTCCAAAGAATCGTCTTTCGGCTCGCATACATAGTGCAAACAATAAACAAATTTCCCATAATGACTAACAGCGTTGGAAGAATCATCCATGCCCACTGGACCTTGACTATCACTTCGTTTGTGTAGATTGTGCCAGGGAGATTGGTAGAATTTGGGCCCTGTAGGTTGGCCAAGGTCAACGACTCCGCAATTCGTGGCATTATCACATGGAGTCCAAGGTCAAAAATACGACCAAGATTCTCCGTGCCACTATATGCATTGTCGGAGCCCCACTTTGAATCCTGCTTCTTCTTGATGTAAGAAGTGTTAACCGATCCAACAAGTAGTTCGGGCATTATTTCCTGGTTATAGCAGAATGCAAACTCTGTGGCGTTTCTAGAGGGCATTATCATGGACTCATTATTGGTCATAGGAACTGTCTCTGGGGCAGGCATGACTGTATCATTCGGGCTTTCATTGGGCCTCCAGCAAGTGCTATCGGCGTAAGGACTCTTAGGAGGGACGAAAGTTTTGCCGAAGTCTGTGGAGGTCTTTTCAATGATAGATTTTCCCTCGGTAACAGATACATTGTAGTTCTGCACACAATAGCTGAGGGAACATTGTGTGACATTTTTGATAACAACACCTTCCCATAGATTCGATGGATGTGCGATAACACCGTTGTCGAATCCCAATGAGGCCTGTGCTAGAGTCATCAGAGGATTCTCGACGTTCGAATAAACTTTATTTGGGAGAGTTTGATTTGAGAAAAAGAAGTCCTCGTAAGCAGCATAAGAAGCTACTTCCCACACTGTATTAGCGTCGATAGTGATAACATCAGGAGTTCCTTCTGGCTTTTGCCCTCTCGGATAACCAAAAGTGAGATTGGTATTAGAAGACTGGCCTTGAGGAAGAATCACTTTACAATTCCCGTCAAGGTAGGGACCCCACTGAGTGGCATAACCTTGATGCGTCGGCTTGGGACAGTCGAGCGTCGCGGTGGATGTAATATCAGAACATTGGCTGCAAAGCCCCACTGATCTGTAATTTTGCCATGTACAATTGCCTGATGGGCATGAGGGCGTGATATTGAAGCTTTTGGACCATATTCCCAAATAATAGGCGCTATATAAGTCTGTCTCCGTGAGCCCAGTACCAATGTATCGTAACTGTGGCACGGAAGCTGCAATTGTATCGGCCGCTGCTATCGTGGGTGTTGACGGATAGCTCAGGATCTGTTGGATCATGGGGTCAAACGCCAGCATGAATATCAGGATCATGGCACCGAGCGAGGCTATTGGTTGACCTTGATGTCGGAATAAGAGGGAGATTGAGCCCAATGGCCCGCGACTAGCATATTCGAAAGCTGATTATGGTAAGATACATGTATACGTCAACATGAGAAGTACTAGTTAATCAAATATGGGTGAAAGGAAAGGGTCAGTTTCTCACTTTGAATATGCGATAACTGTCGACGGTCTTGAAACCACAGCCACTTCAACTGGCTGATCCCCTCTCCCACAACAAACACTAAGGATGACTTGCAACCTGTTGCCAGGATAGAAACGATGGTGTTTAAAGAGATATTACAGACAATACTCGGTCGCTGTTTACCGTTATATGCGAGGAGGATCCCATAGATAGAGACAAGACAAGCGACACTAAATGCCACTGATGCCCCTTCAAGAAACCATGTATCGAGAGTGATAGAGGTCCAAGACCGTCGATTTACCCTTTTCCCTCGCTGAGGTAGTGTACTGGACGCATGTGTGGAGAGTAATTCTGCAGTCGTGTCTTGCATTTCTAGCTCATTGTCCACATGTGAAACCATAGTGGTTTCAATATTTGACAGTTTTTTCCAATACGGGGATGTGGAATTTCAGAGGAAACAAGTCGTTGCGGGGGCTTGCTCACGCTTAAACAACCCTGAAAATACCTACCTCAGGCGGATTCAGGACACTTTGTGTCAGGGGCTGTGGAGCCAAAACTTAGCCGTATTCTCCGCCTGTCGGGATTAGCCTGTTTTTGCGGCTAAAGGCCAAAATGTCAAAGCTCATCGTATCGTGTTGGGATGTGGCTTGTATTGCTTTTTCAACGACTCCCCATCAACGAACCATAGCGCATGTGGCGTTGGACTTCACTTGTAGTGTAGTATTTGCTAAGGCAGAATCTCAAGCGCTGCGGCTGAGAAGTGGGATGCCAGACGTTGCCAGTTGGTGTGAATATTACTCCTATCCCGTGGGGTAAGTGGGATGCAGTTCATCCCAGTAGGTTGGGGTTTCGTTAAGTCGGTTCAATTTCTGGCTCGATAGCCCGCTGGATAGCCCGCTCAACGACGGCGATGAATATATATTTGTGGAACGCCCGGCCGCACTATCAACCCCCCGAGCTACCAGTCCCCGTTCTCACTATAGTTCTCCCCCACTGCCCTCCATGATCCTAGGACCATTTAATTTTCGCAGGCCGAACGGCATGGCCGCCGGCGTACGTTTGCTGAGTGGGTCACCCACCACCAACTATAAGATTATGTTCCCCGTCCACACTACTAGTGCTGAGATTCTTCGCGGTTACAGCCCCTTTGCTATTCAGGGCAATTTAGGGGTGACACTTCCTGCACCTTTTACTCGAACAGTGTTAACATCAACACTCTTATGCTCATGTAGTCCACATATCCTATGAAAGCCCCTCAAGTCTACTGGAATATTTGACTATGCGATTTCAGTGCTTCACCTTGGAATTTTATTATAATATTTCTGTCATCTCATCACCTCTTCGTGTTAGCGCAAAATACGGCAAATGTGGAAGAACAAATCACAAGAGGACTACTACGCCACGGGTTACAGTCAACGCGATCCGAGAGCTAAGCATCAATAACGCGTCTTGGCAGTACCACCCTGACCTAGTGGACAACCGAGAACTCAGCCTCGTCGCAGGACAAACAGAACCATCCACCGTGACGCTGCTCAACTCCAACAGGTCGTCGACCTTGAAAAGCAGAGCCCACCATAAAACTGTTGTCATCGATGATACCCCACTGAGACTCTACCTCATGGAGAACTTACAGGAAGAGGTCATCCTCAGGGATCACCTATCAAGGTCGTGCCCTCGGCTAATGCATGTAACCCTCTACCGACCGCAAACTAGTATGCCCTGTTTGATTTCTGACCCTGCTCAAGATCTTGCTATTCTCCACCTACAGCCCTCCAGGTTGGTATCATTGACTGCATTAGAAACTAGTTTTTACCAGTCTTTCCGTCTCCGTCACTAGACCGGTGATATTATTGGCTAAGACGCCATATCACGAAAACGATACAGAGGATGGGAGAAAGGATGACTGTATTATTTACGGAGTAACAGCGGGGAACTGTGCTCGGTAAATACGATTGCTAGCCCTGCCCTGCCATCCCATAGTTCCGGCATTGAAATCGTCCGAATACGAGGTCCACCCACACTCGATTGAGGCTGGATTGCATGGTTGAATAGACTCCCTATAACTATAGCGGGGACTGGCACTCGGGGTCTGTGTAAGACTGGGATCCACTTGAAAGTTACCGCTCGGCATTTGCTGCTTGGCCCACGCACGATTTGTTATTGTTGAGATAACCTATACAGAAAAAGCGCACTGGTTTAAGGTCTCTCAGAGCGCTTTATAATACCTACGTGTCCCCCAAACCGACAACCTAGCGACCAGGCTCCGGTGGCAGGGTTTTCTTATACTCCAAATATGTCAACAAATGGTTACACAAACTGTGAGCCTGGAACATTCTATGGTTTCACCGACAATGTGAATAATAATTTCAGCCCGGGCGACATCTTCAACTTGCAATGGGGTGCCGTGGATAAAGGAGATAGGCCCCTGAATATTACCCTCACTCGAGATGGAGGGAAAGTGCTGCAAGTGATTTTTTGTGGGTGTATTCCTTGAATTACCGCAGCAGAGTCTTGACGAAATCTAATATGACGAAATCTAATAATTGCTTCAGCTAATGCCACCTTTGCCGTCAATGGCAATCCATTTCAACTGGTGACAAACAAGACCGCTAATTGTACGATGGAGTCCTACAGCTGGACTATTCCTTTGAACATCGACACCGCCGCACCGAAATATCTACTCGGACTGTTTGATGGCGATGCTGAGCTCGGCACCGATGCAATCGCAGACTATGGATGGATCAGTTGGAGTCCGTATTTCTACGTCAGAGAGAAATCTAGCACGACCTCAGCATCCAGTTCAGTCACAGTCACCACGCCAGTAACGGGAACCGCTGCAACAATAACCAATACACCCATATTCTCTCCCAATTCCAGCCCTAACTCCTCTTCGGAATCGACCAAGATTGGGGTCGGTGTTGGTGTCGGCATTGGCGTCGCTTTGCTGATTGCCCTGGGCTTTGGCTGGTTCCTGAATCGGCTAAAGAAGAGCCGTAGAAACGGAGAGGGAGTTAACTACGAAGAGGGGGGTAACAACGAACCTACACCGACAGCAGAGCTCCCAGACACATATTTATCAGAGCTCCCAATAAAAGAGCCGGTGGCAATACCTTCACAGGCCAACATGGTACATGAAGTGGAGTGATCTTGGTACTTTTGTTAGGACATGAAATGACCGAGTAGATTTGGTTGTAATTACTTTTTGAAGACCGATACAAACCATTCGATAGAGTGACATGGGTATTTATGGATAAATCCAATGGAAGATCCTAGGAGATTATCATAATTATATAAAGATTGTGATATACCTTTGGAATATATGGTCGGAATTATTGAACCAGACCTGCTCGGACGAGGACAATGATTTCAATATTTTGTCCGAGGAGACAGCAATACGATACACGTAGTAAGCAGCAATGGCTGTAAAGGTACCGGTTGGATCATCTCACGCTGCGGCTTACAGGTGGTGGCGGTGTAAACCCGTTCCTGATTTCTCACACATTACCAAGAGCCTCAATACTTATCCGGCTCATTTATCTTTACCGTTTTTCCCTATAGCATACACGTCATATGGAGGATATGATATTTAGAACTATGGCCCGCTACCAAGACTGGACGATATAGTATAACACCAAAGGGACAGCGGAAACACCGCGATATAGAACTCTGACCCCTGCTTTTGGGAACGGACTTTCGACAGGGAGCATTTCGAGAAATGCCACGATTACCAACGAACCGTGCCCATCGCGAGAACATAGCGTTCACAGGGACCTAGTGTTACTGGCAAATAACTTTCGATTATGCTATCCGGTTAAAGAAGCCTGCATAGCAGTTGCGCAACTGAGGGTCATCTTCGCCCAGGTTCACATTTTGTTGTCACACACTCACCTTTCTCACCCGGGTCGCGCGACGGGAAAGCGGCAGTCAGCCATGTCTCCACCAGGCTAAGCTGAACAATTGGCTAGCCTGGTCATTAATTATGGGGCTTCTATACGGTCAATTGCCGGGTGTGCCACCCGGGTGAGAAATAAGCAAGAGGCAGGGTGAGTGTTTAATAGACTAGGTACAAAGCCTTTGGGCCGGTGTAATCGACCACACTGACCGTCTCAGCCAAAAATTCTTTCCCCATACCTAATCTAAATAAAGCCTCATCGGTAGCCGTCAAGGGTCCTACTCTCGACTGGGCGCACCATAGCAGCATTTAGTGACGACAAAAACAAACCTAGTATCGAAAAACACCGAGCAACGCAGACTTTTAGAGAAGTCAAGTTGCTTCGGTACCTCCGACATGAGAACGAGAGCTGATGATCCAAATTCCAGCCAGATCGATAGCTATTCGCTATTGCGGCAGATAATCGTCGTGAAAAATGTATTTGTCTTTCCGTTAGATCATTTGTATTTTATTTATCTTGAATTCGAGACTTGGCTCGATCCACTAACTACTTAATAGGTACATGGTAGCAGATCTCCTGACCTAGTGGACAACCGAGAACTCAGCCTAGTCGCAGTACAAACAGAGCCATCCATCGTGACGGGTTTCTTCTTCACTGAGATTGACAGAAATTGTGCGGTCAGCCAGTAAGGAGTCAGCCATACTGTGTGGTCGAACCTGTTGCTGCAAGCTAAGAGATCCGTGCGATTCGACGGGATTTAGAGAATAAACTCGTCCAGCAAGAAAACTTTTTCGATACCTGCAGACTCGTTAATCATAAAAATTTGAGGGTTAAAACGGTATCTAAATCACCAGTATTGTAAGTGGGGACGTTCAGCTGAAGGCTGGTATAGACAGGAGCCGTGCGGGGGTGGCGCGACGCCGCATGAGCCATTTAGTCACGTATGTAATACTATTGAGTCGTCTGTATCCCGCCAAATACGGAGTATTTGGCATCTAATCACAGCTACCATTACCAACTGAGGCTAGCTAGTGGGGTTGATCGTAGCTCAGTTACCCTATGCAAGACCGGGATCCACTTGAATTTTACGGCTCGGCAATTGCAACTTTGGTTATACTCGAATTATTAGCATGGAAGTAACCTCCATTCGTACGTAGAATGACCAGTTTCAAAGCCGAAAATTTCATGTCTCTTGACTCTTCTAATAAGTCCCTCCGGGATGAGCGCAGCTCCTTGAGCGATGATCGCCGGAACGAAACTACGCCAGATTAATGTAATTTGCACTGCCATATCGTTGGGGTCCGCCGTGACTCAGAAAGAAAGGGCTTGAGTGTTGACAGGAGCTTGGCTACTAATTAATTACAAAACTATTAAATTCGACCTGTGAAAAGCCCGAGCCATGCCCTTTCCAAGTCTAGCTCTAAGCGTCCAAGTCCTGCACCTGTTTTCTTTCCACTTAATTATGATAAATTGACTTCACTATCTTATGAGCTTGCAGATGCATCGCAACTGCCCTTTTCGCACCCCTTTTCAGCCCCGATGTGGGTACGAGTACCCTTCCGTGACCGGTGCAACGGGAAGGCTAGTCGGCCACAAATGATAGTTGAGAAAAACTACAAATACGAATGCGAATAGGGCAAATTACTTATTTGTGTGCACCCATACAAGCGAGCCACGTCGTTGTTGGGGAGGGGGGGGGGTTCGCTTCCGTTTTGCACTCTGAACAGCTCTGAACACCGATCCTCTCTCCTCCAACCTGCCTACTCACATTGTTTTCGGTAATTTTCTCTTTGTTCCCTCTGGCCCCCACTGACGACTATGAGCCCAGTTCACTCCATGCTCTGCTTATTTCCACATTTCGCTGCAGATGCCGCTCCTTCCGGTACTGAGGCCTTTCTGGCTAGCGTTAACTGCGAAGCAGTCCCGGGATTCTGAGCTCGGTGGCAACGCAAACGTGAGCTTTCTCCGGGAAACGACAATCTTACATTTCGTGGCGAGTCTTTTTTAAAGCCACCAAACAGATCATGCCATTTAATCCTGTCATTTGGGCGACTACTCAGCAAGAGCAATACGGACTGCACTTGTCGTCTGAAGATGCCGAAGGAGGCTTCCTCAAAATTTTCATTAGCCACTTATCAGCTGTCATGACTCTTTTTGCTTTGTCAATGAACTGTAGAAGTATTATGTTCGAGGTGGTCAGGAGAAATTGGAAATATTGTCAGTCTGATGATGTTTATATACGCGTAACTTTGTATTTGTTTTTATCTCATTCCTTGGTGGGTTTCAAACGTACGCCACAGAACGCGCGATGAATGGGAGGCATGGCTCAGGAATTATTTTAATGGAGTTTGATTGTTGAAGAAGACTCCCTTGCTCACTATTCCGCTATATCACGGAAAATTTGTCTCCTCTTTCGTCCCCTTCCCTTCCCTTTCCCCCTCGTTTTCAACTCCACGAGCCCCAACTCCTTCAATTCCTCTGTTAGAATCGACGAGTCTCGCATCCCCGGGAAATCTTTCGCAGGGTACACACGGAATATGTCTGACCATGCTTCCGCAAGTATAGGCATTGATTGACCCGTATCCTCGACCGAGCCCCAATTCATAAGCCGAAACTGCAGACCATAAAGCCCTGCAGAACGAATGGAAAGATCGCTGAAAATAAAGAATGTCGCCGGTTGGTGAAATTTCGAGGCATTAAGTAGGATCTCCGGCTGTGAGTGGTCCGGGGTAGGGACTGGGTGCTGTTTATCAGAGTGCGGTTTATCAAACGATGGCTGTGTGGGAGCGGAGTTAGGATCTGGATCTCTATCTACGAAGAAGGGGGACACGAATGCTTTGCCGGAGAGAAGAGGGGCAAAAAATATATCGTCTGCGAGGGCGACGTCGCCGTCTCCTCCTTTGGGGGCCTGATCTTCGTCTGTGTTTGGGAGGTAGGGCGAGGACTCTGGAACAGGGAAAAGAAGACAGCCTACTGTAAACTGTTGATCTTCGAGAATGTAATGTCCCGTTTATTCTGAGACCCTGGGTCGAAATCTGTGAGGAGGATTGGCACAATTGGGGGTGGGTCTATAGGACGACGGTCTCTATCTCTTGCGCCACAGGCTCGGGCTGCGATGGGCTGCTGACGAACATGGAGATGGTAGCGGGATTGTGTAGAGGTTCGGCGGTGTTGTGGAGGAGGTGATGATTCGGACTCGAGGTGAAGAAGCTTGTCGAATCCGTGGGGTATGCTATAACCTGGCTTTCTGGGTGCGGTTTTGGATTCTTGCGAAGTAATTGCTGGTTTCGAATCTTCGACTGGAGTCTTCTCAACGAATAGCTGGCTGTGCATATTGCTAGAACTATTTCTCTGCCTAGAATAATCTGACATTGTCAGTGTAAATTTTTCTTTCATATGTGTTCTCCCATTGGGCATGATATAATATCACTCCGACCTCGAAGGGAACAGCTTGATACCGCCGCATAAGAACGCATCGACGGAAAGATAAGGAAGTAACTTTACTTGAACTCCTGGTCGTAGGTCCGCATCCGATAAGCAGCAGGCTCATGAATATAGCTCAACATTGGAGTCAGTCTCTCTTCATTTGGAGCAGGATACGCTCGGAGATCCACAAGAGAGCTCTGGCGATGCATACGCAACGCCAGTGTCTGCGGCAAAGAATGGCGGGCCATGTAGCCATTGTTGGAGAGGGTATATCTCGGGTCTTTGCTTGTCTCGGGAAATTTTCTCAATGGAGATAACCGCGGCAGTGGTGCCAATGCCAGCAATGGGCGATGATAGTAGCCCATATGTAGTGGCACTAAGTGACGCGGCTCACCGCATGGACAGGGTTTATATGCCATGGGTATGTCGGGTCGGGAGCGTGGATCGTAGGCTCTGATATGGGATGGCGGGTGCCCGCATTTTTGCGACGGGGTTCTCGACATCTTTCCGGATCGCGCAAGCGACGTTGGTGCGAGCCCTTGCACCTATTAAAGTCCGAGCTGTATTGAAACGGTGAGCTATGGTTTAGCGCTAGAGAGCGGTCAGATCAGTTACAGCTGCGTCGAAACGGAGTATATCTCGAGTAAATATATGCGGTTAAGGGATCCATTTAAGTGGTAGCCCCTGCCCACGAAACAGTCATTGAATAGGCCCTATTGTTTTCATCTGAGTTGACAATCACTGGCGCTGCCGCTCGTTCATTCTCACTCTCAGTCTACCATATTATAGATTTTGCAGCTGAGCTTCAGTGCGGAGCTTGGATAATTATAATACCTTCAGTCTTAATGTGTGCGAATGAGCCAAGTGATGGATGGCATCGATAGACTGTTCCTATCCCAAGTTCCTTTTGGGTCTAGATTGAAAGCCAGACACCCCTGAGTCTCGAATAGCCGCCGGCTAGATCAAATCTTTGTACTGTTTCATGTCTAGAATGACATGTAAGACTTCCGGAATTGAGCTCAACCACTACAGCGAAGTCAACTTTCATTAGGTCTCAAACAAGGCGAACTTTGACAGAAACCCGCAGTATGTAAGATTGAATGTCAATTAAATATCTATATACACGAATCACATTGGAGGATATAATATTAAGCTAAAGAGGCCGGTGCAGAAAATCACAATCGTGGCGTCGGGGCCGAAACCACTCAAAGGTGCGATGGACGCACACACCTGCAATGACACAAAGGCCAGCCAGTGAATACTTTGAAGATCCAAAAGCGTGGCCTGTACCCAGCCTAACTTGTTTTGAAGATGGACAGTGCACCAAGTCTAGGTCTCTAAGGAGCGAATGCTGATTTCGTGAAGTAACTCGGTCCGTGAGAACTTCCTGACCTGTGGATACATCAAGGATCGTAAAGATGGGTCCACATGAGATAACTTCTCTGTTGTGCAAAAGTCAAGTCAAACTCTTTCTGGTAAACTCAATCCAATCAAATGGAGTGACCTCCCCGGGTATCCTCGTCTCTCTTTGATGAAGCAATGAAGAGGCCAGTCAGCCGTCCGGTGAGCCCACCAGGGCAAATTTCTTAGCAGCATGGTAAAAATAGTTGACTAATCCTTAAAAGGCCACTCATACTATGAAAGCGTTATAGACTGGCGAGCTGCGCTTTGTTGCGTGTTAAAGATCAAAAATACCCCCTCGCCGGGTGATCTGATCGGAGCTCTTTGATGTGGTTCGAATACGGGTCTTCTCTGGCGAGAATCTTCAGCTTCACAGAGAGGAGAGATCAGGAAATTACCAACAAAAACTCTCGAAAATTCTATGGAAAAGGTATATAACAAATACTAGCTTCATTGCCTCAATAGCCATGTTGATATGTATCAGATTAACGAAATTGCCGGCCCCTTCCCTGAGTTACCACATTGCTGAGATAGCCTTAGGTACAGCTCAGAGTGCCTCAGAGAAGTAATGGGTAGGCTTTCAGGTCTAAAAATTCGGCTTGATCCTCAGCTCCATCACTCACTGGCTTCTTCGAACACTTGCTTCCGAGCCAGGCACGGGAGAATGTCCGAGTAAGGGGCTCAAACTCCAAAGTGATAATTGCAAGCAGTGTCTGCATTTTCGCGGAGCTTTCCTTGTCGATAGTAGGGGCATAAACGGTCAAAGTTCCGCCGGAATTCCAGCGGCAACCTGCGAGTGCTTTGAAAAGGAATCCTCTTCATCATTCAAAATCTCCTTGTCGACTCCAGTAGTTCAACCCACTCGGTCAGATCACCGTGACTGGAGCACCAGGCCTTGATCCGTCCACATCTCTTGATTTTGAATGTAGTATTTGAGGCCGTTCAGCCGAGCGAACTGCAGACAAATACGTCATTGTCGTAAAATGTCCTCCATATCCAGCGAGTTGGTAAAAGTAAAGATATTGACCAACTCATTCTGTCTTAGTAGTTTCGCGAATTTCGATAGATATCCGAATAGATTCAAGCGAGAGGATAAGTCGCTCCATTTTCTTAAAGACAAATCAATAGCACTACGAGTCAATGTTTAGCCATTTCCAACCGTCGTGAGAACAGTAAGTGCCTGATTTCCTCCCTGCTTAATCACTTCAGACTCCACGACAGAAACGGTGATAATTCGTAGATTGGGCAATGCTAGTATTTCTGCCGACTGTGTAGTAAAAGTCTAGCAAGTCCATGGAGATTTCTCCGGCCTCGCTTTCCCTTATTGAGTTGGCCCCCGCCCAGTATGTCCCCCTGGGTGACATATGCTACCCCTTTTGCTCCCTGGTGACGATGAGACGGTGTAAAACTATTTGGCGGGTATCAATTTTAAAGCGATCTCAGATAATCTATGGGCGTCTTTAAGCTAAAAGTTGCAGATTAAGTTGATATCCTCTCGCGGGCGAGGAGTGCTGATGATTGTAGGATCTCCTGAGCTCTTCTAAGACAGAAAGCTATCTTACCGGTTTTCTTGGGCCCGATCGCTGGGCTCTAGAAATTGATGAGTTAAATTCAAAAGGAAAGCTTTCCAAATTCGCTGAGATCTCGGATATTAGCTGTGAGTGGTCTTTCAATTGCTGGCTTCGGAAACGCCCCGGTCGGGAATTCGCCGAGTTTGATTAGGCTATTCATGATTACATGCTCTTCTCGAAATTATAAGCAAGATGAAGCATTATCAGAAATAAGACTTAGTACTAGATCACCATCCGCTGAATATGTTGTTGATGTCGTAGGATAAAGACTCCATCATCCCGTGACAGTTTCTTTTCTCAAAGGCAAACTAATTCCTAATAGCATTGAGAAACTCATGAACAATCCTTGTCGTCCTCAAAATCGAAAACTTCAATGTGCAATCATAATATCCGAGTAATTCCGGGCTTGCCGGCCTGATCTGGTGTGCAATGCTCCACCCATGCATGGCTCATGATTTTTCATGGACGTAATAAAAGAATTGACACCCTGCCCGAAACCTCTTTATTTTCGAAGATCTTATTTGCCGCCTCATCTTAACATAAAAGTATGAGGCATCTTCACAAGCTGCTATCTTGTGTATGCTGAAATAAGATGGGGTTTGAAGATTTCCGAAGTCTCAGAGGCAACATGATTTCCTCACTAGATGATTGAGAGTTAGCCGTCTCATACCGAATAGGCTTTCCGTTTTTCCGGTGGACTATGTTTTGATCGCGCCATGATATATCTTCAAATTGCGGCATGGTGCCTCAATTATAAATATTTCCGTGTTTCCCTTTCACGTTTGACTTCTAAAGTTCGACAAACAACCAACCTCACCTTCTTGTATCCCAAGCCTACATCCAAATCAAAATTTCTTGATTCCTGTCCATAATTTTATCATTCAATGCAGGCTGTTCGTCTACACCCCGCTCCTGAGCTTTCTCCGGCTTACTCTCCTGTAAATCCTGCACCGATTTCTTCGCTCAGGTTGGACCGAATCCCGAAACCAAAGCTAACCAAGCCGGGTGAGCTTCTTGTCCGCATTAAAGCGACTACGGTTATCCGTGATGCGCTGACATGGCCCGAGACCTATGCGACGGAGTATGCCATTTTGGGACATGATTTTTCAGGGATCGTGGAAGAGGTCTTTGAAAATCCGGATGAAGTTGGACCGTTGTTTATGCCAGGTGATGAAGTCTTTGGTATGACTCATATTGACCGTGGCTCCGCTTGGGCACAATACACCGTCGTCAAGGAAGATGAATTAGTTCGAATTCCTAAGAACTTGACCTGGGAGGAAGCCGCGTCACTACCGCTCAGTGCGTTGACTGCATACCAGGCAATTTTTGAGCATGCCAAGATCCCTCTGCCGGAATTCCTTGGGGGTAATGCTCGAGACGGCAAGGAAGAACGGCCAATTCTCATTACAGGACAGCTGGAGGAGTCGGCGTTTACCTTGTACAGCTTGCTACGTTGGCCGGTCTATCTGTAGTTGCAGCGTCTAGCTCTAATGCAAGGAACGAGAAGTTTTTGAAGTCACTCGGTGCTGCCGAGACTGCGGAGTATGGGCAACTGAAGAGTCGCAGCGGTTTCTATGACGTCATAATTGATACTGCTGGAGGAGAAATACTAGCCAACTGTTGGCCGATGATGTCAGAAAAAGGAACTCTGATCTCGGTTGACTCGTCAAGTTTCGATTTTGTGAGCACACACCGAAGTTGTGGATATGACGCGGGGAAAGAAGCTGTTCAGGCGTTGTTTTTTATCGTTCACAGTAATGGGAAGGCGCTGAAAGACCTCGCGAGGCTGGTGGAGGCGGGCTTGCTGAAATCATTCGTGGTGGAAACCTATAGCTTGAAACAGGTATGTGAAGCCTACGGAAAAGCCAGTGGGAAGTCCTCGGGGCACGGCAAAGTTGTTTTGAAATGCTAATTTTCATCTTAACGGGAACGATCTTTCTGCGGCAGAGAAATTTCGTGGCATGTAAATAAAATATCGAAAAAATCATTCTCTACCAAAAAAGGATCCATCAAAAACTTTCAACGTAATCATACGGAAAGCTGCTAACTCTGCATATGGTACTTTAGAGAATAAAGTGAAAGTATATCTTAGTTTGGAATGCCTCAAAAACACCATGTAACGATGATCTGCACTTACAAAGCAGGTCTTTTAACGAACATGAAAATTAGGGCATTGTAAGCACTTGCAAGCACTAGTAATGATATACCACCGGTCGCGATGTTTTCTCTTCACTAATGGCCTGTCAGCCTTGAAAGTGTCTTTTATGGGTATTTGAGCGGCTTCTGGCTGATATGAAAGATCGACGCTTGGCCCTTCTCGTTACCATCCGTCTTCTCCGCTTTTGGTCAAATCTTGCTTCCTCATACTGGATATTTAATCTTTTACGTAAAGTTTCTGACACCTAGGCGTAATTTCCACGTCTATGTCAATGCTAGCTTTCGAGAGACGAGACTGAAAGTGGCTCATCTAACAAATGGGGTCGGTCACTTTGCCGCGGACAATATGTACGATGTGTGGAGAGTCCCGTAACATTAGCTGAACGGCTCAGCCCACGAACAGTTCAGCTGATTTCTCTGGAATTGTGCGCAGGGACCAATCTCCGCAAGTTCGCCCATCATGTGGCCATTATAATTATTATCTAGTAGCAGCGAAGAATTGGACTTCCAAACCGCTTGCTCCTTGCATGTTCTATTTCCCGGCGTATGAAGTCATATGTGAAATTGAACTTGGAAATATCTTCTGCCGGCTCGAGAAGTCGATCCCAACGACCATATGAATTTATGTAAGTTAGAATCTGGCGAAAAATTTCTTACGTACCCACATTATCTTTTCTACTGTTTCTTACCACTCAAGCTTACTGAAAAGCTCGAGTGATCTGTTTTCCGCAGTCTATCGCACAGATCTGCTTCGTCGCAAGGCGATACGGAAGTGAAAATCCGTAATTTGCAAGGGCCCCTGCTAGGTACATCGCGTTGTGGGGGTTTCAAACGGGATCCGCGGGTGTTTTCGCGGCGGGGAGGGGTTGGAGAATCTCGAGGCTTGAAAATTACGTTAAACGCCATGCGTCATAAGATGAAGGATTGAAGAGTATTTTCTTTTTCACTCCTACATTGTAGCGTCGTACAGTTCGCGTTGCGTACAATACGAGGGTCATCCTTACCTCCCGGCCTTTGGCTGGAGGAGGCACAACTGTGACGGTACACTTCCCCATCTACATATACTGTGTGTTCCTCAGCAAGTTCCGATGCAAGCTCACGTTCAGCGAGGCTGGCTTCCATTGCCTCAACCTTTAGTTGCGGCATCCGAAACCAGTTAGCGAGATTAAACATCTCCCGTAGAATTTGACGCAATCGAGTCTGGGCAATAGAGAGTAGTAGGCATGCTGGGTCAATATGGTCTTGCAGTTCTGGTCCACATAGGGGGATAGACCTGGTAGGTGCGGCTTCTCGGCTGGCAGGGAGTAGTATCGTTTGGACAAGAGCGCGTAGGTATGTAACGGATTTGTGACAAAGCTGTGAGCATCGCAATGACCTATCACGAAGGCGCATAACGTAATTCGTAAACCCGAGCCGCTGAAGCTGCTGATCGACCTGATGTAAAACGTCTGTTTGAAGCCGGTATGACGTGCCCCTGGGTCGATGGCCCATGACCAGGTCTGATCAAACCGTTGCGGCATATCAAGCCATGTCTGACTCTTAGTTGTTACCTTCCGGTTTTTTAACAATAAGGAGGAGATAGGTGTGTCGAAATTGTCGGAGAATAGTTGCAAGCCCCTCCGGCGGAAAAAAAAAACAATTCAACTACTGCCGTTTCGCTTGGGCGGTGACCGAGTGAACTTCCTTCCAAGCCGCCCATGCATGCGTGAGGGCTTGGACGTAGCTCAAAAGATATGACCAGTACGACGATCAGTATATTTCATTGGTTCGAGATGGAGAGAGGATTGGAGGTCTGACATCGGGCAATTGATGGGTTACCTTGGTGAGCGGCGGCGAGGCTACCAATCAGGGCAATTACTGTTGTAGTTCAGAGGAAATTGGTTAAGTTTTATTCTTGAGGTGATACAGGAGGCTATATATACAACGAGAAGAACCAAGTTGATTTGCAATCAACTTGATTCTTTGTATATGCAACCCGGGATTGTTTCCGATGGTGCGGCTTTATTCCTGACCTGCGTAAGCCTCATATCACAACAATTACACTATCAGTGTCAATTGTCACGTCTGGTGGCAACGATTGTCCTTTTTCCTCTAGAATCAGGACCGCCGGGGGTGTGGTATTACCGCTGCCAATGCCACAGAACAGTCGTCGACGGTAATTACTGGTCCACTAGTTCGTCCAGGTGGTCTGGGCGTCTGAAAGCCGTAGGATTCCAAGCACTTTGGGACAGGGCCCCTTCGGCACCCCTTAAAGAGGGCCGAATACTGAATATTGAAGTTCCTTGTAGCGTAGAGACGCAAATCCGTTCTACCGGTGAAATTAAATGCATGGCGCCGGTCGATACTGAAACAAACCGTAAGAAACGCACTCAATCCATTGGAATCCAACTACCCCTATGTTCTCGTGCTGGACAAAGTCACAATTGTAGCTGGAGGGGGAGATGCGCACGGCCTAAAATCTTAAGAAGGGTATATTCGCTGCAGAGAACAGCACGGAAATCTGGTTCGGCAAGTACGGCCACTACAACTGTCGCTATCGTCAGACTGAACATGGCCAGGTTGGCCTCAGCCGAACTGTCCACTCGCCAGCGGAAGTACTCGTCAATCAATGGAGGGGCTAGTTCCTGACCCGCACCAGCCTCACATCACAACAATACATGTACCATACCAAGATTTCACTGGCCTACCAACTTTTCAGGCGTCGTCGGATATTTGCTTCTGTAAGTTTCCAAGATCCTTTGCTCCCCGCTCAGCACCTCGAGCGGCCGCAACAAAGGACTATGCTTTTACCGCGCCAGCCACAATCCTCGCAAGTTGATATTGCAGCAATGGATCATGCGGGTGGTGGGATCTACGCGTTAAGGTGAAAATTATTTGATCTAAAGAATCATTGCAATTGAAACCCCCACTAGGACTTCTGAAGCAAGCGCCAGAGATCATCGGTAATCTGCGATATTACCTTCAAGAGCTGGCACTGGTCAGACTACGAACGTGTCGCGGGCTGTTTTACAAGAGAAAGGCGATTATCGTCTGTTGATTCCGATCAAATTGAAGGACCCTTAATTTCCTTACGTTTCTATTGTTCCCTGCATCTCCACGATCAGCAGACATGTCTAGTGACCGTAACGTTTCTGGAAGTTCTAGCCCCCATAGCCCCTATAACGGCGGCAAGCCATGCCCTGCTGCACGCTTTTGAATAATTGGTGCGCGGCATCGCGAAGCGGTCGAACTTGGTTGTCCTAATATTTTGCGATCGATAGAAACGTCCACGCACAATGGATACACGCAGAATAGAGACGAACCCGGATACGGAGAAGGGACGGGGCTGATATCACCTGCTACCATGGTATTGCTTGGGCCATTGTTGGTGTCCCGGAACCCCTTCTGACTGGTCATTAAAATCCGAACCATCGGACCCTGTGCTGGGTTGCTCAGAGGAAGCAGGACTTCATCGAAATGGGCAGAGGAATGTTGCTGTGACTGGCTCTATCTGCAGCATTCGCCAATCGTGTTTTTGAGTGACTGTAGCAAATTCGTGACCAGGCCACGAGCATCATGTCTCGAGGTCAGACTTGCATTAAAGAAGCTCGCCCACTTCCGCAGACCTCAGTACGCAAGCCCTTAAGTTCATGTCAACCTGATGCATTGCTGTGTGGCTTCTTTAATTATATCACCACCAGCGATGACTTTGGCCGTTTCTCCTCAGGCAACGATTGATACATATAATAGATAGCGAGAGTACAATAAACGAAAAGCACAGTGGATCCAAGCAATCATTTTGAATGTTGGGCCATCCTATCCGTGTGAATTCGTTAATGGCATTTTCACTCGAGCGGCATCTTCCTATGATATCCTCTAATTCCTCTCGCGACTGTTCAGATGAACACTCCCGTATTCTGTCCATAAGAAGCTCAATGGCTTGCTGCATGGTTTTTTCACGGCGGTCAAGCTCTAGGTCGAGGGCCGAAACTAAACGGTAAATTTGGTCTTTGTCTGTAGGGAATGCTTCCCTGAGAGCCTTCCATAGATACTGCGTATCGGCAAATGGTGCATATGGCAGCATGTTCACCTCAATCCAAAGACAAGGGAAGGCAAGGCCATTCCGGGGAAGATACTGGATACGCACGTGATGTTGGACGACCAGATCGGCTTGGTAGGCCTACCTCACCGCTGCGGAGTAAATCGATATCGTCGAGAAATACACTGAGGACTGCGCGACAGCATTCAATTTCTCCTCGGAACGCGTACTTCGCGTTTGAGAACACGCTTTTTGCTTTTCGGTTACGCCTGTAACTTGACAGATCAGAGCCAGCACCAGAGAATATCGCGCATCGCGCGCTGATTGGCCGAAGTGCACGGGCCATTTGCGTGTAATCATGGATCTTTGCAGTCTACCGAACGCTTTACTCTGGGGAGCAAGGACAAAATCCGTGGAATGGTGGACCATTCCTGAGGGAGCAGGACAGTAGGCCTAGGGCTCCGAAAGGAATAAAGGAATGCGAATAAACGACATATTCATATTCGCATTCCGCGAATATGAATATATGAATTTTTTATTCGCGCGAATAAAGGCCTTATTCATATTCGCATTCATATTATTCATATTGTGAAATTTCTCCGCATCAATACTTTGTCCGGTATAGCGGTTATCGTGTTACCGAAATGCGCTTAGAGGTCGATTTCACAATGCCATCACTTCATCAGCAACGCTGGACTGTGAATCTCCGTGGCCAGTATATTTTGAAAGGAACAACAAGCTTATGTAGATTTTAATTGGTTTGATCTGCCGTGGCTGATCTTTGTAAGATATGATACTCATCTGCAAGTGTCTGCCCATAGAGACTTGACAGCGGCCACGAAGGTCCGTGAAGATTATATATATCTCACAGCCCAATTTCGAATCAACCTGGGCAATGAAATGAATAGATCTACTCACTTCCCTGATTCTAGTTCAATGCATTCCAAATTTCGTCCATAAAGTGGCCCTGAAAAGTGGCACGTAAAAACGCGTTTGCCTCGCCATCCAGAGCCTTGAATGACCCTGGATGCATTTTGTTTACGTTCAAAACCAGCGATATCGCGTTGCAGAAAACAGAAAAGAGACCTATCAACTTCCCACGTCAAGGAGGGCATATAAAGCGCGAATATGAAGGGGCTTGTCAACAATCATCCTTTCCTCAAGCCCCCCTATCAGTTTCTAACCCCAGCCCAGATAACTCAAGGTATGTTATGCATCACCGCCGATACCACTTTCATATACTGACATCGGGAAATAGTAGCATGGCATCTACACCCAATCCCTCTATGCGGAGGACGCGCGGTCTTCCACGCCGGGACTATAATGCTCTACACAATGGCCTCGTTTCTTCACCTTCAGAGCAATCTGAGGAATCGCCCTGCGAAAACGGACGCCCTTACTCTCCTGAGCCCTCCCTATCTAGGGAAACTGAAGAGACACCTCAGTCAACGCGGTCTTACTCTTTGCCTAGCTCCTCGCCCTCCCCGTTTGATTCTGCATTTTCGGAGAGCAGGTGCCATGCGAGTAGTCTACACCCGTATAAAAGACGAAAGATCAAGGCGTATTCTAGTTGGACCATTGAGCACTTTTGGACAACAGAACTGGATAGCACCTGGAGTCGGCAGGGCGGTCCACCGAAAAAAGACCGGCTGCTGATTTGCAAGCATTGCAGCTGGTCCTCCAGAGATTCGGCGCGCTATGGTTCCACTTCGAATTTGTTGGTGCATCTCCAGACCAAGCATCGTATCAAGTCTGGTGCCGAATCTACTTTCTTGCCCGCGGTCGAAGGAAGCCTCGACCGGTTCTTAGAGTCGCCGAGGAAGAAGGCTAGCGTTGAAGAAATGCTAGTCCAATGGGTCATTCAAACAAGACAGCCTTTTACAGTGGTGGAGCATCCGGCTTTTAGGGCACTCATCGAAGCAACAGGGGCTACTTTGCCTATCAAAACCGCTGATACTCTCTTTAACCGAATCAAGGAGGAATTCCGCTCGGGCAGGGCTTTCGTGAAAGATGAACTTGCCAGCAGCAGCCGGACACTCGCATTATCCCTTGACGTGTGGACGTCAGAAAATCATATTGCGATCATGGGTATCATCGGTCATTGGATATCCCCTGAGTTTGAAAAGCGAGAAGAGCTACTCGAGTTCACCGAAATTAACGGACCGCATTCTGGAGAGAACCTAGCGGAAGTTGTGCTAAAGATGCTCGACGAACTAGACCTCGCGCCTAAGCTGCTGACCATCACGGGCGACAATGCAGGCAATAACGGGACGCTCTGCGATAGTCTGCATGACCAGCTCCTCAAGAAATATGATAATGACGATGACCGCTTTCGTATCAGGCCTCTGATGCGGTTCCGTGGACGACAGAGCTTTATTCCTTGCCTTGCCCATGTCCTCAATCTGATTTGCAAAGATGTATTAGCTTCTTTAAAGGCTGGTTCAGCTCGAGAAGCGAAGGCAATACTGGACGACATGGCCGTTCGTACTAGCCCAGCATTCAACTCCCTTCACAGCACGAAAGGAGCAATTATGAAAATCCGATTGCTGACGCTGTGGATCGCCCGTAGCCCACAGCGCCGCCAAGATTGGAAAGAGGTATCACCGAGCAAAAAGGTCAGTTATGACGTTGACACCCGATGGAACTCGACATATCTCATGATTCAAGATGCCCTTCGGCTACAAACTGAACTGGGGCAGTTTGTGCGGATACATCCAGAAGTCCAGGCCCTCCAGCTCAACGATGACGAATGGTCGACACTTCAGCAAGTGGCCAAGATTCTAAAGCCGTTCTGGGACCACACAAACTCGGTTTCAAAGGCATGCCCAACAATTGTGGAAAGCCTACCGATTTACTGGAGCTTGGACGACTTGTTAAATGACGTTCGAAATGCGGAGGGAGATTTTGAAGACGTGAACATTGAAATTCGCGATGCGGTGGAAAGAGGGATTCGGAAGATGAACAAGTTCGCTAGAAAAATGGACGACAATCTTCTTTACTATGTGGCTTCTGTGCTAGATCCGCGCATCAAGTCGTCTTTGATTGTTTCTCAAATGAGCGAGCAGGATTCGGGGCTTATTGTCTCTCAGGTGCGGGAATTCCTAAAAAAAGAATACCCTCAAGAGCCATTCATGTCGCGGGAAGTTGACCATCCACGACCACCGGGGATGTCAGAAACAATGTGGAGGACTTTGCGCAAAGTCCAACCATCCAAAGAGGCCTCTCTGTCGGATATTGATAAGTATTTGGATTCCCCACCGGTCAACTGGTCACACCATATGATCAGTGACGCAGACGCAGAATGGGTTCTGAAGTGGTGGAAGGCTAACGCATTTAATTTCCCACTGATGGCCAAAGCGGCTCGCGATTATCTATCCATTCCTTCCGCAGAGGTTGGGATTGAACGCGAGTTCAGCAACGCTAGAGATGTCTTGGGCCTCCGAAGACACTGTCTAAACGCGGAGACTATGCGGTGGTTGATGTTATTGAAAGGGCAGTATCAGACATGACTTTAGAGGGTGGTGTATGTATGTAAACTCAATGATTGAGAGCTAAAGTCTCGTATGTACATTGTTACAGACCTGAGTATATGAGCTTCGCTGATGTATTGGCATGTAATGAAATGAAAGGTTATGTATAGTATCTTATTATATGAATAAATATGAATTATTCATATATTCATGAATATTGCGAATATGAATAAAGGGCTTATTCATATTCATATTATTCAATTCATATTATTCATATTCACAAATATTCATGAATATTCACGAATAATCATATTCCTTTCGGAGCCCTAAGTAGGCCTATTCAAGCACCCCCCTGGGATAGGCACCACCTGGGGGTCTAGCTTCGCCTCGCGAATATAATGGGATCCGGGCCCTTGAATGAATAAACGTTGGCATGGAACGGACTGACTGTTGGCTTCGATGCGGCCCGGGATGGCTCGAATCTGGCGGCTTGTTGACACGCACCGCGGGCGACAGGAACACGCCAAATGGACGAATCAGGGGGGGGAAGAAAGGGAATGGGAGCCCATTCCATTTGTGACTAGGGTATAGAAAGCTACTTTGCTAAACAGGTTTGCCATTGAATTATAATCTGGGTGCTTCAACTGCTATGCTGAAGGCTGTAGCTTGGCGATATTACTCCATTTCCGCTCGTTCACTAGACATTAATTCGCTCAGTGGCCTGCCCGTTCCTGTCGATCCCTGATAATCCCTTGAAGATGGGGATTGAGAATCTATCGTATCTGTCTTCGAGGCACGCTGATATGTGGTTCCCTTAGGCTCGATTATAGGAAGCGGAGATGGTTCGTCACTGTTTTGATTCGTTGCAGGCGTCTCTTGAGTCTCCCTTTGACGAGACTTTCGACGCAACCAGAAGAACAACCCTATGGCACCAGCTGCTATCAAAACACTCAGTGGAACACCAAGCCCAATCCCAACTTTGGCCGGTGTTGATAGACCCTGGCTGGCCTGAGGAGTAGATGTCGTCGTTGGTGATGTATTCTCTGAACTGGCTGTGGAAGTGGGGGATGCGGAAGTGAGAGATGTGGAATTTGAAGTTGAAGTTGTTGGTCCCCCACTTGCTGTTGTGGAGGGAGATCCATTGGGGAAGTTGTAATAGGCCGGCGGTGGATCATCTGTATATCTCTTCGAAACCCCAAATTCTATACTTGAAACGTTGTTGCCATAAGACTCCCCTTCGGCAGTGAATGGCTGAAGTTTGAAGATACACCCTCTCTCCACGTAGTTTTGGCGGGTCGCTGTCCATACGTAGCTGTGGTTGTTGATTATTTGCTCTAAATATATAATCAGATCTATTCTAATCCAAGACCTCGATCATAAGCCACCTAGGCAAATAGAACTATGACTTTCTTACCTTGTAATGGATAGTCAACATCACTACAGGTTTCGTAAAGTGCAACCCGAGGCGCGATGACAGTCCAGGTTACATTCACCTGGTCTGCGACAATGAAAATATATTGATCTTCTGTTGGAAATGTGAAATTCCCCGCCATATCGTAGATGGGATTAAGAAATTAAGGTGTTTAGGTGACAAAACGTGGCTGGTTGGGGCCTTGACGAGGGTAGGGTAAAGACCATGGGGGAGGGGGGGATTTGGAACGCGAAGTTGGAAAAAAGGGGCGGAAATTATTTTGGGGCCATACGGGAATTAAATAACCCTTGTGCTTTGCAATGACCATCTTGATCCGCATGAGGCTAGGGAGTATCTAGGGAGTAACTAACTTGAATGGGGATAAGTTCAGTTGTGAACCCTGTCTGGTGCGACATGCTAATGCACGACTAAGAACCCCACGCAACGATATTGGGTAAAGGTTTGGAGCATGTGGTCACAGACGGTGTCGAATATCAATAGCCAATATGCCGAAGGATGCTTGCCGCAGAAGATCGCTTTCGGATCGATATATGGATACTGTTTAGTGTCCAATGCGACCAGAAATACAGATCTAGCCCCCACATAGTTCCATGCCGATTAGGTAAACAACTCTTCGCCCCCATTGCAGGGTTCTACGTGCTCTCGTAAATCCCACTATCACATGCGTTCTTACCCATTGCCCGCTTTCGAGTGGTTTGTTTCTTTCTGAGTTTAGTCCCTAAACCCTCCTCACTACCTTATCACCGGTGGGCGGCGGGCAAGGGTATTAGTCCGATTATTTCCTTAAAGGGGGCTTTCTTAGAGCTATAAGCTGCGGTGGGGAAGGCTCAAAATAAAACTTTCATGAAAGGGCCGATGGATGGCCGAGTTCCGTGTGTATCACCACTAGTCCAAACAGAGGTCGGGAAAAAACTTTTCTTCTCTGCCTGCTCCACTTTAGTGTTTTGGCCAGCTTGGTGATATTTCACCCCCACAGAATCAATGAATAAATCAATCGAGATGACACTCTAAAACCCCTCAAGATCAGGTGGATAGATGGATGGATGGCCCACGCACTGGAGTGTCCGGGAGCACGCATGACGGACCAATCATCAGGCGAGGAACCGCATTGAGCCCCTGAGTGGACTCAGACTAGGGTATAAGGCCAAGAAAGAAGCTCTTGGAGAAGACAGCAAGGGCAAATCGACAAAAAAAAAGTGTCTCGACACACCAGCTAACGGCTGTAGCTCGAGGTTGTGATACCGCTCCTGAATCTCGACCATCGACGAGTTCCATAGCACATGGACTACCCACTTTCCTGCCTTCGGCACAATCGCAAACTTGTTGCCGTCCCACATCTTATGTAAGTCCCGACGTAACAGAATAGTGTTGTCAGCGCATCGAGTATCGACACCTTGATCGGGATTGACTTGGTGCAGAACATGCTGTTGTGCTGCCACCAGTCGCTCTGCGCGGCGGGTATGATGTGCGCAGTTTCGTTCGGGAGGGTTGAGACGGTAATTCGACAGCTAACATCGCGGCGGGTGATTTCATGCATTGTTTCGTTCGCTAGTTGCAGTATATGACAGCTAGAAGTGTGGATAGTACTACCCACCTCAGTCGCTCAAAACAGATTATCGACTTTCATCGACGCCCTCGTCAAATGGCCCTGCAACATCGATATGGAGGAATTCCATTGCTTCCTGACCGGCTGTGCGGATTTTCACACAGGCGCCCATTGTTCCAACGCATCGACCTTGGGCCAGGATTTATGAGATCGAAGACGTCCAGGCATACGATAACCGATCTAGATGGTTCTTGCGAATATCCTATCTTCGACAGCCCTACGTCCGTTGGATATTTCTGGCATTGAAGCAACAATTAGGGGTTTGATATAACCGCCACAGTTGCTTGCTGCAAATTCCCTCTCCTTCACGGCAAAAATAACAACCCACGTCATGTTGCCAGGTGTAGCGAGTAAAGGTATCGATCGCTGTGACACATGCTACAAGACTATACGACCCACCGAAAACGATTGCGAATCAGCTGCGCTATGTCGCACTAGCCATGCGTTTATCAGTCCGTGCTTGGCGTATTGTACTGTCACCGATGTTATTTTATCAAAATGCTCTCTTTACCTTGGGTTTCTGGATTTTTTGCCTGGAAAAACAGGCCAGTATTGCTTCATAGCATGGAATAATATAGCGATCATTTACAGTTACGATCCTGGGGTGAGTGAGGCGGTGTCGAGGTGTGTCGGCCCGGATGCAGTCCGACTTGTAGGGGCACAAAGGCGGTCAGCGGTGTGGCCCCGTTCCTTCACCCTCGCCTCAAAGGCAACTTCTACATCGATCTCCACCGACAAACTGGACGACTTGCGACTATAGATATGATCTCTCCATCGATTCAACCATTATAGTCACACTGTCATCATGCCCACAACGATCCCGCTGGGAAGGGGTCAGCCCTTTAACACTAGAACTTCACTCTCCACGTCTAGCCCGCGACCGCCTGGTAGCGAATCTACAACCCGTGACTCCGATCTGTCCCTCTCCCATCTTCATGACCGCGTGAAGCAGCTCCAATCCACCGTCCTTACGAAGGAAGACTATGTCGACCGCCGGAACCGCGAGAATGAACACATCCGTCGTGAATTGGACACCCACCGTGCTACCTTCGACCGTATTGAACATAACGTCGCGGCACTGCGCTCAGATGTCGACCAGAAGTTCCATCAGCTGAAGTCGCGCCTGGAACACTCCGACCGTGTTCGCTTCAACTCTCTCGCCCACACCACACATGCTCCTATCAGCCCTGTCCCTGTCATCGCCGATGACGGTTCTCCTGTGTGGCCCAAATACTTCCCACGAACTGTTTGGAGGTTCTGGTGTCTCAAGAACAAAAGTCGAGGTGCGCCTTGATCAGTAAATCACGTCTCTTTTCCCCTTACTAACATTATGTTTAGTTCATCGTTTGGTTGAACTCGCGGAATTTTATCAACTGGGCGGTTACAAGGATTGGTCTCGGATACCGCAGACTGACATATCTCCCGACAGCGACTCAAGTGATTCCGGTGATGAATCCTCCGTTATAACTCGAGAAGAAGCCGTCCGTCGCTTCCCCGAAACTGCACATCGAGTACTCGCAGCCACTCTAGGCCTTGTGTACTACAACATTCGCAATGAGATGGGCGAAGACCCCAGTGCCATGCCTTCTCGTCCGCTGAAGCGTCAGCAAGAAGACGCTGTTTCCGCCAGCGCCGTTACCAAGACCGAAAAGCTTGTAAAGATGCCGCGCAGAACTAGTGTCTCCGACACTTACTTGGAGCGGTTGATCAAGGGTCCCTCTGTGGCCGAATCTCCGTCATCCGGTCCCAAGGAGTTTGACGAGTTGGGATGGAATCCATTTCCAGATGTCTCCGAGGACACGATGAGCAAGCTGCGATCAATTGACCTGCAGGACATTGGGACCGTCCTTCGTGCTTTAGAACGAGGTCGTCTCAGATTGAAGCCCAGTAATTCCGAGAGGGCGGGCATGTCTCCCGCTGAGTCCAAGGTCAGCAGCCATGGACTACCAGTCAAGTCAGTTCAAAAGTCCGATGTGCCTACTGAGCCACAAACTCCTACCCAGCCTTTTTCTGAGCCGTCTCGCAAGGATAAACCCGGTCCTGAGACTGCAAGCAGTTCCCATTCGGATAGCGCAACATCTTGATTGCAGTGACATGCACATTTGCTTCTCATTTATAATCCACCCTACACGTCGCCCTTCGGTTCCGTTTAATGTCCGTACAGCCGACATTTTTCACGGTATATGATTGGCTATATTTAAAGTATACGCATCTCTAGATGCATGGCGCTTCTTCTGAGGTGAACATCCGCGTTCTTCCAGCCCGTTTGGTGCCCTTGTACATCACACAGCATCGTACCCGCCATGTTAACATCACGGACAAAGAACCCGCCCCCCCCCCCCTGCACGTACATCGAGAAATACTTCCGGTGACGATCCTGTCCTCGGATCGTGGGGTCATCTTTTAAGGTCGAGGATCGCAGCCACAAGGGTCGAGCATTGACTTTATAGTCGGTAAGGCTGAAAGTGGGGCACATGGGAACTTGCGTTCTACGGACCGAATAGCCTTGCAGGGTGATAGATCGCTCTAAAGGAAAGACTGGCAGGACTGAAGGTTCAAGGTCTTGAAACGCGGTGGGTTTGGGTCTGTCCGGTTTAAACAATATGCAAGCGGGTGGTTTGGTGCACATTATATAGAGGTCGTTGATGTGGAAGAATTCGGCTAACAGAGAGGTGTCAGGCAACGTTCATGACTATTTATGGAAGACAAACGGGCCAGTCTTATTTATCACGATGCCTGCAGCAGTCCCCGCAGCACCATTGACCAGGCCGAGCAGGGTACAGATGTTAGTCTGTACGACTGCAAGGATATTTGGGGTCTACAGAAAGCGTCCCGGGAAGGGGATCTTAGTACCTTGGTCCGGCTGCTGGAGCAAGTCGGCTGCACGGAGCCGCAAATTGATTGGGCCAGGGGACTTGGTTCGCGAATGAAGCGCAGGAAATATATAGGCATTTTGGCATTGCGTGCGTGCGAATTTCTCTATCCGAACATGGTTTACCTGGTGTCGCAGAGAGTTCAACTTGACTATGGTGGTGGCATCTTGGAGTTGAGGCCTAGCCAGGGATGTGATGATTTTGCGGTTGAGGACCGTTCGATCGGCTTCAGTTAAAGTCCCTGCCCTCGCTCGTGATACAAAACCTCCCCCTTCTTCTAATAGCTCCTTGAAAGCCTCGTTGTCACCAACCTGTCCAAGAACAGAGGCAAGGTAACGTGCTACCAAGTTTCTCAAAGCATCGGTATTATTGCCATAATTTGGTGGCGTGTTTGAGTAAACGAAGCGAACAAATTCAATAATTCCAGTAACTCCTGTATGGTATAGCTTGAAGCTTCTCAGTGTGGTGTATGTAATACTCTGGATCAGGCCTACTTCCCTTTTGGGCCTAGTGCGATCCTCACAGCCTATCTGCGAGGCCTCACCTACTGTTTTCCTCTCTTCTCCACACTTAGTATCGCGTATCCAATGCACTTGTCTCTCGCAATAGGCCTCTATTACAGCGCCAGACTCATGCTCTAGCATCAAGAGGCCAGTGGTAAGTGCCCTCCGCACACCACGCGAACAGAACTTGACAGTGTGATATGTACAGATCTCTACCGCAGCGAGCAACCTCCCCACGACGCAGCTCAAGCAAATCCTGCGCTGAAATGTCGATATTGCTCTACCTGCATTAAAACTCTTAGATTTGTATCCATACCTACGGGAAAGTTATGTTGTGAAATCTGCGGAGCATATCCGTCTTGAGGATGTGCGGCGCCAGATATGCGAGTCAAACGAATCGCTGGAAGACGAGAAGGATAACCTCCTTCAGTGTTGCAACCGACAGGCGCTGGAGTTGGAGAATCAGAAACAGGCATGTAACGCATTCCATGGCAGTGTCATGTCGGCCTTGCAAATCATCGATCTACCTTACTATCATATCGTTAGACCCTGATGTACAGAGCGATGCACCTCGTGTCATTTTAAACATACCTTTGCCTTTGACGAAAGGACTTCATTTGAAAGTTTTATGAATGCTTACCCACATATGTGCTCCATGACGAGGGTCTACGGCCCCATCAACCGCCGCCTGTGATATGTTTCATGATAGCTTAATTGACTTCAATTGTTAGCATCTACTTAGCCAGGATAGGCCTTTCTATCATTCTATGCTTCCTCTTCTCAATCTAGCTGTGCCTTTGAGCTCTACTATACATACTATAGTCTATACCTAACACTTCGTGTGTAAGTTTGCATACAAGTTCCTAACTCTTCCTGGGTGGTTATTCCGGGAGAAATGCTGTATCCTCCTTCCGTAAGGCTCAATTTGTTTTGACAACACTAGACCAGGGTAAGGTACAGTTAGATTCGAAATTGCCTTCCATCTTTCACACAGAGAAACTATCTCGGACCCTAAGACTAGGCCGATACTAGAGGCGGCTATACCCTTTTGAGCGTTAATATGGAGCCTGACCTTTAGTTTTCTTTTACTGTGATTGGATCATCTGTCTTGGCAGAGGGTTCCAGAATACAAGTATGGGTAATTTTCGTGGAAGCCAATTTCGAATCTAAGTGTAACGAGGACCGTATACTGAGGTTGACGAGGCAAACAGAGGTGATTTGTTGAAGCCGAACGTATATAAAATCATTGTTGTGTGTGCCGAGCGGGCGCTAGCGGTGAACGGATGGCGGACCCACCCACGGGGCCTCCCGAGCCCCTTCCAACCAGGAACACGCGACGGTCGGCGGCGATCGACGCAGGAGAAAACTCTGAACCAAGGGACGCCCCTCGTACCAGGAGGCAAACACGCCTAGAAGAAGACAACAGCCATGTGACTTGGACTACTACAGAGCCGGAAAGCGCAGTGACCAGCAGTGGACGTGTGACAACCAAAGAGATTCGACAAATTATTGAACAACTGCAACACACCATTGACAAGCAAAGCGTGCTGATCCAGGCTACCAGAAACGAGCTTCGCGAAGTGAAACACAGCCAGAGCGAGCTACAGACCCAGAATGAGACGCTACGGGAAGAGATCCAAGCGCTGCGAACACAGGTCGAAAGCCTAAAGACACCGCCTTCGGGCCGATCGTGGGCGGCGGTTGCTGCAGACGTCAACAATTCGGACCCTCATGAGAACAGTCGACACAGAAAGAAAGAAAAGAACTGCGTCCGAATCAGCACTCGCCAGACATCAACCGACGCACTTGAATCAGAAGACAACGAAAACACCTTTGGACGATACCTACCTACCACGGAAGCGAACACCCACATCCGGAACGCACTATCAAACGACCCATCCACGCAAGATGTACAAGTCGCGGGAGTCGGCACCACTCGAACGGGATACATCATTCGATTTAAGGACTCGGAGTCGGCAGAGGCGGCCCGCTGCAACACTGAATGGCTAAGGGACCTAGGAAACGAGACCAGGCTGGTGAGACCACGGCACGGAGTAGTTGTGCATCACCTCCCTACCCACGGATTGGACCTCGAGAAGGATAAAGCAGGTGCTATCAAGAAACTCACAAACGAGAACGATCTCGCTGCTCGCGACTTCCGAATCGAAGATATCGCGTGGCTCAAGAAACGGGACAAGAACCTGGGGACGTTCGCCTCCATAGGCATTTGGTTTGATTCGGCAGAGGCCGCGGAATGGATGGTTGACAATGGACTGCTGATTGACCGGCGGTACATTGGGCGCATAGAGAGATACAAGGCTAAAGAAGGACGATGCTTCCGATGCCAACGGTTTGGCCACCAGGCGTGGTCCTGCAAAGAAAAGCAGCGCGGTGCGGACACTGCGGTGGCCCTCACGAACGATCAAGATGCCCACCCGGAGTCAGAGCACGGTGCTTAGAATGTAGTGGTGAACACCCAACCGGGGATTCCCTGTGCCCAACGCCAACCGGCCCTCTCGCCCCGCAATGTTAGGGAAACCTCTCCGAATCCTACAATTGAACATCATGAAATCGAGAGCGGGCATGGAGGCCCTCATAAACGACCACCAGAGCGAAAATCTAGACATCCTCCTAATTCAGGAACCACCAATCACTGCATATCGAACACATGTGAACCACAGCGCATGGCGACTATACAAACCAACAATCGAAGACGGCTCAGCTCGACTGCGAAGCCTCATCTATGTGAACCGTAGGCTCTCAACGGCCTCTCACCAACAAGTGCAATGCGACCACCCAGACCTAACAGCAATTAAGATCTGGACGGCCGAACTCCAGATCCTGGTCTTTTCGGTCTATATCCCACCCGTACCGATGCACAATCCCGACGGAACATCGGCAGAGACGACTCTATCCGCGATCCACCACACGATTCAGGAAAATACTCAAAACAACAGAAGGCCCACCTGTCTTATCCTATCTGGAGATTTCAACCGCCATCATCCGGCATGGGGGAACAACAACATCCAACCCCGCTTCGTTGAGGAAGCCGGCGAACTGATCAATTTCTTCCACGAACATGGTCTGCAGGGATGTCTCCCTCGAGGAGTCTCAACCTACTGGTCGCTGAGCCACCCGGGAAGAAGGTCCACGATTGACCAGACAGTGACGGATAAATCTGAGTTACTGCTCAAGTGTCATCTTTACCACGATAACTACGGCTCGGACCACCGGGCCACATACTCAGAGTGGAGCCTCCAGATACATCGCAACAACAATAAACCTCCAAGAAAGGCCTACGACCGCGCAGACTGGGGGAAAATTGGGAACGAGGTCATAAGTCTCATGGGGAAACAGACCGAGATGCACTCAACCCACGCACTCGATATGGCCGTGGAAAACCTCACTAAGACCACTGCGATCGCTGTCGACAGACACACGCCCGATCAGCGACCCTCCCCTTACGCTAAACGATGGTTCACGGCCGATCTCAAGGAGCAACAGAACAAAGTAAACCGCTTGCGACGCAGATGGCAGGCGAGATGTGCGGAAGCAGGACGAAACGATCCCCACAGCATGGCACTTTTCCAGGACATGCGCCAGTCGCGGCGGGCGTGGACCCGGACGATCGAAGAAGCAAAAGCATCACACTGGAAACAATTCCTTGATGAGGCCGGCGAAGGGAAGTTATGGAAGGCCGCGTCGTACATGAAACCACGGGAGGCGTGGGGTTGCGTCCCAACGCTCCGGGTCGGCGACAGGGAGGTGGCTGATAATCCAGAAAAGGCGCAAGCTTTCATGGACGCATTCTTCCCGTCGATGGCGCCCGCCGAAGACGAACAGCTGCCTAGACCCCCAGCCGAAATCCCATGGCAACCGATCTCAGAGATCGAGATCTACCGATCGCTCAGTACTGCAAAACCATCAACAGCGCCAGGTGAAGACGGTCTTCCCATGTTAGTCTGGAAACGTCTCTGGGATTACCTCGGGAGCATCATTACCAAGATTTTCACGGTGTCGATCGAACTAGGATATCACCCCCAGGGGTGGAGATGCGCCCAGATCGTAGTTCTGCGGAAACCAGGAAAGCCAGACTACTCGCAACCAGGAGCCTACCGCCCCATCTCGCTCCTCAACACGCTTGGAAAGTTATTGGAAGCAGTGGTCGCCCGACGGTTGTCCTTCTACGCGGAGCAGTACGGGCTACTACCGGACACTCAGTTTGGAGGCCGACCAGGACGCACCACCGAGCAAGCCCTTCTAGTACTTGCCAACGCAATCGACAAAGCGTGGTACAAACAAAAAGTGGTGACGCTAGTCGCCTTCGACCTAAAAGGGGCGTTCAACGGAGTCAACCAGACAAGCCTGGACGCTCGTCTCCAATCCAAGGGCATCCCTTTGGTTGCCCGACGATGGATCGCGAGCTTTATGAGCGGACGCCAAGCCAGTATCCGGTTCGATGACTACCAGACCGAGGTAGCACCGCTAGACAATGCCGGGCTGGCGCAGGGCTCTCCACTCTCGCCCATTCTGTTCACGCTCTTCAATAATGATCTGGTGGACCAGCCCGTAGATTCCAAAGGCGGAGCTTCGGCCTTCATCGACGACTATTTTCGCTGGCGAGTTGGCTGGAGTGCAGAGGAGAACCTAGCCAGAATCCAGTTTGAAGACATACCACGCATCGAAGCATGGGCCCGGAGGACCGGATCCTGCTTCGCGGCCGAGAAAACTGAACTTATCCACATCACTCGCAAGAGAAAGGAACAGTGCCAAGGGGAACTGATCATGAATGGCAAAGCAGTCAAACCATCCACAACGGCCAAACTACTGGGAATTATCTTCGACCATGAGCTACGATGGAAACCACACGTACAGCAGGCGGTCAAACGAGCTACAAAGGTCAACCTCGCTCTTGGTGGACTACGGCATTTACGCCCAGAGCAGATGCGTCAGCTCTACGAAGCGTGTGTCGCACCGGTCATTGACTATGCGTCTACCGTCTGGCATGACCCACTCCGAGATAAGACGCATCTTCGGCACTTACGCACCGTACAGCGGACTGCGCTCATCCGCGTTCTATCGGCATTTCGAACGGTGGCCACAGCTGCGCTGGATGTAGAAGCACACGTCCGGCCAATCCATCTTCGACTACGCTTCCGTGCACAGAATACCATTACAAGACTCCACACCCTGCCCCAAAAACATCCTATCTGGAGCACCCTTCTTCGGGCCCAGAGAAGGCGGGACAATATTGGATCATACGCCAGGTTCCCTCTAGCAGAGGCGTTGAAAACAATGAACTTGGAGAGACTGAGAGAAATCGAGATGATTGACCCGACCCCGCTCCCTCCATGGAGACCGGAGGGGTTCGCCAGAATCGAAATAGAACCTGATCGAGAGGTCGCAATAGAGAAAGCGGAAACGGTACGATCCATCTCGGACGTGATGGTCTACTCAGACGCCTCGGGGCGACAAGGTCATCTGGGAGCTGCAGCCGTCGCGATCGACGAGAGGCAGCAGACAACTGACAGGATACAAATACAGGTGGGCAGTATGGACCGCTGGTCGGTCCATGCGGCAGAGCTCATTGGGATTCTATACGCTATCAATATCATCAATCAAGTCGCGGTTCGACGTTGGACAGCATCGCACGCGCGGGTGAGATCCGCCACGATCTTCAGCGACAGTATGTCGGCACTGCAAGCTATTCGAAGACCGGGAACAAGTCGGGACAGCAGATCATCCACGCCATCCTACGAGCAGCCGAAACCACCAAGAACCATGGTACAATGATTCGACTACAATGGATCCCCGGTCACTGCGAAATACCGGGGAACGAGATCGCCGATCAGCTTGCTAAAGAAGCCGCCATCCCGGGCAAGACACACCCGTTCAGTCCCTTGATATCACGCGAGAGAGCACATATCAGGCAAGTTATTCAGGACCAATGGGCAGAGGAATGGAAAGGGTCGAAGACTGGCAGCCACCTGCGCCGGATTGACAACACCTTGCCAGCCAAGTACACACGTGGCCTCTACGGTTCCCTCCCGAGGAACCGGGCTTATCTACTCACCCAATTGCGAACTGGCCACTGCTGGCTATCAACATATGCAAAGACGTTTCGCTTCCGCGACAATGACCTATGTGTCTGTGGCGAACGCGAGAGTGTAAGCCATGTTCTGCTAGACTGTCCAGAGCTGAGAGCACTTCGGCGAGAGCTCCGAGAAAAGGTCGGCGAGGCGTTCAACAGCATTTCAACCCTACTAGGAGGGTCTGGAGGAGAGGAGAGAGGTAAGGTTAGCCATGCTTCGAAGGCGAAGACGGTGGAAGCCGTCTTGGACTTCGCTGAAGCATCACAACGGTTTCAAAGCCGAGCACCATGAAGACAACATGAGAACGAAGGGCTAGGGAGCCACGAAAGGCTTCGGCGAGGCATTAAGGTCGCTTAGGAAATTAGACACGGCAATTACGAAGAGACACATGTATATAGTTGTTGAATCCTGCATATCGTTCGCGAGGGGTCGGGGTAAATGAAATCATCCATCCATCCATCCAAGTGTAACGAGACAGAGGTATACAGTGTGATGAAAAAAAGCAAGGCAGGTTTAGCCGAGTGGCAACGTCAACCCTGCAGGGATGTTCAGGGCGTTCAAATGTCGGGCTGAAGGGACTGAAGGCTAAAGCGGTAAAGGATTGCCAATGTATAAAAAGCAAAAATGGGTGAACAAAAACATACAACAGCAGGGATTCACATGGGGTCACCCACCATACTACTAACCTGCCGGCGTGTGGCTTAAACGCGGCCAGTAGTCGGGTGGGTGTCGCCCGGGTGAGAAGTGGGTGAGCGCCGCTTTATGGTCGCGCGACTGGGGGTGACGAGGTTGAGTGCGCTATAGACAGGGTGATAACCTAAGTGGAAATCACCCGCCATCACCCGACTGCCGCACTGACATTTCCAGCTGAGCGGCAGTTGAATGCCATTGGATCGTAGCGTTCGTTCTGGAACAACTACTTTCTTGGCACCTGCACACAGCCTCGATTGCCATGGTACCCCAAATAAGTCGATGTACGGAGTAGAGATACCCGAAGGGTTGGGCTGCAATCTAGGGACCGATCCGCCCCCAATCTGCTTTCCAACTAGAAGGGTCTCCACCAGTTCCGCGGCTAAGGGCGTATGGTTAAAAACCTTGGAAAATATATCCTTCCCTTGAGGCTTATCTCAACATCAAAGTGGATCAACTTTGTGAGCTTACCAACTCGTATCATACATCCAGATGGTGGAGGGATCATGATGTTCGATAAAACGACAAGGAAAAACTCCGTGGGGTCCAAAATGCGCACCTCCTCTGTCTATCCCAGCCTCCTAAGACTGGCACCTCGGCGGGGTTGCGATCCGGTGCTTGTCCCCTGCTCCGTAGCGTAATTTACAGTACCACGAGTGGGGTGCCTATTGTGGTTCGTTGATCTGAATTTGTTGAAAAAAGCAAATATAAGCCTCCTCAAACAGGTTAACAGGGCAATAGGGCATTGGCCTTCAGCCCCAGAAACAGGCCCAGTGTCCAGTTCGGTCTAGGCGCTGCAAGCCCCCGACCTAGCATTAGCCGCATACATCTAACTAAAAAACTATACGCCCATGTTTCTATCCTGTACTTATGTTTTCCGTATTAAAGAGCGGGCGGCCCTGCAATCCACGCGTGCGATTGTGATTTGTTTCTGATATTCCGTGATGGAGATAATCCAAATGACTTCTCATGCCGATAATGAGCAAGACAGGCAAGACTCAAGGGTGGAATTGCTCTCAGAAAAACAAAAAGCACCAGGTCGATTTTCCTGGAGCTCCATCACTCTCGATACATGGATTCTTGAAGGGGCATCGCTGGGATTCAGTATAGCTTGCCTTATGTCCATATACGGTATCCTCTTCGCATATAACGGTAAACCGAGGCCAGAATTTCCCTACAATGTCTCCTTGAACGCCATCGTTTCTGTGCTGGCAACCGCTTGCAAGTCTTCATTAATATTCGTGGTGGGAGCGGGGCTCAGCCAGTTGAAATGGGTGTGGTTTCAAAACCGTCGAAAGTTGTCTTCCATTCAAGGTGAGCAATGCATCCTCTCCGTTGATCCACTTGAAATGCCCAAAAGTTCTTTGCACACCACATCACTCTTCACGGACATGCCAATCTGGGTGAACCCTCCACACAAGGTCCTTACATTCTCTAATTTTTGAATCAGCCTTCGAGGATGCCAGCCGTGGGCCAATGGGCTCGATATCCTTTTTATTCCGACACCAGGGCCAGTCGATAGCCTCGCTCGGTGCCACGATCCTGATATTGATGTTGGCATTTGAACCCTTCGTGCAACAGATCCTGAGCTATCCCACTGAACGGATCCGAACAGCGACCGAGACGCCTGCAGCGGCTGCGCCACAAGTACAATACTATAATATATGGTTGGCAGGAAATACCCTGACCAGCGCATACTATAAGGGAATATGGACCAAAGACTTCAACATCGAGCCTACCTGTCCATCAGGTGACTGCACCTGGCCAAGTTATAAATCCCTTGGCTTTTGTAGTCAATGCTCGGATGTCACATCTACTGCGACGCTGAACTGTGCTATGCCGCCTTCCAGCCATAAAGCGATGCAGAATGCTACATTGAACGGGACATGTGAAGTTGTGCTTCCTCAGGGCAGACCCTCTGGGACAAGGGTAGAGGCAACAATCAGAAATGGAACCCCCGATTGGATAGAATGGAGCATGGAAGCAGTGTGGGAGGTGGAAAACTTTCCTGTTCTGGACGGTTCAGCTTATTCTGGAGTCGAAAATCCTCTAGTTGTCATGGCTCAGTCCACATTGGGTTTTGACAATACCCGCATCACAAATTTGTCAGACCCAACGGAAGGGATTTTCATCAAGAAAGTCACACAATGTGCCTTCAACTTTTGTGTCAACGAATACAATGTCCATGTCACCAACGGCACAGCCGTCCTTAAGAAATCATCGCCTGACTTCGGCAAGACGGAAAATTTGACCGGTCCAGAAATCAACGGGAAGTCCTCACTCCTTTGCTGGGCGCCTAGTCAAATACCGAACGATGCAGAACGCCACTATGATATTGTATATCAAAAGGATGTGGTGCCACTGCCGGTAGGCCCGGAATTCACATACTGCGATCTTGAGAAATATGGGAATTATGTCTTCACTGGGTACCTATTGGCTGGATCGACTGTCAATACTTGTAGTCGCTTGAAGTCCGGGTGGGAATATGGCCAACAGGTGGGGGCGCTGGATATGATCGATCAAATTCTGGCCCTTGGGCTAGACGTAACAGGGTCGCGGGTTGCGGACTCGATGACCAAGACCCTTTTGCAGAACTTGAATATCACTATCCCAGGATCGATTTACGCCAACCAAGTGATGGTCAGGGTTCAGTGGGCATGGATAGTTCTTCCAACATTGCTGGTCATATTAGGGAACGTGTTTCTGGTTTGGACTACATGTACCAGCAGAAAGAAGATCATTTGGAAGTCATCTGTACTGGCTTTCCTCTTCCATGGCTTGGGGGATCAGAGAGAACGGGATGATTGTATGACTAGTAGTGGGATGGAGAAACTGGCGGGGGCTATACATGTCCAGTTACATCCTTCTCAGGATGATGCACGTGTGATGCTACGTGAAAATTAGTCTCAATCGATTTAGCTTCAATCAATTTATTATGTCTAGTGTTTGTCTCGCCATACATATTTGACAGTTATTAGAAGTAGAATTTGCTGATAGCACTAGGATACGACGGAATAGCCTAGTGATCGTGGATAAGAAAATGGATGGGGATGGATGAAGCTATCTGCTGCCTAAGCCTACATACATATGTGCTGCTGTACGGTATGACTACCTCATGGGGAAGGAACCACCTTCTCCAGCAGAATTCACTCTGATTCGTTTAGATTAAATCATAATGCTTCTAATCGCCCTTTGAATAATGTTCAATGCACGAATAATGTATTGGAATCGAAGAGACGTATGGCAAGAGAGTAGTATTTGAAGTTTAAGCCTAGGGATTGGAGAAACTCAACATGTCCCCGATATGCCGTTTTCGGAGGACTAAAGACACCTCCATCACACCCCAGTCTCCAGAATTCTCACCCATATCACCCGCACTCCCCTAACACAAACCTGATACTAATTTAAGATCGGGGCTCTTTAGTTACTGGCCGCATTGTCTGCAGAAGGTATTCTCTGAAGCCACTGGTCGATATTTCGAGCCTTGGTATTTGTGAACGCTGGGAATCTCTTCCTGGCACCCCCAAGCCGTCGAATACGTTTCTGACGTTTTGGAACTGAGCGCTGCCTAGATACCTTAGCACGATTGAGACGGCGTTTTCGAAGAATATGATATTTCTTCCCCCGTAGTGATTCGACTGTTCGGCTAGTCCCATACTGCTGATTATAAGCGGCAGCACGAGCGTCCCAAGACAGAGATGTGCTAAAAATGACGTTGGTCCTATTTCCTCAATCTGGTTCCTAGTACTGTCGGCATAGCGATCGCTATTCCCTCCAATGCCATTCGAACATTCACTTATTTCTAGCTGCTCGACGGGGAGACATATGACTCATAATTATGTGCTAACTACCGAGTTCCGGCTACCATGCCTCTTCACTCTTAGTGACCAGTAGGCTGTGCCCTAGAGGACCCACTAAATCGACTTTTGTCAAATATACCGAACAGCTGTCGGCAACGCATGGTAAGATGAAAGCTACCAAAGCCCAGCTATCTATTTCAATCAACGAAACGACCTGGTAGCAGCCCATGGTGTTCCACTTCGAAGCCAGGCAAGCCCGAAACGGCGCGTCAGGCGACCTCCAGCGGCCTGGCTGCCAATTTCAGATCACAATTTAAACCCGATTTAAATTTGAGAACATATATAATGACCAAGAATTTCAAACCAGTACAGTCATTCTCGAAATCGCCTTGACCAATACACTCTCCATAACTCTTTTCCGGCCCCACCGCCAAGACCTTAGCGCAGATCATTTATTGAGCGGGCTGCTTTAAATTGAGGGGAGCAGTAAGATCGACTTGGTAAGTTACAGTATCAAGCTACGTAATATTACACCATACGTACCAAAACCCCACGGAATTCCATAGATCCCCGAAGCTTTGCTGGGCTCACAATTGCGACCACTATTCAGCAATGCCAGAGCTGCACTAACCTCTTCTACTATCCTTTCAATAAAAACTTGAAAGCACAAAATATAAATTAGTTGGTATAATTGGTGCAAGTTCAGACGTGAAATTGCTTTTTGCCTTGGTCGTAGGGAAATTATGTACTGAACCCACGGCTATTGTAAGAATAATTAGGGGAAAGTCTATAATTTATATGGGAAGGTTCAGACACTACTTTACATCTGAAATGCATAAGGTATCTAATTTGTCTACAAGTCGCCGGGACCTACTGTGATCCGGACCAAAGACCCTCTCGTAACCTGTCAGTGCTCGCTGATACATGTCCTCTGCCTCTCTCAGCTTCCCCTGACTTTTGTAGAGATTCCCAAGGTTGTTGATTGTATTGAAAGTCGGTAGGTTTGTGTTATGATCGGGACCGAGAGCTTTCTCGTAGCCTGCCAGTGCTCGCTGGTACATGTCCTCTGCCTCTTTCAGCTTCCCCTGATAAGAGTAGAGAAGACCAAGATTGTTGATTGTATTGAGAGTCGGTAGGTGTGTTTTATGATCGGGACCGAGGGCTTTCTCGTAGCCTGTCAGTGCTCGCTGGTACATGTCCTCTGCGTCTTTCAGCTTCCCCTGATAAGAGTAGAGAAGACCAAGGTTGTTGACTGTACCAAGAGTGGACGTATGATCAGGACCGAGGGCCTTCTCGTAGCCTGACAGTGCTCTCTGGTACATGTCATCTGCTTCTTTTAGCTTCCCCTGATCTTTGTAGAGACCCCCAAGGTTGTTGACTGTATCAAGAGTGGACGTATGATCAGGACCGAGGGCCTTCTCGTAGCCTGACAGTGCTCGCTGGTACATGTCCTCTGCGTCTCTCAGCTTCCCCTGAAGAAAGTAAAGACCCCCAAGGTTGTTGACTGTAGTGAGAGTGGACGTATGATCAGGACCGAGGGCCGTCTCCTTGCCTGACAGTGCTCGCTGGTATATTTCTTCTGCCTCTCTTAGCTTCGCCTGATCTTTGTATAGGTTTCCTAAACTATGAAATGCTTCCCACACCGCAATATCATGGCCTGGACAATCCCTACGACGTACACAGTTCGCATGTGGAATAAGCCGTTGCTGAAGCTCGGAATAGTTTCTTTCACTTGCACTAGGGACAATGCACCCAACAGATATCAGTGACAGTTCATTGAGCTGGATTGAATTCACGGTTTTGTCTGCGTTGGCGAGGTGAATGCACCAGTCTTGTACCACCGGGTGCAGGGCGTAACCCCCTTGTTCCTTAATCTCGAGTAGAGAGAACTCGATGAGAGCCTTGACACCAATTTTGAACGCGATTTTGCTTGATATGGTCCTTTCAAGCCAAGTTGGGAGATTTGAGCTCTGACAGCTACCTTTTATAAGTTCATACCAGATATCTCGGTTATCGAAACGAGCAAGTAACAGAAGCAGTTCTGCTGCATTCGTGTCTCGCTTCTGAATCTCACGATATGAGATCATCCATGTTTTCAGCATATTGCCTTGCTGGTACTGGCGCTCAGGGTTTGATTGCAGCTGTAGTTCGGACCAAGATACCCGGTAATACTCTAAGTACTCAGTAATGCTGGTTCCAGTTTCGCGCATAAACGCCCCAGCGATGACGATCGCCAATGGAAGTCCATCAAGACGGCTCGCAAGAGCAACGGTATCTAAACATATTAGTATCATGAATAAGATTTAAATATTGAGTTCCTTGATACCGCGATTGCTCTCAAGCTCCTTCGCTATATTCGTCATTGATAGACGGCTGCTTTGTAAGAGCAGTTGAATCGCATCCTTCAAGTCAAGCCTATTGATAGGAAATGACTTTCCCAGCTCTGTCAACCCTTGCAGTCGAGAGGTAATGAGAATAGAACCATGGTCGGCTCCAGGGAAGAGTTCAGCAATGTCATATGCATCACCAGTGGAGCTAGGGGAGTATTGGTCGATGTTGTCGAAAATGATCAGCCAGCGTGAGTTTCCCTCTATTGCTAGCCACCGTAACACATCTCTAGCTCGTTGTTCCACTTCCTCGTCATTTATCGCCCCGTCAACATGTGACTGCCCTGGTAATCGGGGCAAGACAGAGCTCAATGATTGCAAGAGTGTGCCTCGGTCCTTGCCACTCAGCCAGAAGATGGCTGTGAAATTGTGCTTGTGGTCTCGTGCGAAACGAATCGCGAGTTGTGTTTTTCCCATCCCCCCAAGCCCGTGAATAATTGCAACCTTTCTTGACTGGGAAACAGTGGGCTGTAAATACTGCCAGAGTCGGTCTAGTTCACCTTGCCGTCCCAGAAAACTTCCAATCACTGGCACAGCCGTCAGGTCTAATGGGACGTCAAAACGGTGGACTATGCATGTGAACGAGGATTTAGCAATCAATTTGAAATACTGAGGGAGTACTGTAGACATTCTCTTACCAGAGTCTGTAAGTGCGTCTCGTGCCGTTGGGGTACTATTGATCTGATCGATTGCAATCACCAAGAGAAGCTCTTTCGCGTAGGCTGCCGCCACTGCCGCCGCATATCCTTGCCATTCCTTATTCTTGTGTGAGTCGGCGTAGTCGCAGATGCCTCGAATGACCAGACACGGAAAGTCATTCATAAGTCCCGCCGCTTCCATCTCCACACAATATATACCCAAGTCCCGGGCTAGCTGATCTCGCCGCTTGCCGTCTTTCACCACTTGATTGGCAGATCCAATGAGCCCGTAATGGATAACTGGTTCTTGGTGCTCTCGTGGGGGCCGTGGACATAATTTGGTCCGATCACAACTCAAACACGTATCGGATGCGATATGATCATATTCTGCTTGGAATAGACAATCCTCTTGCGTCGGTCGTGTGAAATTCCTGGCCTTGTGTGGTGGCATTTTGGCTCGGATGGTGGAAACAATTTCAACAACGTGGCTATCCTCCGTGAAGTGATGTGCTCGGATGGTAGCGAGAGCGGTTAACAGAACCTGAGGGGATCGATTAAGCATCCCTATTCGCTTGAAATGGCCACCGCTTAACGCTTTCCCTAGATCGTACTGGATCACCCCTCCAAATGTGTCCGATGGCTGGCTCACTACGATATCCCCGAGTCGAATGTCCGCATTGCTGCTTGGCACCCCTCCGCCGATACCGACCATTAAGCCAATGCGAACGGCGTGAAAACTGGACATCAACTGCATCGCAACAGTTGTGGCTGATATATTGCCGCATGCGCCAATCGGTAAACTAGCAATAACGACATTGTGCTCCCCGATGCTTCCAAGGATATATGTATTTTGATCCATCGGCAGGCGAGGTAAAGGCGGGTGTATTTGGTCCAACATCAGCCTCGCAGCTGCTGTCTCCACAGGCAACGCACATATCCATCCGACCGTGTAATCATCGCGGGATAGGGGGGTTCCTAGCTTCCATAATGGGCTATTTTACTATCGAATTGTTGCCTTGAAAGGTTTAGCTGGCTGACTCGTGGGGAACATGTTCGAAACAAAACAAAGTTTTCCGAAGCGCAGGTCGTGGAAATGATGTCGAAGTTCGTCAGGAGGCGGGGTTGTGGTGAGGCTGCATCCGTGCCCAGAGCCATCTGTCGTACTTGATTGTACCGTAGAAGGACCGGTACTACTGTACCCATGGCTCTCAGTCCACCTACACCGTGGTATTGTGTCGTGCTGGCCTCAACCTCCCAAATTAAAACTTTCACGCCGGCCCGGTCCGCTCCTGGCTTCTACCAAGCCGGTTGTGCATTCGCATGCTGAATGTAGATGACCGAGGATGGGAGAGGCGACTGAAGAGTGCAGCGCATAGAATCCAATAGAATCATGTAGAATGTACTGGCGCAGGTGACGTCATAAAACTCAGTTTCACTGTTGGGCCGTATGCGCAGGGGCTGCCGCAAACTACATAACACATCGCCTGGAGTTTGTCCAGATAGTAGCACATTTTTTTAAACAACCACCCTGTTTGTATCAAGCAACATGGCACCAAATCTCAAACCCCCACAGTTCGAACTTATTCATCATATGATTCAGAGTAGCTCACTAACGACGTCTCAGATGGCCCATACCGCCAACTGCAGCAAACAATCCGTACTACGCATTCGCTCCAACCTCAAAGTATTCGGGAACGTTAGGGCGCCGCGAAATGGTGTTGGACGCCCGCGAAGTATCACGCCATCCATGCTCGAAGCCCTTTGCGAATATTTGATGGAGAAGCCGACTTTATATCAGGATGAGATGGCTCTCTTCCTATGGGACGAATTTGGGAAGCATGTGACAATTCAAAGTATCAGCAGAGCGCTTGCTTCGGTCGGATGGTCGAAGAAAGCAGCTCGGCAGATTGCAAAGGAACGAAATGCAGATTTGCGGGACTTCTATCTCCACAATCTATCGTCTTTCAAGTCGTACCAATTAGTCTTCGTGGATGAATCAGGTTTTGACAAAAGGGCGGGGTTTCGACGGACCGGTTGGTCCCCTCTCGGGGTTACACCAGTCCAAATCTCGAAGTTCCACCGGGATAGACGCTATCAGATACTCCCTGCATATGCTCAGGAAGGAATTGTTCTCCGACGGGTATTCCAAGGCGCTACCGATGCCGATGTTTTCGAAGACTTCATCGAGCAACTTCTGCAGCATTGCAATAGGTGGCCAGGGCCAAAGTCCGTCCTCATTATGGATAATGCTTCTTTTCATCGTACCGAGAATATCCAGCGGATGTGCTTCGATTCCGGCGTTAAGCTAATATATCTCCCCCTTATTCACCGGACTTAAACCCTATTGAAGAGTTCTTCTCCGAGCTCAAGCAATTCATCAAGCGGAAGTGGAAGGAGTATGAAATCAACCCAAACCAAGGTTTCGATGCGTTTCTTGAGTGGTGTGTTGACGTGATTGGATCAAGAGTATCAAGCGCCAAGGGTCATTTCAAACATGCGGGTCTAATAATTGATGAACTCTAATTCCCTCAGCTAGATGCATAGAAGATACCTCAAACAGTATAGACGCCTATATAATCCACTAGAATAACTAATTCTCGCATCACATACCCGCCTCGTTTGTCACGCATCCATTGTAGGTCTCCACCCAGTACCTAATATCCCTGACAAAACGCCGAGCAATACCCCACTTAACACCATGCGCCTTAAAGTAGTTAGGATCTTTATCTTCATCAATCTGCGCCAAATCCAGTCCATCATCTAGGGCTATATCGCATGCTTTTCTGACCTCCGCCTTCAATGCCTCGTCACTCAAACGTGACTGTTGCCAGGAGCTGTACTCTCTCACGGTAACATCGAGGAGGCCTGAAATATGAAGAACAGGAAAATTGACTGAGGCAAAAGTGTTCTCTGGTGGTGCGGATGTTGACAATCCAGCTGCTTGTGGGGCTTGTGTTGGAAGCACATTTGTGATAGTAATAGGAGGGCAGCTTGCCTCAGCAGTAGATCGATTATTGGCTCGCGGTCTGTCGAGCCGTTGTCTCTCTGCTCTATAGATTTGCTCACGAATCATACCAGGTACATCTTCATGCGACTGTAAAACCCCACCGCTCTGCACATATTTAACCAAGCTCTCTAGCTGATCCCGGTAGAGCTTATAGTGTTTTTTTCCCGTAAGGATCCTGCCAGCAGTGCGGGCCGAGTTCACAGGACCCAGGACAACGCATCAAAGCATATACCTCTTTCCAGGCTGGAGGCTCCCCAGAAGCTGCTTCCTCAGCATAGATCTGTCGGTCTCGGTCTTGAAGCATTCGCTGGGTAGCAGACGAAGTACCTCGTTTATCAGTCGTCCTGCCACTTACGTTTGAGCTCGAAGCCTTCTCCACGTAATTGAATGAGATAGCCAGTCTCAGTTTCTTGCCAGCAAGAAAAAGCTCTCCCCAATCCAGAAGCTGTTTTTCTACAGAATTCCAATCAATGTCGGTGCCCTCAAACCTCAGAGTGAAGCCCTTCTGCCGAGTGGCGGATACGACAACAGACGTGTCATCTGATTCAAGTTTTCGGTGCGGATGCTTTCGTATGAGTAGCTCCTTTAGCTTTGGTTGCAAAAAAAGCCTCCAGTGAAATCGAGGGGCTAGAACAAGGTTTTGTTCTGTATCTTTCGCCACCGTCCTGTTATTGAGAGTAACCTTCCACTCGATCAAGTAGTGGATACAAGTCGGTGGATCCTCGTCATACGTCCGACCTTCCTCCCAATCACCGAACTGGAGTAACGGAAGACTATTCTTTTGCGATGCAGCTTGATGTGGAGGGGCGTAATCGACAGAGCAGATAGGATCGACGTTGGTGCAACTTATTTCGGACGGGGAGGAGGGGTGAATAATGAAAGTTGCCAGGTGTTAGTGCATATTGTGATGAGTCGACCCACGGGTCAAGTGCCATGCTTTGTTGAACGCCATAATCATCATGGCTAACGAGAGAACTGCAAGTCATTTTCTTGAGCCTACGGTAACGACAGACTAAGGGTTAGTGATGATTAGTTGTGTAAGGACTCGGGATGAAATGATATCCATGTAGTATTGACGAAAAGTATCAAAGCTGAAGAAAGGAAAGAGAGGTAAGCTCTCGCAATTGTTATGGTACAGATGGAACGGACGGTTGCGGGTCATGTGATCAGGCACGTGACTCTGACAACCTCGGGTTCGTTACATAGATCAAAATAAAATTGATAGTATAATTAGATCGATGCCTCAGCGTGTGAGCGAGACTCGTAAGGCACGTGGCTACTATACTCGGTTTTTGCAATTGAAATTTTGTTATATAATTTGTAATTGATTATTCTATATTATAGCAAAATTTGGTACAATAATATTGCATACTGCCTATATATATTTGAATGCAGGGTGGGTAAAATGGCAGAATTACCCGATTAGGCGGTGTCTTCAAACTTATGGCCCAAGATGGTATCTCGGATGATAATACGACTGACGGGGCAGAAAGGTCGACAGGGTGTAAGAACTCGGATGGATCAGAAATTGAAGCAGTAGTATTGAACGAAAGTAATAAGCTAAGGAAAGAAAGAAGAGAGGGAAGCTCTCATCGCAGCTATCATACAGGAATGGGTGCCTGGGTCACGTGCTATGACACGTGACACAACTCCGAGAAGCCTCATGCCGTTACATAGTCCCCCTTTTTTAAAAGGCCTGGTCCCCAGGCCTAGTCATTTCGTCATTGGTTTATTGTCATCTTCATGATCGTCAACGAATTCATCGTTCTTAGCCGCGTCCAGCCATATTGGCAGCCTCATCGAGGGTCCTGGTTTCGCAGGGTATCGTAGATGAAATGCCGCCAGTTTCTCCGGCGCGTTCTTGAAGTCTCCCGCAGGATACCAATTAGTATCTTCATTTCCGATCCATGATGCTCGATATTGTAGGCGGCGATAATATAGGCGGCTGTCCTCTATTTCATCGACTTCGAATTCCTCCTGATCGTTGACCACGACCGGAGGTTCAGCGTCAGGGATCTGTCCCGTCAACGGCTTCGAGTGTGCTGCGTGGCGTAGCTTTTCGGGTGCGAATACCGGGTGCACTTTCATGCTATCTGGAAGTTGCAGCTTCCATGCATTGCCAATCTTTTCAATGATCTCGAACGGGCCATATGCTTGATGGGATAGCTTCCGATTAGGTCGGTCAGTCTTCCAAAGTTTTGCGGTAACAAAGACAAGATCGTGAACTTTAAAATCATCTTTGCGGCGTCTGGTGTCGGCGTAGCGTTTCTGATCTTTTTGAGCCTCCTCAATTGACTCGCGAGCAGTCTTCCAGACCTGTTGTATCTGACTCATCATATCCCGGGCCCTCTGCGCTTCGTCTGTAATCACTTCTGGGACATCGGTGATCCAGTCAAAAGACATCTTCGCATCAAATCCTTTCTCGGTAAAGAACGGGGATTGGCCTGTGCTGTCTTGTGGGAGAGTAGCGGCAGCGTAGTCGACGATCGGGAGATATTCGGACCAGTTATCCTGCTGATAGTTTACTAGCACACGTAAGCGTTGTGCCTGTTGTTTATTCGCGTTCTCTGTCTGCCCGTCTGTCTGTGGATGGTATGCTGTAGATGGTTTATGCTTGATACCGAGAATGCGGCTAAACTCTTGCCAAAAGACGGCCATAAACTGAGGCCCGCGGTCGGAAACGATTGTGTCTGGGATACCCAACCATGGCATTACGAATCGAATAAAAAATTGTGCAGTCTGTTCAGCGGTAGTTGTTTTATGACAAGGTATTGAGATAGGTCGTTTCGTAAGACGATCAACGAAGACAAGAACAGCGTCATATCCGTGACGGTCCTTTTCGAATGATCGGAAGTCCATCGAATGGTGTTGCCCAGGTCGATCAGGTATCGGGAGAGGTTGTAGCAGTCCAGGGGGTTTGTCATGCCACACCTTTGTCCGCTTGCAGGTCAAGCAGTTATCGATGTACCGTTTAACATCAGCAGACCATCCTACCCAGTAGTATCGGGAGCCGACCAGCTTCAACATCTTTCCGCTCCCAGGGTGTGCTGTCATAGGTTGACGATGGATTTCGTCAAGCAGACGTGCGCGGAGGTCGCCCTCATCAGGCACGACAAGACGGCCTTCAAAGAGCAGTTGCTCATTTTCAACAGTCCACTGCGTTTCATCCTCATCTGCTGCCTGTATCCGATACTTATCAAGGGAGGGGTGGGTCTTGTTAGCCGATAGAACACGCTCAACAACATTATCTGTCAGATTATCTGTATTTCCAGGGTCGGTAATAGGCTGAATAGTCAGAGGGGCCATTGTTATCAGTGCAACCGTGAACGGGGAGGGTCCCAGCATCTCAGGTTTCAACAATGAGGGCTGTTCGATGCGAGCAGGGGATAGCTCCTTTTGGGAGAGGATATCTGCGATGATATTGTGTTTTCCAGGTTTATGATGTATCACAAAATAGAAGCGTGATAGGAACTCCTGCCAGCGGGATTGGCGACCGTTTAATTTCTTCGTTGTCATGAATGCCTGCAGCGGGCCATGATCTGAATAGATCACGAATCGTTCCATCCGCTGTAGGCCTTCGAGCTCTGGGCGCCACTCCGTCAGCGCGCGAACAATAGCCAGCATCTCTTGATCACCCGTATCATAATTTCGTTCGGCTGGATCCATAGACTTTGAGAGGAAGGCTACTGGGTGCCAGGGCAACGTAGGGCTTGATCTTTGATGTAATACTGCGCCTGTGCAGCCCTCAGAGGCGTCAGTTTCGACTTTTGTCTCTGCCTCTGGGTCGTAATGTCGAAGGATCGGAGCGGATGCAAGATTTATCTTTAGGGTGTCAAATGCAGCCTGACATTCTGGAGACCACTTAAACAGCACCTCCTTGCGTGTCAGTTGATGCAACGGTCGACAGATATGACTGTAACGTTCGATAAATCTGCGATAGAAGTTGCAGAACCCTAGGAAGGACTGTACACCGCGGACTGTTGTCGGTGCTTCCCAGTTCTTGATGACTGCGACCTTTGCAGGATCGACAGCAATACCGTCTGTGCTGACAATAAATCCTAGAAATTTTGTATTTTGAACGTGAAATTCGCATTTGTTGATTGAAGCTTGCAATCCTGCTTCTCGAAGGCGTTGAAGGACCTTCCTCACGTGTTCCACATGCTCCTCGATCGTCTCGGAGAAGATCAAGATATCATCAACATATGCAGTCGCGAAATCGTCAAGGTATTCGGCTAGTGTCGTGTTGATAAATCGCTGGAAGGTAGCAGGGGCGTTTGTCATTCCGAATGGCATCACTTTGTACTTGAATGATCCATATCGTGTACGGAAGGTCGAAAGATCTTCTGCATCAGGATGTAGTCGGATCCGGTGAAAGCCTTGACGAATATCGAGCTTAGTAAAGATCTTCGCATGGCTCACGCGTTGCAACGACTCGTCGATCAAGGATACTTCATCAGGCCATATCAACCGATTCTTGTGACAGTCAGCGAGGACCTGGAAATGGTCAAACCAATCCCGACCTAGGATAAGGTCGTATTGGCCGAGGTCGGTAATCATCATAGGTATTTGTAACTGTCGGCGTCCGTCTAGGTATAGCGTGAAACGGACAAAATGAGTGATCGGGGTACCAGGGTGGCCGTCGTAGCCCTTCACTGGGATAGGTTTATCGAGCTTTTCAACATACACGCCGGAATTTCGATGTAACTGTACCACCAACGGGGTGTTGATGTACACGAATCCTTGTGCTCCAGTATCTCCGAGGGCTGTAATAGAGAATGATCGTCCATTGCAAACTAGCTGTGGTTTCAGTACAAAGGCTTTCGTAGTCATCATTCTAGACATATCCAGATCCATCAGCGATATCTCAGGTCCGCCTGGTAAGGAGACTTTCACCAGGCCTAAGCTTTTTCCTGTTCAGAATGATTCTTAGCGAGGGGAGCCGGGGCTTCCATATCCTTGAGATCAACAACAGCGACCTTCGCTTTTGTCTCGGCAGCGAGACGCAGTGCACGTTTCGGACAGTCCTTGCCCATATGTCCTTGTTCGTTGCACTCAAAGCAGCGTCCTTCTGACTTCCGCTTTGCCATTTCGGCAACATCAAGACGGGGGCGGAGGTAGAAGTAGCGGGCGCAGCCGCTGGCTTTTGGTTTCGCGCGGGAGGGTTCGCGGTCGGAGGCTTCGTATTCGCAGCTTCCGTAGCCTTAGTCTGTTGAGCGTCAGCGTCCATGATCTCCAGGATCGAGGCAGTACGGTGAGCCTTCTCGATGTATTCGTTGATGGTAACGTCAGTCTTTGATGCTTTTCCAACAAGTTTGTGTTGTAGCTTGGGGATAAGCTTCCGATGCAGGAGTTTCACACGTTTATTGTGAGGAATCTGGGCGTCGTTTGCGAGACGGGTGAATTCGGCGAGGAAGATGGCGAATTTGTCAGTATCCTTCATTCGCAAGACCTCAAAATCATGCTCAGCTCGCTCCTGACGGACAGGATCTCCGTAGATAGCCTCCAGATAATCAAGGATATCATCGCCGTCATCAAAAGAGGTATCATCGTTGTCGTCATTCAGCCCGGGGACAATCTGATCGTAAGCAGCGCCAGTCAGTCGGCTAGCGACGTAAGTTTTACGGAGGTCAGGGGTTGAGAAGTGATCCGCATTAGCCTTCAGCTTCGACTCCATCGCAGTACGCCAGCTCCTAAACTTCATATCGGTGCCAGTACCATCGGAAAAGACTGGGGGGTCAGCGAACTTGTAAGTCTTAGCGGGTTTCGACTCTCTGGTCCGAGAGCGTGTTCGTGAGCGACGGTAAGGACGCGAGTGACGGTACTGGGAGCGGGATCGAGATCGAGATCGAGATCGTTGACGAGGGCGTTGGCGAGAAGCCGGTGGTTCAGACTCTTGTTCCATGCTCATTTTCAGGTTATCCAGTTCGTGGCGAAGCTCATCACGTTCCTGTTCAGTAACCTTCAACTGCGTAAGGTACCGACTCACTTCACTCCTGATCTTGATTAGAGTCTCTTGCTGAGTCTCTTGTGACCTTCGTTCGATCTCTCGCTCCTGAAGGGTCTTGTTGAGACGAGACGTGGCCGCATTCTGGTCGTCAAACAGCTGTTTGTATCGTGTCGGGTCCTCCTGGAGGAATGTCTGAAGCTCTTCAGGGTCGAAAAACTCACGATGTCCATCCTCGTCGCCTTGATCAACGCCGGGGAGCTCAGGGTAAGTCACAAAGAAAGAGCTACGGCGATCGTCCTTTGATTTACCCTTATCGACAACAACGATCGGTGTTCTCTTTGGTTTCTTTGAGGTGGTCGGGGCCGGTGTAACGGGTTCGGCTTCAGATTCAGCCTCACTCTCAGCGTCGTGATCGGTACCACGTTCGCTGGCCTCACTGACTTCTTCTTCTTCAATTCGTGCCTTCGGGCCGCTGCCCTTGGCTTTCGCAGGTGTCGGACGGACCATCGTGTCGTGATTCGTCAATCGGTTCGATGCCAAGCTATCTTGGCGTGTTCGGTGGGTTCGAAGGTTTAGTGGGGCGATCCTAGATGGTCGAGGCTGCACGCGAACGTGCGTCTGTACGACCTTAGGTGCTCCGAAAAGGAAAGAATGGTGGTTGTGAGCTTATTACTATGTAAGAACTCAGATGGATCAGAAAATGAAGCAGTAGTATTGAACGAAAGTAATAAGCTAAGGAAAGAAAGAAGAGAGGGAAGCTCTCATCGCAGCTATCATACAGGAATGGGTGCCTGGGTCACGTGCTATGGCACGTGACACAACTCCGAGAAGCCTCATGCCGTTACAGGCAGCAACAAATATCTGCGCCGCAATAGCAATACGGATATTTGTCACTCGAGATGCCCATGAAATGCGAATGATATTTGCGATGATACGAGACATGCAGAAACCGAATGTTATGGCGGATGGGATAAACTTGTGGTCTCGCGCGAAGTTGCGGCGTAATAGAGCCATGTGAGAGGCAGCACCGGCAAGGAACAGAGCAAGAAATACGGCGCACACTGGGACGTCGACGGAGACCGTAGGGCTGCCGCCCAGTACAGCGTCTTTGGGAGCATATGGTCCTGCCATTATCTGCAATGGTTGTTTCCAGTCCGTTAGGGTGAGGGCGAAGAGTCAGGACACAAAGCTGAAGGATCGTTTGCCTGGGTGAAATGTATGGAGTGTCTTGAATTTGAGTTGGAAATAGAGAAAAACGCAGTCAAATGTCAGGATATTTGATCATGAGTGTGAGGATGCTCAGATGCTCACAGAGATCAACGTACGGCGTAGCATACGAAGCAAAGGAAACAGTAGCTGTTCGACGAAAGTAATAGCTTGAGGAGAAGAAGGAGGAAGGTGAGATAGAACTAAGTACATGTAGGCGTGGATGCCTAGGTGGATGCCATCTACGTCAGGCATCCGCGAATGGTAACAACCCCAGTTCGTTACAATGAGGCATAGAAAATAAAGTAAAATCCGTGGCCGTTCGAACCCTGATGGGGCATATATTTAACCAAAATTCTGTCTCGGTGCGGTTCCGGGTTGACCGGAATCCAGGACCCAAAAATGTTGTTAAAAATCCTGGGTCCCGATCAGGTACCGACCAGCGAAAGAAATATTTTTATTTTATTTTAATAAACAAAATTAGGCAATTCGTGGAAATACAGGGAGGGATTCTTCAAGTTTCTCTCTAATAATATAAGATCACTCTTCTCGATTTCTTGGACAGCTCATCCACTTTAGATTTGCCCTTTTTCCATATTATTTTGTTGACAGCTTCCGTCTCTTGCGATAACTTGTAGTTTTCATAGTCGGTGTCTCTCGCGCTTCGCAATAGCGGCTCGAGCTGAAATGGCTATCTCCAATGGCATCGATAACTTGGCCCAACTACATTGATACTTCAGGTCTAAATATTCCATCAATCAAAATAAACTGCACTTGTTAACGACGATTGAGATAATTCTCTTAGTAAATATGGATATGCAAGTTCCGTTAACTCGAAACTCTCGTGAATAATACTGGGATAAATGAGCAATGAAAATTATTTGTAGGTATACATTCCCTTAAAAAAAATAAAAAATTTCACAGGGGTGCTCGAAATATGATTTTATTCGATTCTGCCGCTCTTTTCATATGCTTGTGATTTGTTTGACTCTTGATCTGGAAAAGTCCGACCGGTGAACAATTAGTCAGAGCCTTAGGCACTAGTTAGTTAACATCCCATTTAACTAACTAAGTAGCTAGTTATTGAGAGAAAAGCTGACCACCTATTCTACCTTATAATGCACAACGATACCCTTTGATAGTGTAGGGATTGGACAATTGAAATCCCAGAATTCGCTGTAGATCTACGTCATCGGATCCTCATATGAATCGTCAAATGGATGCGACAATGCACTGTATCTCCTTCTCATAGTGTAGGCGCTTGCCGTCGGATGACCGAGAAATACTAACAACAACGTGATGGTATCCGTGATCCCCGACCATTGTCCAAAGCGTATCCTTTTTGGACGAGAATATCTTGAAACACCTGCAACTCGCATTGATGAGGCAGGCATGACGTCTGGGATGCTTTGGTAGATTTCTCCATACATTTGGTGGCCCTGATATATCACAGGCCCTCCAATTGGGAATCCATAAATCACAATCTCTCAATCAATAAGGTTATAGCAGGTGCTGCCTAAAGGAAAAATCCCACCGGTCATGCCAAAGCAATGGAAATGAATGTCAAGCGCGCTAGTCATGGCAAGAGAACAAATATTCATCTGTTCATTGACGAATTATATCTCCTCTATCAGAAGCATTGCCCCTGAAATCCTTCGGGCCGGATAAGCGATTAGGGCTATGGAGTTTTTTGACCAAACCTTCTTGGTAGATTAAGCACCACGTTACGCAAGGCTGGAAGATAATCTAGCTGTTTCGGAAAGTCGGCGTCTATTTCCTTTCGCCAAACCGGAACTTTGAAAATTCCTTTCGTGCAGATCAGATTATGTAAATGTTTTGCAGATCGCGTATGGGTCGCCACATGTCGACGACCCCGTTAAATCTTAGGGGCGCCCAGGGAAACATTCTCGAAAAAATGAACCACATTACCCGAACAAAGTATCATGTGGGTCTGTTTATAGTTTCGGGATGGCGGCAAATCCAAACGACTAGGCTTACGCTACTTTGGAAAGGCCCTCTTAAGGAATCGGGTTTCGGGTGTATAATTTCCGACAAATGCCGACCTCCGATGCGGGGTGGTACCACTTTTTGAACACTTTTGGCCTTCGATAACTAGGTCCACGATGGATCTACCAAATGGATAACCTGTATAGGAGCATAAGGCTTTTAATGGATATTTTCACGATGATTTTAATCAACCAAACTGATAATCTCAGTTTGAATCATGTAAAATTTCGCATTTTATCCCACGAATACGATAAGACAACTGATGGGCGATTGTCCAGTATTGAGTATATACTTATATCTTTTATAGGCGACAGAGTCACTAACTATACCAGGCCAGTTGTCAATACCTTATTACACATTCTCGGTAACATATATTTTGGCCTTCTCGTAGTAAATATGACTACTTTGATACCGGGTTAGTACGATGAAGGGCTAGTGTGACAAACTTTCGGCTAAAAATTAGATGTACCATACAAATATCACCAAACCTTGATAAAGCGGTATATAGTAACCTCCTTTTTTCTCTTCTACCTAGATCACACTATTAAATATGTTACTAAGCCTAGTATAAATTAATCTAACCAATCAGAACGCCCCATCAAGCAATTTCGAACCGTCAAGAGGCTGCTCTTGGGTGTTACGGGCCATGCGACATGAGGGGCTGCAACTTATAGATATGTCACCGAGAACCAACCGTTCCTAGGAAAGGAACGCAGGATCAGATCACGTGACGAAAGACCGGAATCAGCCTCTGATTCGCCGTCTCAAACTATACCCATGAATAACCCATTTCAACCCATTTTTACATTAAATATCATAAAATTTTATGTAGCGTATTCTAATACAAAAATTTATACACCCGTACTTTTGTCTGTTTGAATATGTATATTATTTAGCTAAAAGATAGGCTATGACAATTGCCATTGACATTGCCATGTCAAGAAAGTCCACTTAAGACATCATTGATCAATGAGAACTAGGTGAGCCAAAAGAAATATCGCACACAACTTTAAAAAAAAAACCACGCCAACGCTTCGGTTAATTATACGCGGGAATTAGAGCCAATCAAGTCTCGGTTGAATCCACCAGGCGGGGTTATTCGGGTGACTATTCCTGATTATACTCCATACCGCAGACCCCATAACTCTGTAAGTGGCCAAGTTGCATGTAATTGGTGGGATTTGGGGATTTGACGGAGTTTGTCGGGTCTTGTCAACATTCGAAGTTGGTTGAGAAGGGTGCTTACGTATGTACTCATTTCAGTTATACCGGTTCCGGGCACTTGTTTCACCGACATTTGACAGTGTTAGCTAGCCGCCATTAACAACCCCTCACCCCTGGGTACAGTACACTCTCACTTTCTTGACTGCACTATATGTCAGTCGTGTTGTCCTACGCTGATCAGAGCTCCACCAAAATCCGCTAAAATTGAACTTCGGTCCATCCAATGGCCAGAGGCTTGGGAGGCGAATCGGCATCAGCGGAGACCGAAGGACCGTTAGGGGTCTTAATATATATAAATGGAAGCCTAAAACCCGAAGAAAATCAACTACTTGGAATATATTCTGAGCTTCCATTGCACTTTACTTCAAAAGTAACAGCAGAAGCGGTACCTATTTCTGAACAGTCATGATGCTTCCAACCGATTATGGTTACGCAGATGAGCGGGCTTTCCGCGAGATAACTTTTCAATGGGCAAGTGCATGGGACAAGAAGGTGCGTACAAAGTAACGGAAATTCTTGTGTTTAGCAAACATATCATACTTCTATGTACCAGCTGATAAGAAATAGGAAGCCGCAACGCTTGAACTAATTGCTGCGCCTGAGATAATTGTAGACCTCAAAGATCTAATCCCAGGTGGGGCTGTCGAGACAATGACTGCGAAGGCCCTTGTTGAGCGAACATTTGCTACGTACCATCTCGGCGATCCTCGATGTACGTCTCACCCCAGGAAACATTTCTCAGAGTTCTCCATGCAATTCAAAGCTAAAGCTAGTTCTGCCCCATTTGCTGATACGCTCTTATAACTCATAGTGAAAACACAGCATATGTTTGGAGCGGTAGAATTCAAACGAATCAGTCAATATGAAGCCACTGGGGACTGGCAGTGTCGAACTCTCCATATTCGGAATTTTGATGATGGCACTGCCAAAGACTGGGACTCCTGCAACTATATAGAATTCCGATATGTTCTTATCGGCGAAGTGTGGAAGCTCGGAGGTACACGTCCGCATTCTACTGTCAATTCCTCGGGCGATCCTATGCAAGTGATTGGGCCGTTTATAGAGAAGATATTGGCAAACCGCCAGCCATAGGGTCTTCAAATGCCAAGCCTTGTTACATTAGTAACACTATTCTCTCTTACAATTATGCCTGGAGAATCTATTCCTTAGAAGGAATCGTAAGATTGCTTAATGTTGGCCAAAAAATATAAAAATCTTTTCTGGATAACCTGAGGCTTTTAAATACGCTATTTTCCGCTTTCAAGAAATTACTCTTGTGATGATTTGCCCAATTGGGCTAAGGCCTGAAAAAAAGTCCGCCGATGAAACTCGGGCAAGGGATATAGAACTTGCCGTGAGCCTTCTTTGTGTAGCTCACCATAATCTCGTGTGCTGTAATTTGTTCAAGTATTTCTCTCTCCTCCTTCATGTTAGCTGGTATAGGAAGGTATATTATGGTGTGAACAACCATTTTGTTCTACACAGATGCCCCTTTAAATGTTATTTCACGGAAAGCCCGCTCACGCTACCTCAGTTAGTGTGAGCACAGCATAGTACTGTGGGGGCTGGCAAACGGCTGCTAGCCCAGGAAAGTGTACTCCATCTTCCACAGGGATTAGATACTATGTTTACTTGTCACTCGCCGTGGTAGTAGCACGGAATAGACACGTTATGATTCTTGTGATAGTTGAACGACTACGCTTGGGAACACTGGTCATTCGGCTTGTTGTTCCACTCGCTTTTCTCTAGTAAAAAACTGCAAAGGGAGAGGACACAATAGAGATACAGCATGGATCGAAATCAGTTTCACCATTTGAACACAGAGGTTCTTTCCCGCGGGCCCACTTTCCAGTACGCTAATCTATATATAGTTGATTCTAGTTTCAAGGGGCTGAATTATATCGAAAGACAGTTTCATGGAAAACTGGAACTGATAAATAACATGAAATACGATAACCATTAATACAACATGACGTCGTTGCTCAGCTCGCTCATGTGACCATACCCCACTTGGCAACGATATTCGCCACGTGTTCTATCCAAGCTTTGTCATGCTGAAGCATTGACCCCCAGTGCCTCCCTTTAAGCCAACATGAAGAGACATTGCCTTCCTAAGTTACCAGAAAGTGAAGGGGAGCTCTATTTAACGGAACGGTCCAAGACAATGGAGATGGATGGCCCGTTCTAGCTGAGACTATCTCATTTTGTTCCTCTTGACAACGTGGGGTGACTAATTCATTGTCATACATTTAACTAGCCATACCTATATGGTTTCACATAATCATAAGAGTGAGGAGTGCAGAAGCCAGGTAAAACCTGAACGCAGTAGTGGAGGTTGAGAAAAGAGTTAAGATTTACCAGAAACGTTCAGAATGTATAAGAGGGAATTGCTTCACAAGGTTTATTGGAGCTCTACTGTAGAGCCGGACGACTTTGAAGACAATTTAATACAGTAGCCCACCTTATTGTGAGCGGTCCGACAATTTCGTGAGAGGCTTTTATTGAGTCAACCAGTCTAAAGAGCGTTGGTATATTCGCCGCCTTGCGCGTTGATGTCCGCTCCTCTATCCAAGAGCAGTTTGACAATCTCTTGATCGCCATCCAAAAAGGCGGCCTGAAGAGCATTGTCGTAGCGGCCACCCTGCGCGTTGACGTCCGCTTCATTATCCAAGAGCAGTTTGACAATCTCGTGATGGCCGTGGAACGAGGCGGCCTGGAGTGCACTGCTGTATCCGCCGCCCTGTGAGTTGATATTTTCTCCCTTGTTAATAAGATCTGCTGCAGGCGCCAAGAGCCCATTGAGGCAAGCATAGTAGAGCTTGGAAGCTCGCGGAGGACCAGGGTCATCGTCCCAGCTCTCATCCGCCTGATACAAGCGACTCCATCGTTGGAATGTCACTTCCTCCTCAAAGAACTTGACAGATTTTGAACTACATCTTCAGAATCCCGAGCCAACACAGCATAGCCTGCCCAGATCTCCGACGCATATCTTGCCATCGGAAATTGCCGCTTGGTGTGTTCGTGGCTACCTTTGATGTCTGTGAGATAAGTCAAACAAGTCGTTGTGATAGAAATGCTGGCAACCTTGATTTGAAAATTGTTATCTCTGAGAAGGAACTCTTTGACAGAAAAATGGGCAAGATGTAACTCTTTATCCGTGGCATGAACGATTGTCGCTAAGCCGGGACAGTAATCCAAGAGATCAATTTCGGAGAACAACCGACGCTTGATGTCAAACCCTGTCGACTCGTTTTCAATCTGCGTCGCTATTACTTCTTTAGCCTCTGCTAGCGTAAGAGGTCGTTTAGAGTGCACTAAAAATTGTAGCAGGCGTATTGCGTCCATTTTTCGCTCCACTGGTATACTCTTCATCATGCGCTCGTATGTCTCATTCAGGTTCTTAGGTAAAGAGACGAGAGCCTCCTCTATAGCTGCCTCGTGACGACATCGAGCTAGGCTGTCTAATTGACAGAATGCCCACCTAAACCTGAGTAATGTGTTAGCAAAGTATTATATGTCATCCAAAATAGTATCATCTCACATTCCGTCCGCCCCGTCGCCAACCTTCTTCCGTATTTCCTCAAGAATACCCCATGATAAGGGTTTCTCTGTAAACTCACGCCGTTGAGAGAGTTGTTCCGAGACCCATAAACGGATATCGGATTTGATAGCCTGCTCATCAAGTGGTAGGCAACCTTCCTCTCCTATCAAAGTTGGAATACGGCGCAAAAACTCGGACTCGGGTCGGCTGGTATAAAGCAGCTGGACATGGGCCAACTCTGGCCTAGATATTATGTCCTCGATCCTCTCGAGAATATCATCCCTTGACGTTGATTCATCTAATGCGTCCAGAACGATAGAGACTCTCTTCTGCATTCTGAGCATATTGTAAAAGATATCCCAGAGAGCCTCTGTCTTCGGTTGGTCTTGCCATTCTGGTGTGCTTGAAATGACGCATCAAGATGAGTTGCAGAGTCAACACCGTCTTGGTAAAGCTGGAAAGCAAGCGACCGCAGCATGTTTTCGCAGGTCTGCTTTTTTTTGTTACTAAAGTCAAAGAAAAAGTTGAGGAGAGGACTGTCGTTTGCTTTTGCGAGATGGTCAAGCACAGTTGTGCTGAGAACGGTCTTTCCACATCCCGCGAGCCCGTGCAGCCATATATGTCGAAGCGGCCCAGAGTACCACGAGCGGAAGACGGGGTTGTCTAGGAGCCACACGCCTGTCCCCTTATAGTGGAGCTTCCTCGCCTGATTGACGTTCGTAGATGGGTCCGCAGGATTAAGCCAGCCTTTGATCTCATGAGTACGAAGGTCAGACTTAATGGAATCGGTAGTAGCTTTCATTGCGACTGTCGTCTGCTGCAAGCGATCAATCTGTTGTTGGACTACTCGCAGTCAGAACTTCTATTAAGTTCGAATATCGTTTGGTCTCCTGTGTTTGCTAGCTAATCTATGAACGATATCATAACTAACCTGACTGTAACACTTCCAACGCCCTCTTGGTCTCTTGGACCTCCGTGACCGGCACATATGCGAGAATCTCCTTGGCATACCCAGCGGAGGTCGCCGAAGCGTAGCGTTGCCATCGATCGTTTTTGTGAGAATCGGCATAGTCGCATATCCCCGGATCACAAGACAGGGAAAGTGGTTCATCAGGCCAGACGCTTCCATCTCAAAACAGATGCAATCCTCGCCAAGATCAGCAACCATTCGATCACGAGCAGCGGCGTCTTTGGCAAGCGTGTTACCGGATGCGATGGTGCCGTAGTAAATCTCTGGTTCAGTAGTATCTCGAGGATCGCGTTGAACCTCTTCAGCTGTATCACATCCCCGACAGTCCGGGCCGGGGACGTGGCCGCATGAAACTTTGAACAGGCGGTCGTTTTCCAAGCCCTGGTGAGCATAGCCGGGATTTTTCTTGGATCTCCTGCTCATCTTCGGGTTTTTCTCTAGCATCTCTTGAAGGAAGCAGGGGACCTTGGAGTCTTTCTGCTCGTGGTTCGCCTGGATTCCCACAAGATAGTTGAAGGTATGTGCCAACTTTGTGCCAAATATATGAGGCCGAAATCTTCACTACATGTCCAACATATCACACGATATAAAACATCAAAAGAATACCAACCAAGTAGCTCGAAGTAAATTTACTACTTCGGGTCTTCCCGAAGCATTCCTCCTCCAGTTGTGCTCTCTGGAAGTACTCTATATGGCGTCTTCCAGCCAGTCCGAAACGGAGGACCTGGAATCTCGATGCTTATGCTAGGGGTTGTTTCAAGCTATCGGCCAGGGTACATATGTCCCATCTCGTCTTCGAAACGGGATTCAAGAGACGTATGGATCAGCGTCGGAATGTTCGCCGTCTCGAACGAATCTTGAAAATACAAGGATGCCATCGTTTGATGAAGGAAAATCATGTGTCCGTCATATTACCCAAGGCAGACTGGCAACATCGGGTACGCCCGCGATCGAACAACGGAATCCTTCCTAGCTTGGATATGGATTTGGATTACGGATTACGAGCGCTAGACCACGAGAACCTAATTGTAGCTGCCAGAAATACACTCGCATTCAACAACCAGTGGTGGGTGGTGAATGTCTATCTCACCGAGGAAGAGCCTCGTACGGATCCTTTTGCTTGACTCAAAGCTTGATCTTCTCTGACTAACGACTACCTTTTTTGAGATTACCTCAATGCAACTACCCAGGAGCTTCAAAGAAAGCTCCTCCAATCATTGCGAGAACGATTTTCAAACGAGCATCGGCCATCAGATGGGCTGATATATGAGCGTATTACGAGGGCCGTCTTGACGGGCCTGAGAATCAACGGGCAGCGGAAAGCTGGTGGGCGGCCCTAGAGTCAGTCGCAGGAAGCAAGAAAGCTCAGTATTTGAGATCATTCTTCAGGAACCAGTTCCTGACCCGCCAGTTGAACTCGCTACTTGCCATTCCAGGGCTTTGGGATGGTATGCAGATTGGAAACCTGCATAAAGTTACCGCTATGCACTGTGACGAGGTACGTTAAACGTCCGGAGCCAGACTCCGGTGGAGCAGGGGCTAATACAATTGGCAAACCAGGCAATTTCGTGCTATTGGAGAAGTATTTTGACTACATTCCTAGGGATACTTGGGGGCCACAGCGAAACCTTACAATTGGTTGACGGTATTACGGTCAATCTCATCGAGTCCAGAGTGCCTAAAGTCTCCAAAAAGGACAAAGAATTCCTGCGGAAAAAAGTTTGACGAATGTGTGCTTTTCCCCAGTTTTTCGGAAAATAATCGACGGGAGATCTGGAACCGATTGAAAGAGATTGACTCTCCAATTCCATCGTTAAAGACATTTTTCAGAGACCGTCTCTATCTGGAAGTACCGCAAAGTGTCATGAAGCAGCTATTTATCCAACCCAATAGTACTGATGATAAACTGACAATCGACAATGGTGTTTATGGATTATGGGAGATAGGATCAACGCTCGACCCCGCAGCCCGAAAGGCCAGGTTTCGAATTCACGTTCTGGAGCTCTGGCGCTTTAGCTTCCAGTATGGATTCGAAATGACCGATTGGAAGCGGCTCAAATCATCAAGTAGTTCGGTGTTCGGAGCAGCGTCTAGCCAGCAGCACCTGCCTCTACCCAGCCGTACAGATATCTGGCAGCATTTTTACATGAAAATGGTGATTCATGGGTCTCCGAACACCCAACCCTGTGTAACGGCATGAGGCTTCTCGGAGTTGTGTCACGTGTCATAGCACGTGACCCAGGCACCCATTCCTGTATGATAGCTGCGATGAGAGCTTCCCTCTCTTCTTTCTTTCCTTAGCTTATTACTTTCGTTCAATACTACTGCTTCATTTTCTGATCCATCTGAGTTCTTACACTGCCGGTGTACTTTTGATGTTTATTTTGAACCTCATATTCGTACAACGTATGGTGCGAGCAGTCTATCCCAAGGTGGGATGGTCTCGTGTCTCTAGTTCAGCTTTCAAGGTGCTTTGCGGTCTAGTAGTGGTGAACATCATCATGGTTATCACCAATGTTGTCCAGAGCATGTACACTCTGAACAAAAATACCCAGCGCATCGATCGCGATATCCAGCTCTACGGTTTAACATATTTCGCCATCATCTCATTCCTACCTCTACCTCTTGTTCTGCTTGTTATCCTGTCTCCCAACAGGAAGTGCATTGAGCAGTTTGGCTCGGGCAGCTGGATTGCCAAGGTGCTCCTCGTTGCTCTTACTGGGTCATTGCTCTGCCTTGGCGCCTCATTCCGTGCCGGTACCTCGTGGATGACACCACGCCCTGCCACCAGCCCGGCCTGGTACCATAGCAAACCTTGCTTCTATATATTCGACTTTGGAATTGATATCTTGGTCGTGGCGATTTTCCTTGTTGGCCGTGTTGACCAACTGTTTTGGGTTCCTAATGGAAGCTCAAAGGTCTGCCATTCCAGAGGACTCAATGATGACGGTAAGTCCTCTCAAAGTGCACAGAGCGGACCGGAGGAGGGAGGCTACGACCTCGAGAGCCGGGGAAGCAGTGTTTCTCGGTTTTTGGTCGAAGAAGAACATTAAAGGCAAGCATTGTTTCCGGCTTGCGTTGCAATGGACGGCAAATGATTCTCGTGTTTCCATGATCATATGTTTTTTTAATGAATTTTTAAAACTTTGAACAGAAGAATTTGTAAAAAGAATCCTGATAATGCAGGTGTAAATACATACTATATACTATATGCGTCAAAAGTCTGGCACCACTCACTAGCGCGCTTTTTCGTGTTACCCCCCCCCCCCCCTCAACGCGTTTTTTTCCTTCACCACCACCCTATGGCTTTATATACGCAACAATCAGTTGCTAAACGTGGCAAAAACGCTGAATTACCACCTGCTACGCGCGCAGCTATATTATATGCCTTAGAAGCTGGTATATCGGTTACACAGATTGCGCTTGATTTCGGCTGCCAACGCTCTACAATTTACCGCACACGAATCCGCTTTCAACAACAGCAAACGCTATTATCACAAAAAAGGACTGGTAGGCCTCGATTATATAGTGACTCAGCTATCCGATATATCTATCGACAAGCCCGTCGGCGTCCGTGGTGGACCTATAGACAGCTTCGTGCTAATTGTCCTGGGTTCCCATCCCGGAGTACTTTATATCGAGTTTTGAAAAGAACAGCACTTCGAAGATATAAATCTCGCAAGAAGATACCAATTAAACCTGAAACTGCACGTATTCGAAAAAAATATGTGTTAAATTGGCAGCGTTGTGGTATGAATGAGCAACTTCAAAATGTTATCTTTTCAGATGAATGTTCTGTACAACGAAGATCCTATTCAGGCGATCGCTGGGTTTGGAGGTTATACTCAGAAGCCTATAGACGAGATCTTGTGAATTTAGTTCCTCATGTAAAGGATATTTCACAAATGGTTTGGGCCGGAATATGGCTTGGTGGCCGTACAAAGTTGGTTATCATGAATCGAGACTATTCTAAAAGTGAGCGAGGTAGTTTTACTACCAACTCATATTTAGAAGCACTAGAAGAAGGTCTTATTCAACATTATAGTCCTGAAACTATCTTCCAGCAAGATAACGCACGAATTCATAAATCAGCAAATGCACAAGAGTGGTTTGAAACTCATGGTATACACGTGATGGATTGGCCCGCGCACTCGCCTGATTTGAACCCAATTGAACCGGTATGGAGGCTACTAAAACTTAAGCTTTTCGAGTTATATCCAGAGCTTGGTGATATAGGAAGATCTCAGGAAGATTGGAAGCAGTCTAAACGTGCAATTGCGCATGCATGGGATGTTTTAGATCAGAGTGTTATAGATGGGCTTATTCGCTCAGTGCCAAAGCGGATTGAGGCTGTGCGTATTGCTAGGGCTACTACACTAGATATTAAAATGGATTTATATATACGGTATATTAACCTATATTTTGTCAAAATTTTAAGCAATTTGAACAACATTCGTTGTGGTTATATATAATTGCAAATGTTGGTTGAAATACATGGGAGATTACCTAATTACCGAGTGGTGCCAGACTTTTGGCACAGACTGTATCTACAAGGATACCTAAGTCGTATTGGGCCTCGAAAATATCATTCAAATGACCGCACTACTAATGACATGATCTCAGTCCAAGATGATCTATTGATTCTTCGGTATGGGTGTGTTTTTATTGCCTCCAATAGTTTTTCCACAAGTTGTTCTCTAATAATGAGTACAATGTTGCAGTTATTGGAAAACCCGACAAGGGGCGGCTTACAAGGGCTATATATCCTGCGCTTTGGAGTAAAAAATCCAGTCAAGTTGCGGGCCGACTCCTGGCTTCCAACAATTCCATTCATCCAGCAACATATGGAACCTAGATTCAAGTGATCATTGAATCATCTGAGACATGGATTTTATTCGGGAAAAAAGTGAGTTTAAGCGAAATGGCAGGAGAAAACGGAGTGTTCTAGTAACGCGTAGGCAGGCAGGAAAGCGACTTCAGATGGATTTGCTGGGACGAAAAGGAGAACCCGATGATAGATTTGTTGATTGACTAGTTTAACATGACATTTGGGGTATTCATTGCGGCATGTGCCTTTCCATCCGCCAGTATATATCACTACTCATGAAGTTTCTGATTCGGACGGCTTCTTGAAAAGTTAGGCTATAGCCTCAAATCCCCCGCAGATAGATTCGAAGAACTGGTGAAGAGCACTGAGCAATGACAGCTCCCAACTGTGCACTGATTATCACTCAAGCATATGACGTATTCCCTTTCTCATACAGTTCAAACATACTTTAGATTTTGGCGCATGTACTGAATTCCGAGTATTTTATACTCAGCATATACCAAAAACCTTTCACGATAGTAGGAGTCCAAGTATTGTACGATATCCAACTCCTACTCCAACCCCCTCTAGCGATTATTCAACAAAAATACTACAGTTTCTGTAGTCCATTAATAAATCAGGATAGTACGAAAAATATGGACCTAAATAGGAAAAACAAATCCTTAACAGCATAGGTCATAGTGTAAGAACTCGGATGAATCAGAAAATGAAGCAGTAGTATTGAACGAAAGTAATAAGCTAAGGAAAGAAAGAAGAGAGGGAAGCTCTCATCGCAGCTATCATACATGAATGGGTACCTGAGTCACGTGTTATGACACGTGACACAACTCCGAGAAGTCTCATGCCGTTACACATAGCTCAAAGCTTTTATAATGTGTTCACGTTCAATAACCTGTTTAATTAAAATAAAGAAAGTAACAGTTAGGAACATTCCAGTTCAGCCTTTCCGAATAAGTTAGCAAGAATCTATACAGATACTTAACACTCTAGTTGACAGATTTACTAATAATAAGCTCGAAAAGGCTCTTTTGGCTTTACGTACAAAGGCAAACAAGGCGAGAAGCCAATTTAAAAAGGCTGGATACTAATGGCGATAGGGCTATCAGTCAGGAAGGTATACCAGGCAGGCATCCAAAATTAGACATAGACCTCAACAGAACTGTTGGTTTATTAAGTGATGCTTCAATGTTCATGTTATTGAGGGGAGTTGATTGTGTGTTGTGTTGCATGTGTTGTTTTTAAGATACAAGGAGGCCGAGAGATTGGTATATATGTATGCACGTGATCCCAGCTCATTATTATCTCAGCAACCGTGATATTCCAACACAGGCATTATAACCCGAACCCAGTTCTGGGTCGAGGACTCTGACCCAAAACCCAATCCAGTCCGGGTTAGGTTGGGTCATGCAGAAGTCTAGCTACGTCCCATAACATATAGATAAGATTAATTGCCAAGCCCAATAAATCTTGGCATATCTACACTGTTTATGCTATTTGCGGGCATTAGAGAAGGCGAATTGAAATTTGGCTTCTTGAAATGTAATTTGAAATCGGCAATGATCCTCTTATTAAATACCAATCAGAATCCTTTAATTGGAGTGAAACATCGACATTAACTGTCATTTACACCTCGCCACCGAGCTGGCTGCTCGCAATGATCTGTAACACCTTGCGGCCATTCAGATACTCGCGTCGACCTTGTACGTATAGGACGAGCTGAATCTCGATTTGCCGCCGATTTCATAGCAGAAATCCGGGAAGGCCCCGGAGTTGATTCCAATGAGTTCAGCCTCGAGTTCAAAGCAGAAACGAGGGCAGGATTCTTCGATCCCGCCGCCGAATTTAATGCAGAATTTAACGCTAGGAACAGTGAAGTAGCCGGTGCGGGAATTGGAGCAATGCCTGGTGCTGGATCTAATGCTGGGTCTAGTGCTGAGTCCAATCTTGGGCCTGCTGCTTGACCTAGTGCTTGATCTGGAACGGGATTCGAATCGAGGTTTGACACTGATTCTAGCATAGGGCTGGACGAAGGGCTATGCACGCAGTTGGATGATGTATCTGTGGCCTCTGATAGATGGTCCTGCATCTGCTTTCGCTGTAAAATCCCCTCTCTCTCATCATCCTCCTCGAGAAGCAATTCCTGTGTGACCTGAGGAGGCTGCTCTGCTCGGAATCGTCGCTTGTTTATCTGCACAAAGAGCAACTTTTCAACGCGGTGACGTTCGATTCTATTTCAGATTTTTGTGTGCTGAAGGGTCATCAGTAAAAAAGCTCTCTCTGCTGCAGCAGAATTCGTCACAGTATTGCAAAGACGATGAGCAAAAGGAGCGAGAAGAGGAGGAAAGTCCGCCTAAGAGAGGGCATTAATATATGATCTTATATTTCTATAGCTAAACACTTTAACTTACAGCTTCAAGCCAAAAAAGAGATGGACATTTGGCCGCCCAGCAAGTTGCCTTATAAAATGCGCCTGTTTTCTGCCGAAACGACAGAAATTCGTGCCAAGCCGACGATCTCTTGTCTTCACTCTGAAGTAGTCTTAAAATACCTTCAATATGATATCGAGAACTCTCGTCGATTTTCCCATGGACTCTGGCAGGGTCAAGATGATAAGCTACCCAGTTAATAGGCTCTAGCTGACGTAGTATTCGACTCTGCCAGCCTGTGCCATCTAAATAGGTTAAGAAGTCATCCTTGAGAGATCTTTGAGAGACTAGCGTTCTCATGCTTTCATGCAGATCTAGCCACCTTTGCGTTACCTCCATAATCGACGAGCTCTGAGCTTCGGATTCCTTCTGGGAGATATATAGAGGCTTGATGATCTTGATTAGCTCCTTCAGTTGCCACCAGATCGAATGTTAGCTGAGAGTCCCCATTATTTCTCTTCCCCTGGTATTCAATGAAGCAGGAGGTATTATAGACAACTCGCAGATAGCTTCTTGGCAATAGTAAAGAGAGGAAAGCATATTGTACTGCCTTCCCCATCTTGTAATGACCGACGCAATAAGCGCCTTTCTATGACCCTATTTTTCAATCTGCTTTGCTTGCATTCTTGCATACTCAAGTGGTGAGTGGTGGAAGAAGACAACGATTGCGAGGGCCGACTTGATTACCTCCCCGCTCGTGGGACCTTCGAACTCTTAGGGTCATCAAAATCTTTCATTATTAACTATAGCCCATGAGTCACAGGGGATCATAAAGCAGTGCCTAAGCTCTGGTGCTGCCTTCAGTTTCTCCCAGACTGATTTCATAACAGAACAAGTATCCGTCGAGATAGAATTGATTTTCTTCGAATAAATAGCTTCATATATCTGTATTAGGAGAGGAGATATTGGAGCCTGTTCAAGATCCAACTACTAATAGCAGGAGCATCAAGAGTCTTGTCTTCCATGTCATTGAAGTGGATGAACCATGATTTTGTAGGCGTCGTGATAGTCATCACAATTACCCGTTGAGATCGGATATTAGCGGTCTCATCAACTGTGACATTTAATAATTCCGTTCTCCGCAGCTCCTTCAACACATCCTCCCGTAGTCCATTATATGCTTCGTCCAGCAGATCATCGGCGATTCGGTGAAGGGAAGGAATTTGGTATGCGGGACTTCACGCGTGAATAAGGTCTCACATTTCTTGCTGTTCAAAGAGATTGAAAGGCTTAGCTCTAGTAAAGCAGACCTGGGTTAATAGCTGATCAACATTCCGAGATGGCTGAAGAGTAGAAAAGCTTAGCAATTTCTGTTTCTTCCCTGTGGTGGTCTCCGGATCTATGATCTAGGGCTCCGAAAGGAATAAAGGAATGCGAATATACGACATGTCACATATTCGAATTCGCACTCTGCGAATATGAATATATGTGTTGAGTATCACGGTGGTCAAAGCATGTAGTGGGGATCATCAAGAGACAGATAAATAGATGAGGAGCCCCACCTCCAACAAGATAGTCAACTTAACCAATCCAACATAACCTATCTCAACAACAACATTTTCGAAGAACAGCTGGCAGAACTCTGAAATCCTGGCTTCTATTGGCTCAAAGCTTCACCCAATATGATGACTCAGGACCCTTGAAATGTAATTGAAATGAGAAAAAAAAGTGAAATTTCAATATTTCGTAATCTGTTGGCCAATTTTGTAATTACATCATCACTAGCGGGCATGCGGGTACTCTCAAAAGCCCGCGGGTTTGCGCAGGTCAGGCCCTCACCCTCAAATTTGCAGGGCGGGTTGCCCGCCCCGCGGGCATTCCGCAGTCTAGCAATAATGACCACCTGGGTTAGCTTTTGGTGGTATGATGTCACTAAAAAGCTGGCTGGGATTTGGGTTCAAAAATGGCTGGTGTTTGCGGCAACCCCAACAACCCTAGCCATACGAAATGGCTGGTATTCGCCGAAAACCATCAATCCCTATGGTTTAGGGGACGAATTTCTAGGTTACAGGGTATTTTATACAGGTATTGAAGCCAGCTTGTCATGAAATTGGAAATTTTTCAATAAATGTATTCTTCCGCAGTCCACAATCAATATGAGAGGGTCTCAAGCAGAGTCTCCAGCTAAAAGCTTCCCTCATCTGTAGCTAAATATGGACAATGGGAAAGATGACATGGCTTTGGTGCTCGGGACTCATATGGACGTTGTGGCGACCTTTGTTGCCCGCCTTGAAAGTTCCTCGCAAAGGTACGAACTCAGCCAGTGCCATATGATGTCCGGCAATCTTCAAAACCAATTTTTCACCCTCGTCGAATACAATGCCAGTGGGCCAGAGTCCAATTTCCAGCTGCACAATCTCACCCGGCTTCACGCGTTCTTCTTGGTCATGCGCGTGAACTGGCCAGTATGGCTTAGAGAGGCGAGAGTCCAATTTGCGATGACTGGCACGAAGAATACCCGTCGGCCCGAGATATTTCAAGCAGTTGATAGTTTCGACCTCTGATGATTGCATCTTCAAATCACTCAGGGGGATATTGATATTCTGCAATATCTTTCCAGTGGAGTCCGCTTTGCGGAGCTGTACAAAGACGTCCATGTCGTCATGATCGTTGCATGACATGTACAGAACAACCTTGGAATATCCAATAAGATGGCTGCGACGTTGGAAAGTGTATACGAACTGGAGTTCCTCAGTGTCTGTATCCATCTGCATTCCAGAAATGTCGGACTGATAAGAAAGCATTAGGGTGCTAGGAGAGGGGTTCTCATTGAGATTCCCGCCAGCGCACAGGTAAAGCATCTGAGGCTGTGCACTTGGGACTGGCCAGTCATTAAATGCATGATTTACTTCTGGCTCCTAAGTTGTGTCAAAGGATGGCGGAGACATTGCGGAAATGTGGATAATGTACCTTGTGGAAATTCAATGTGGAAACTCTGACTCGTGGGGTTTTCTCCCATGAGTTCTGGATCCCTTTCGCGAAACGATCGAAGAATAACTGCAGGTCGTTGTTCATTTCTGGTGTGTAAAGGTCATACCATTCAAAAGTCGGATGAACTCGCAGCCTGGAACAGTAAGTATACGTACATAAGCGAAGATGATGAGAAAAACAAGAGCAGATGCGACATACCATTTTTTTTGATGAGGAATATCTTCAAACCCACGGAAGGAGCCTACTGTATGGAGACCGCTGGAGTAACTTGCCAGAACGTAGGCAGGAACCTGGATATCCTCAATCTTCGCCCTCTTATCCTCCCAGTACTCGTTCATCAAAGGGTATCGACCTATCATACCCACCACGTCTTCTTGCTGATTCCGGCCTGCCATCCAACAATTAGCATCGAAACTTCCTCCTGACTTTAAAGCAAAGCCCTTACCAAAAAGCACATGGCTTCCGAGAAAGCCCCAGAAAGGCGTGTATGGGACACCACCTCGACAAAGAGTTTCTCGATAGAAATCGCTGACACCTTCTAATGGTGCGATGCAGGCCAGGTGGGGTGGCTGTTCAGCCGCGATCGACCACTGGGTTGCGGCCAGCCATGAATTTCCTACCAGCGCAACTTTTCCTGTGCACCAGTCCAACTGAGCCACATGTTCAATAGCATCATAGCCATCCTGACCGTCAGCTGTTCCGAACCATCTGTAGGATACCGTATCAGCATTGTACTATGATAATAGTCGTTTGCCAGTTAAGAACATCAAGTGAGAATGTACCTAATGTCGCCAGTGGAGTTGAAAACTCCTCGTATGTCCACATTGACGATTGCATAGCCCCGAGATGTCCACTCGGCCGGGTCAGGCGCTTCAAAGCTTTCGAACCCAGATAATTTGTTTTGCGGAACACCAACACGTCCAGGAATCAAGTCAAGACTCAGAAAACCTTGTTTAACGCCAGGCGATCAGTTACTGAAATGAATATGCCATGATAAAGGGAAAATAGCATACCTTGTCCACTTTTTCCGTAAGGGCTCCACGCCATGAGCGCGGGAACCTTTCCATCAAAATCCTTTGGGCGATAGACATCAGCCCGCAAAATGGTCCCATCGCGTAGAGGAATCTCAATATCCCTTTCGAGAATAGTATCGGCTGCGAATTCTACATGATTGCTGTCTTTTCGATGTCCTTTAGGAAGAATCACAGTACCGGGGTTACAACCGTGATATTGAGCACTGGGCGAATCCAGCGACAAAGGTGCACATTGCAGCACTCCGATATCACCAATTTTGTACATCTCTGATGATATACTAAATTAAACAAGTGAAGTATGATTGATGATTTGCTCCTGGATGAGTTTTAGCAGTTTTACGTAGCGGGCTGTCATCCAACATTTATAGTTTTAAACCCACCGTGTGAACCTGACTGACGAAACAACAATGTCCTCGTGACTACTAGATCTACAATTATCAAACGCCAAATTTTCAGTGTATTTTAGCTTGACAAAACCAGAACTTTCTCTCTGGCATAGTGCCCTTACAAGGAATTGCAATCGACTGTATTCAGGATACATCTAACCACGCATTCAGATGTGGGTGAACGTTTGAATTTCGGTAACATCGTAATTTACATTCGCCATGTCGGACCTCCGCAAACTTGCCATCCGGACAGTACGTGCCCGAACGCCGACAACCTAGCTATCCAAGCAGGCTATTCGTCAATGCCCCGGAGTATACATTCAAACATGCTTTATAATTCCGAGATCTACTATGACCACATTATGTTCGTATAATGGAACTCGGGTAGAGTGGTTGTGTGGCTCGCTCGCAAGCCCATTTGGGTGATTAGTAACCTTTCTAGGCCCCCGTGGACGGCTGGAAAGTGGACACTAATGTGAGTTGGCATTTTTGTTCCACTATCTCATGCAGTCTTCTTTTTCGGAAAAAGATTACGATACTAATGGATATATATAGTAAAGGACAAGGGAGATCAAGGGCTCCAAGTATTCCGCGGGAATCATTTTTACCGACTTTGACAGACTTTTTTATCTGCGATCCAATACATTGTGATTTCGAAGATGGCTTCCAATCCACCTGCTGCTTGCTGTGCTACTGGCTTTCGACACCAGGGAAATCCCCTTGGGGAGTTAAAGAATGTTGAAGGCAGTTAGTTGATTTCCCCCAAAGTACGAAGGAGTTGTTCGTTTACGCTCGTAATTCTACAGTCAACACATATATCAGTCGTCCTAAGGGTACAGAGACCCCTTCGAACGTGGTTATCATTGTGAGCGATATTTTTGGTATTTATATCAATAGCCAGCTCCTCGCAGATGAGTTTGCCGCCAATGGATATTTGGCACTCATTCCGGATATCCTGCAAGGGGATAGCCTCACGCACGCCGACATGGAGAGTGGAAAGGTTGACCTGAAGGATTGGATTAAGAATCATCAACCAACACACATTGACCCCATTATGGAATCTACTATCCAGTATGCCAAACAGGAACTGGGTGCAAAGAGGATCGCTGGAGCTGGTTACTGCTTTGGTGCTAAGGTGAGCACCCTAGTATTGCAGATGAAAGGGGCCTTTTCCTAATACCCAATTGCTCATTGTAGTATGTCTGCCGCTTTTTGAAGGACAAAAAACTTGATGTAGGCTATCTGGCCCACCCCTCGTTTGTGTCTCATGAGGAACTTGGCGCCATCACCGGTCCTCTCACCATCGCGGCTGCAGGTGAGTTTCTACTTTTCAAAAATACCAGAGGCCTATCGGAAAATGGTTAATAATGTTCATTAGAAATCGACCAAATTTTCACCGCCCAGCTCCGACACGAGTCTGAGGATATTCTCAGTAAGACAGGTCAACCTTGGCATATTAGCCTTAGTGGTGGAGTCTCGCACGGATTCGCCGTCCGCACCGATTTGAGTAACAAGTCTTTCAAGTTTGCGAAGGAGCAGGCTTTCGCACAGGCACTCGGCTGGTTCAACCATTATATGTAAAATGGATGTAGCCGTTCAAAGTTGTGCTTTGGCGGAGCTCTGAAGGTTCGAGGAATACGTTCTTGTGGTGATTAGATATTTTTGCTTTTGAATTCGACAAATTGTTAGGAGTTTATTAGAATCGCATCGTCAATTGAAACAAACACATACCGCTAGGGGTACATATATGTGGTCGCAGGAGTCTGTCCGCAGAGATTTTATCGCTATACGGTGTCCTTGTGGTAGTAGGCAAGACAGGCATTGTCATATTGATGCCCAGATAACATGGTAGCTGCTATTAGAAGGAAATGAAGGACCATTTGAGCTAGATAAAGATGACTGCCTGGATGCCTAAGGAATCGAAAATTTATCGACATCGAGTCCGTCCCACCTATCACCCAAGTTACCAGTCCAACCTGAACCCAGTCTGTTTGGCTTTTGACATGTATCAACAACAGGATCGGGAACCAAGGGCATTGGTATTGGGCTTAGCGACAAAATCTTTGTTCCGAAAATGAGAGCGGAGACGGGTTCCCAGACGAGACTGATCTTCGGGGCTATCGCACCGATATCTTTGAGCACTGCGTGAATATCGCCGCTTGGGAGATATAACCCTACTCCTTGGTTCTCCGGTTGCCATATCTCAACCTCTATCTCAGGACAAAGAGTGATTATAGCACGCATGATGATCGACGCATAATAAAGAGATATTCTAAATAGGACATGACGATCTTGATTCGATTTGGACGCGTCATTGATCTCATTTTGTTGCACATTGCCTTCTACCAAGTGCCAAATTTGGTATGCATGATGTAATGCGACCTTTGTGGCAAGATCGGATGCCCACGATAATACTATCCTTTTGGCAGCTTGCGTTTCCGCTTTGCTCCTAGGCTCCCCAACACAACAGGATATTGTTTGTAGAGCACTGATATCAGCGTGCAATTTAACACATCCTATATGGTAGAGGAGCCAGGGTTCAGGGGGTATATGTTGCGGCGGAGAGATGAGATCAAGCATTTCCTGGATGGCTGTCCAGTTATTCAACGATTGAAAAGTGTTTTGGTGTTTCGAAAAACGTGTATTTTGACTCAAAATAAGATCCGACGACACCGAGGTGCTCGAGGATTGGTCCAAGTTCATATCGTCCGTCCAAAATCGAGGAGATGGATGTCGTTGCACCGTCCTGTTATCTGCAATCGGAAATTCAGAGTGATGCTGGGGATTTATAACTTGGGAGTCCAGGGGAGAATGCAAGGTGGTATAACCATTACGTTTGGAGGGCTTTTGTAACTGCATCTGTAGCCCGCAAAGTATAACCTCACTTGATGAGGCATCAAATGTGTCAAATTTACGAAGGTACCGTCCATTGTGGTGCGGATGAGGCCCACATACAATGTGCCAGATGGCGGAGACACTGGGGAAAGTGCATGGGGCGTCGAAGAAAATGAGACCAGACAGAGCAATAGGGAGCTTGTTCAGAGCGCCGACCATGGAGTAGGTGGTGGACGAGGTAACGCGCACGCACCAGGCGGAGGCGTAGGAAATGAAGACAGTAGAGGCACCGGACAGGATCATGGCGACCATAATACCGTTACGGTTGGCACGAATTCGGCGCCTGAGAAGCAGTCAACAGCTTCTCGCGCCAATCTGGGCCGACGTAGGTACATAGTTCTTGACTGCATGGTATTTTCAAATCAAAATCGAAATGCGAAACCAGCGGTCGCGTGTTGAACAGAATGCAGAAGTAAGTTTCACATCGCAGAAACGCGAAGGCCAGCCGCCGTCTTCTCTCCATGTGGATCCAGCGGGCGAGGCTCTCTTCAGATTGATTGCGATCACATTGACAAACAGAACCCCATTGGTGAGATGGTTCTGTAAGAAGATTTGCCCTCTGCGCAAAGGATACGAGAATAGTCCTGGCTTCGCGAACGTACTTGGATTCCTGGAATTTACCCACGTATAATGACATTACCTCTGTCAGGATAAGAGCTTCAAATATTTCTTCCATTTTGACAGAGTTTTCGGGGCATTTGAGGCATTCGTTTAGAAGAATTGGGCGCAATGCCTGGTGCACAGCCATGCCATATGCAGTCGCATTCGAGGAACCAGCGTACATGGCGCCAATGGAAGTCATTGTTAAGTAGAGAAAAGGTCCAACGGAGTCGTAATCGAAACCTAGTCGCCACGATATTGGCCAGAGGTTATAGAAGTTTTCGAAGAAGCAAGTGACAAAACTGTGCAATAGATGTGTTGTGTTATCATGAGCCACGCCGGAGAGCTCAAAACATATCTCAACAACTTTTGACAAAGACCTTCGTTTATAGCTGCGCGTGACTGCATCCCTTACTGGAATGACTATGAAATCGGCAGCTGTTTCATGCACGATGCCTTGAATAATGATATGCGGCCATTTTTCGCCTAGCACGTGGTATTTTCCGATTAGAGGACAGTCGAACTTAGAGGAAAGTTACCGAGCAGAGAGGTTTACATCTGGGATCTCCATCTCCGCAATACAATCTTTCTGCCCTTGGAAAGGATGTATCAGCCTGAAGGACTCCAGTTTCTATATGATCACTGGAAGCAAGGTTTATCCAACTCGTTTGATCTCCTTCCCAGAAAATTGGACTTGGCGCTGTATTATCGAAAAGGGCCTGGGATGGTGGAGTAACAGCATCTGGAATATTTGATGGCAGTAATCCAATTTCTGTCCTAAGGTCCGGTGCATCCAGTGCAAAATATTCAGAAACGTCTAACGTCGCGGAGACTAAATACATTAGCAATCGTTTCCGATCAGCTAAGTCCTCACGAGGTCGTCACTTACTGTGAGTTGATGGTGACAACAGAGGTGTACTTTGTGCGGGAGGGATTCCGCCTTCAGCTACAAATGGATTATAGGTTGCATCCAGCCGGTTCCCTGCGAACCCTTGTGCGCTGGGGCGACTCGATTTCATCAAATAGGAACAGTTCTTGCCCCCTTAAAGGCAATGATGACACAGACAGGCACCATTGCAGCGAACTTTGTTTGATCTGCACCTATGACATGCTCGTATAGAGCGCTGCCTATCACCACTGCGATTTGTATTACTATGAATTCGTTCGTGACGGCGTAGAACATCGGCTCGATAGAATGATAGGCTGCAAGTCTCACAGTAGTGCCACCGGTTACGGTCGTGACTTTTCTCGTGTCGCAAATAAGCACTATAGCTCATGTATTGGCGCGAACACTGGTTGCAGGAAAACAGGCCCATATTATGAAAGGACGAGGCCGAAGATTTGATGGATCGAGCTGGGTCTTGATAGAGTCTGTTGGGTGTCTCGTATTACTAATCATGCAAACAGCCCTAGAGGTCAATAAAGCGAAAGCAACAGTCGAAACTATACGTACATTATCGCTACCCCTCATCGCCTTCAGGAAGAGGCGGAGGCGAGGTCAGAGTGGAGCAAAAGTAAATATAAGGCATCCGTCCTCACCGCCTGACATAACGGAGAAACCTCGCCAATAGCAGCGGTGTCGGTGATTTATAAGACCGAGCCCCGTTTATTCCATGGAAGGTGTTCACCTTTTAAGTTCTGACCCCAAACCCCGCTAAACCCGCGCTCAAGTCTTCATTGAAGTCTGGTCACCATATGCATAAATACTCAGTGTACTAGCCTCAATAACTGCCTATATAAGGCAAGTATTGTCATCACGTATAAGTTCAATTTTCATGTATTTTTTGGACAATGCCGTATTCAATAGAACGGTTCTCTTTTCAAACACGACAAGGACCACAGCCATTAATCTAGCGTAGTGTATATATCCAAGAACAGACGTAGGCAATAGGATCCTACGCTTCTTGGCTTCTGGCCATGGTTATATATAGGGAGAAGGACCACTGAGTGGCTTGTTATTAGTGTTTTGGCATGGTAACTATGAGATCTCAAGGGAATGAGTAATAGGGGAATTGAACTAAATGAGTGGTGGACACTTTTGGGAGGGGAGGATAGTTCCTTGGAACAGCGGTGTAGCTTCCTGTCCCCTAAATTTATGCAGTCCTTTCTGAATTCGTCACCTTATAAAGAGCCCCTGTTTATTGTAATCAGTGTACTGCTGTGGACAATCCAATCAATAAAATTGTTCTTGTTTCAAAAGACACAAACGACAATGTATGGAGAACTGGTGGTCTGCTAACTATTGAAGCGGGCTGCCTGGCGGCGCATTGTTCACTTTGCTGCAGACTACTATTTATCTAACCGGGGCAGCAGTGCCAACGCATTTTTGAAAAAGATCTTATCCTTGAGATCCTGGTCCATCGGGAAATTGTCAAGATCTTCCTTGAATCGTGCTATCTTTTCTGCCGGAGCGTAGGGCGAATCCGATCCTAGAAAAGTCAGAAGATATAATTCAAAGAGCAGCCTGTCGGCTAGAATAGGGAGTTCACCATAAAGAATATGATCATGTGGCACAGAACCCAGAAGGGCGGTCAGAATGAGGGGCGAGCTGGAGAGGGCGAGATCGTAATAGAATGATCGGAAATCTTCTATCCATTCTTCATAAGACTTGGGGCCCGCATTGGCGTCAAATGGAAGCCCGCGGAGCGAGGGTGTTACTCGAGAGATCAACCATGGAAGAGTCCCACCGGCATGGGACAATATGACCTTGCAGTCCGGGTATTTGCGCTTGGTGCCTGAAGAAATCAGATCAACCGCAGTACGGGTTGTTTCGTGGGGATAATCGACTGTAGACTGTGCGAAGATCTCATTGACTCGGTGTGGGTCAATTGGATGAGTTGGGTGGATGAATACCACTGCACAACGAGAGTTTAGTTCTTGCCAGATTGGGTCGAATGCTGGATGCCCGAGATATTGATTCTTTGGGCCATAGCGGGTAAAAAGAGTGACACCGTCGGCCTTCAATACATCCAAGGCATAACGGATCTCGGCGAGGGTGCCTTCAGTGTCCAGAAGGGATGGCATTGCCGCGAAGAAGCCCCATTGTGTGGGGTTTTGGTCACGAAGGGAGGCTGCGTAGTTATTGCACTCTCGAGCTAGCTCCCTTGCATCCTGGTCGTTACCTGCAATGACTGGTCCAGGAGCAGTCACGGAAAGAATAGCAGTTCTCGTTCCATTCACTTCCATGGATGCTTCGTCGGACTCGGGGCTCCATTGAGGTGTGGGGAAGCCAGAGGGATCTCCACCCGCATTCTGAACAGCTGATAATTTTTCAATTCACGGTCTTCGCTGGCTCTGACATACTCTTTGGGATCATACCTTTGTTGTAAAATTCTGGAACGAAGTGGTGATGCGTGTCGATTTTGGTCCGGGTGTTAATGGGCGGCATATTGTAAGACGAGGCACTGGGATTTCTAGTTGGTAATTGCGATACTCAAAATATTCGAGGATTGAAATTTGCAGATTGGCTACAATCCATTAAATATACGTGTCAGCAAGCGGAGAATGTGTACAAACCACATTTCCCGGTGAGTGGTGTAAAATTTCGCTGCCGGATGAATGTTCAGATCCCTGTGGAGTAGTCTGCCTGCTTCTCGGAGTTTCGGCTTTTATGGCCCCTCCATTCGGAGAATAACGACAGAATTTGAGCAATGGCGATAACTAAACACCCAGGTTGGGTTCATATGCCGTGGTCTGGGACTTGTCGAGATTGATCGACGCCCATTCCAATCCTTGGCCTCTTTGTCCAGTGGAAAACTTTCTGGGACATAGCCACTCTCCGTATTCCTCCGGATCTAAGGCTCTATGGTCACGATTCAGAAAGTTGATGGAACTGGAGAGTGATTCAAGTCCATAGAATAATAAATTCCCTATCAGGCGGCCTACACTGGCAGTTCAGACAACCACCCCCTCTCCCGGCCCACCGCAGATCCTTGATTTTATGCAATTGCCAATAATATGTTCGCTCATCAGTCATATAAATCAATATTTGGTGTACTATCTTATCTGTTGGTCCTAATAACTACTCATTTATAATGAAAAATCATATAGGAGAAAGTTATAATGATTTCTAGCCGAACATTTTCTGTCGATTCGTAGGATATCCATATACGCTAGTACTGAGGAAACTAATTGTCATGGTTGCTTGCTTGATTGATTGAAAAAATATCTGTGAGACGCTGTTGAGAGCGTTTCATAACCTCAGGGGCTAGTACTGGCATGTTACGATACGGGTAATCCGAAGTGACCCGATTTACCATACAAAACATATGGAGGAGTGCGTAGACGCTGGATCAGCTAGTCCTTAGTGGTAAAATACCACCCCTCAGATCGGCATTTTCCTATCCTCTCTATGTAGGCTGATAGTTCGTTGCTATTATACTGGTGGAGATTTCGAGTCCAGTTTTAAGTCTATATAGCTTACTTTTAAGTAATAGCCAAAGGCTTCGGAGTATATTCAAATCCGGTAGATATAGAAACTAAACTATAATGATCAAATCCGTTATGGAATAGCTCTTTTACTAGCTTCGCTTTATATACGAGAGCGTTATGGTATATGAAAATCCCATAATTAGAAATAAATCAAAAAGGATATCCAGATACAGGAAATATATAATTAAAATTCATGCTTCTTTTGTCGTTATACCATACTTACGAATATGGTGTAGTTCGTATATCTAAGAACAGACCCAGGGAGTAACATCTTTGGCTCCTTAGCTCCTAGTCGTGGTCATATTGGGAGAAGAACTATTAGATCTTATATAGTTAGTGAATTGGTATAGTATATGATCTAGGGATAGGAGAGCGGTAAACTAATGGTGTAATGGACCCTGTCTGGGGTTTGCTTTTTCGAACTGGTAGTTTACATACAAGAATATAAGTGAAGAAAGCATGGGAAACAAGGAACTATAGCATAATTTCAAGAAGTTGGCATTGATAAATGTGCTGGGTGAACAGTGGAATATGAATTCTTTGTCTTTTAACATTCCTACAATTACTCCTACGACGAAAAGACTAGAAAAAGCCGAAACGCGCTCGATGAGTTGAGTTCTCAATTCTTTACTGACAGGAATTCGAAGAACTATCTCATCGCTCACAAAAACCTCTTCAGACTGAATTCATGGTAGACAGCCTTCCGAGTTCCATACAGTTGCTGAATCACCCTACCCTGGCTCCATTGCTATTCAATTTGCATCAGAATAATGCTGATCATGGCTCTGGGATAGGGAGGGTTGCAAAGTAGCTCATGGCTTTCTGGTTTGCTTCCGGGCTCATTGGCTTTCCTTCCTCCGACATTTCGCTCAAGAGTTTGAAGTAGTTGATGTAGAACGCGGGTGTGTAGGTATTGAAGAATCTGGCTTCCACATCACCGGGATTGGAGAAGGTATGGGGGCTGCGGGTTGGAACCACAACGTAATCGCCGGCATGGGCGTCAACGTTAGGCTTGCCAGGTATGTGAAACCGGACCATGCCTTGAGTAACAAGGAATGTTTCATCGTGCATCTCGTGCCAATGCGGCGGTGGCCCACGAGCTCCAGGAGGAATGATCAGCTCAGCCGAACTGAGGCGCATGTCTTTTTTTGTTAGATATGAAAGAACGGAGTCGGATGTGCACAATTACCGGTGTTTGATCCATCCTCCATAACACGCAGCTTCAAGTTACCCAGGACTAGGATGTCCCCGTTCTTTGCTGGGACAAAGCTAACAGGACGATCTGGTACTTCCATAGTTATGTCCAGGTGTGATTCTAGAAACTTCTTTGGGATAGTATTCTCTTTGAAATTACTGACAGCCGTGGAGGCCACCGGGTTTAATATATGTTCCAAGGTTTGCTTGATGTGTCCTGACTCTAGTACTACTGCCAGTAGAATTTGAACAGAGCATTGAACCGTGACCATATCGTAAATTACCATTCCCGAATTTACAGTGGGCGTATTGGTGGCCAGCAAATTGAAAGTGCCGGAGCAAGTCAATGACGAATCCTTTGCTGATCGTTCGGGAAAAGTGGTGATTGGGCTTTGGGGCCCCGCTTCCGAATAAGTAATTGCCTTGAGGCCGTTATCGCACGCAGTCTTGAGTTGCATTATCTCAGACAACTAGAGTTTCCATTTCAAATGAAAACAAACTGTTAGTAAAATTAGACAAATATTTGTTTTCAAACTCCTCAGTGGAGTCATTTATATTTAATTGAAGATACCTATCCTCCCTCAAGCTCTCTACACAGGCTCAATACTTACATTTTCCTTAGCCACGAGTAAACAATTTATCGAATTCAGTGTTGTTACTATCGTACAACATTTCTCACCTCCTTTCGACATGACACATTTAAATTCGAGCACCAAAAAGAAAATTCTCATCATTGGCGCGGGGCCAGGTTGACTGGTACTCGCTCACTGTTTACGAAAATATGACATACCTTTCGAGATATTTGAACGCGAGAAAGCCAGCAAACCACGAAAGCAAGGTTGGGCAGTGGCACTGATTGAGTACGTGACATTCCTCCGCCCGCAATTGTCTTCTTCACAACTTTAGCAAAAAGACTCGTTCGCATTCGGAATAATTAACACATCGTTCGATAAGATGCCTCTCGGATCTAGAGGAGCTGCTGCCGGAGGAGATCTTCCACAAAATTCCCACCGCCAGTGTTAATCACCAAACTGGTAGCCGCGACTCTTTTGCAATCATCAATTGCATGAAGGGCCAGCAGACAGCTGCACTTGGTGAGACAGAGTACGCAAAGCCCGGATGTTTGCTCCGTGTGAATCGTCAAACTCTCCGCGAAGTATTGTGGCAGGACATTGATATACACAATGACAAGGCATTTGATCACTACGAGGAATCGGAAAACTGTGCTACGGCATATTTCAAGGATTTAACAATTTTCACTGGAGATATTATAGTCGGAGCAGATGGTGCCCATAGTGCTGTTTCGCAGTCTGTCCCCGCACCCACCAGTGCACTCTTCCGAGTCGCCGGTTAATTATGAGATACTGATCCGGCTATACATCCCTAGTACGCAAGCAACTATTTGGCTCCCCGAAATCGATGCAGAGCAAGTACATTCCACTGGTAGGAGAGGTCCAGCTGTCCAAAGAGCAGTACGAGCCTCTTCACAAAATAGGTACTGCGGGACTGTTTTCTTACGGGCCTGGGTTGCGATACCTGATCGGCCTCCTTGGGACCACAGAAGATCTCTCGGAAGCAAGTTACTACTGGGCTTGTTGTTATCAAAGCGATGATCCGGAGCGAGACAGTGCATGGGTACAAAACGCGAGCGGCTAAGAGCTGTATGACCGTGCTCTTGAGATCACCCAATCCTTTCCCCCGATTCTGACCGATATCATCCGCACTACCGAGCCAGAGAACATGGCCCAGCCTCCACTACGCTTTATAGAGTATTATCCTTCTGAAGGTCGATCAGCCTCGCCTCGGGTGACCTTACTCGGCGATGCTGCTCATGTGATGATACCATTCCATCTCGCCGGTACGAATACCGCCATCAAAGACGCCTGCGACTTGGCACGTCAACTATCGGACCCTAATCAGAATTTATCTGGAGCAACTCAATGCTATGAGAAGGTGATAATCCCTCGCGGGCGCGAGAAAGTGTTGTGGAGCCGGCTGGCTGGAGAGCTTCCAACCTTGAATGAGATATTGGTCCGAACAAATACCGGTATTCTAGCTGATAGTAAGTAGAGTCTACAGTGTAGATTAATTGAATTAGAGATAACTACTGCCTTTGAGTCGAATGGAGGGACTGTGCCATCAATCAACAACTAGGCTTGAGCATAGGAAAGGCAAAGTGGAAAGCATTATCGATTCACTCCACCGTACGTGGAGCCGCCTTTCTCTAGAGGCCAATTTACCAGGATTCTCGACAGAAACAACACCCAATTCACGGAATTTTGTACTAAAACTCTCCAATCTTATTCCAATAGTTGACTAAAGAAGCGTGGGAAATTGAAAACAATACCCATAAAAATTCGGGACCAGCGGCACCTTCAATTTCGGAGTTTAAGAGTCCGACATCCGAGTTGTAGACTTCCATGGGCTCCAGTATATTTCTGCTTTAACTCACAGCCCCACTATCGCGGACTGGCAGTGGCACTGAAACGGCCCGGGTGGTGAAGATAGGGGAACCGAGCAGTTGAGGAGTTTCATCACCAAAGTAGCGGTCCCTTGGTAGTAACTGTCCGGCTATCTCGGAGGATTGGTCCAGAAAAAATGACATTGGTTCTTCTTAAAGTTTCTGCGATGACCATGATTCTAGGAAGCAGTTTTCACATCTCTCAGTTATTTCATAATCGCATCTACAGTTTGGCGCAATCCCACCTACTACGGCAAATCGAGGCATACGATTTTTTTTTCGCTCGAGTTCGTTTTCGTTCACAAATACCTGTTTAATACATTTGTGACCAAGTATTATTGCAAGTATGCACGTCAATGCGCCGTCGCCTGACGTTAGTCACCCCAAACTTGGCGAGCCACAATTCCAATCACATTCCTGGGTCGAGCCCATTGTACGTTTGTATTCTGAACAATGGAATGCACGCCTTCTCATCACGCATTTTATAATCTAACTGAGCTGTTCAGATTGTCATCAGCATCATGGTCGGCTCACTTGTCATAAACCGGCGCCGCAACTTCTGCATCTGGGAGAAGCAAAGAACATGGGAAACTGAGGATCAAGTCAACGGAAGTCCTCCATATTTTCCACTGGTCGCTACTGATTGCTCGTCGCAATATCAGCCCAATCCACGGGAAGGGCGCATCGTCTGTGGGGTTTTTATCAAAAATCTAGACTCATCCCGGTGGGCACATCACATCCACAGCCGGGTCATGCAGAAATTCCCTTTTCTGGTCGAAATGTTCTACTGGGCGATCAATTACCTGTTTTATTCAATCACCAAGGCGACTTCACAATGGCTATCGCCTGCAAGTATAGGCATTGTCCAGGTGGCCCAGGATCACGGCATCAGTATAATGAACTTCGAACATCGATCAATATTTCGCTTCATATTTGCAATCGAAGAAGTCGAATTTCAAGCCTTTTTCGTAAACAACCACCCTGCTGTGATGACATTTTTCAATCGGGTCTACTCCCTCATACATATCCCAGGGTCCGTCTTGTGAGTATAGCACCATTGATTTTCATATTTGTGCGAAAGCCTCTGTATTGATGCTTTCCTATTTTTCACCCACAGATTTCTTTCATGGTACTATCATGCTGCACCGGACCACAATACATTTAGCATTGTTCGACGCACCATGACCTTGGGTAATTTCGCCGCGTTTCTAACATTTTGCATCTACCCCTGCATGCCCCCACGCCTGTTACCCAAATCCTATCGGTTTTACGACACTGTTCGTCAAGAGCAAGCCGAAAGCATTTGGGTTAGCGGGAAGTCTGTGAATCAGTTCGCTGCCATGCCCAGTCTGCATTTTACTTATGCTTTCGTTATTGGCTGGACCTTTATTCATCATTCTGGAGTCTTGCGGTTATTACGGGGCCGAAAGAGTAATAAACCACTATCGACGCAGATCCTTTTTGTTTCCCTGGCCATTGTTTATCCTTGCATTGTCTTATCGGTTATTGTTGCTACAGCAAACCATTATTGGCTGGATGCCGTGTGTGCTATGTTGACAGTTACTGCGTGTTTTGCGGGTAACAGGGTTCTTCTCATGCTGCTACCAGTTGAGTTTGGTATTTGTTGGGCATTAAAAATTAGCAAACCTACTCCAAGCACGGGGTACCTGACTAACAAGGATTATAGGAGGAGAGGACGGGCGCAGTCGTTCCAATTTGGGGTATAATCATATCTACCACGAGAAGGTTAAAATCACATCCATGGAGGTTGCCGGGAACTACATTATATATAACGGGATATTGACAGCTAGCCTAGTAGAAAGATTTATTTCTCTGTCAAGACATAAGTCGATGCCAAATTCAAGTTATGGTCAGTCTTCGCAATACAGCACCCATCACCTGTCTTAGCTGTTTTTGTGGAATCGGATTCGACTTTCTACATGTATGTTGGTTGATTGAAACCATCCTGAAAATATCCACTCAAAGTTTTTGGCTACTAGGCCGGCCATCCAATGAGTAGATTCAACATGGAATAAATTATTTAAGGCCATAGTCTCTTCAAAAATTGATACCATCGCGCGTCGCAGGTCGGCATTTGCCGGAAATTCTATGTCCGAATCCCGATCTTTGGAGACAAGACCTTCCCATGGTTAGCCCAACCATAGTCTTTGAATTTGCCATCATTCCGAAAGTTTAAACAGACCCACTTCATATTTCGTACGGGTAATGTGGTTCAGTCTGTCCGTGGGAGTATGTGAGCACCCCTGAGATTTAACGGTGGAGTCGACATGTGGCGACCCATACACGACCTAATAAAGTTTACATAGTCTGATCTGCGTGAGAGGAATTTTGAGTCCCAGTTGGATTGAAACTTAAAATGCTGCCGAATTTCCGAAAAAAAAATCGAGTGTTTTCCAGCCCAGAGTAACGTGTGGATTGGCCTGCCCCAGCGGTCCTGTGTAAATGTTTTATGGCCCTGATCGCTTATTCGGCACCGACCTTATCTAAGGCAAAGCTTTTGTAGAGGGTATATTACTCGAACATTCGTGTTTTACTGATTGAATATTTCATCACTATTCATGACTTTATAAGCTTTGCCCTTAGTTCCATCCCGTTCGCATCACCATCGGGCTTTTCCTTTAGGCAGCACCTGCTGCAACCCTATTGATTGGGAATTTGTGATCTGTGAACTTCTGATTGGAGGAATATCAACACATCAGAGCCTCCGAAGACATGGAGAAAACCATTACAGCTTCCCAGACGTTGTACCTACCTCATCAATGCCAATTGGAAGTGTTCAAAGATATTCTCGTCCAGAATGGATACGTCTTGGACAATGGTCGCGGGAACACGGATGATATCACGTTGTTGTGAGTATTTCTCGGTCATTCGATTGCGAACATCCGCCGGAAAGGAGACTTTATTAATGGCTCCTGGTCTAACTTGTTCTGCTTCCGTAGGCGCTTTTTGCGCGCGCAGAAATTGGATCTAGATCGAGCCTTTGAGCAGTTTGACACCGCCCAAACCTGGCGCCAACAACACAACATCCAAACCTTCTACGACAATGTTGATGTCAATTATTATGAAGAATCGAGAAAGATGGTTTGCCTCCCTTCTTAGTCAGAATGAGTGAAGCATTTCCAAGCGACATTGAATCGCTAACGATAAATTGGATTCAGTACCCTCAGTGGATCGGTCGACGGGACAAAAGTGGTTGCGCCATTTACATATTTCCAATGCGGTACCTGACAATAAAGCGATTGGATGCTTACTTGAAGAAAATATCCTCCTGCCCTACATCAGGCGAACACATGGTCGACAAGCCCGATGTTGGCCCTCGGGATCTTCATTTTCACGCCCTATACGAGAACCTCCAACATTTCGTCTTTCCATTCGTCTCACAACTAGCAAGACCAGATATGAGCACTCCTATCAGTGCATCCACCCATATCGTCGATGTGAGCGGAGTCAGCATACGTCAATTCTGGAGTATCCGGAAATATCTCCAAGAGGCGAGTGCGACGGCCACGGCGCACTATCCAGAGACACTCGGTCGAGTTTTTGTACGTTTCCCAACCCATGAAATGGATGTAGAGGAAGGTCCTTTTCCTGACATGATTTGTGGCTGACCATCCGCGCTCGTCGAGTTAGATCGTCGGTGCGCCCGCGTTCTTCAAATCCATATGGGACATGATCAGTCAATGGTTCGACCCAGTCACTCGGTCGAAAATCTTTCTCCTCTCTACCTCCGATGCTGAGACGACTCTACGCACTTTCATCGATCCATCTAATTTGCCAAAAGTTTACGGTGGTGAGCTGGAGTGGCAATGGCAGGACTTGCCGAACTTGGATGGCCCCGCGAGAGAGTTGATGGAAAGGTTGCATCAGGATACTGTTGAGGGACATACATTTCCAAAGGGGCCTATTGTTTTCGAGAAGGGCTGTATCAGGCTTCTGGGAACCATTGATGGGCAGCCGAGACGCGATGGCGTCTGTCTAAAATAGACCTGAAAAGGGTAGACTTTCCGATCATCCAGCTGTACACTATATACTAGTGTATATCTTTAGACAATCAGATACATAAACCGCATTGATTAAATAATATTTTATCAGCATTGAAACAACTACGTAATCAGACAGATCGCTGCTTAGGATGGACATAACGTACAAATAGAATCAGCGCAGAATCAAATTGCAAACTTGAATAGGATGTCGGATGCAATTCTTGACCTTCCCAAGTCTCTTGTGGCTCACTATTGCTATTATAAAGCTTGCTCGCTGAATACATATATAAATTGCGTTGCGTTTAGGAGGCATTCACTGTGATATCGGCCCCTTTGCTATGGGAGGTACTGCCCTCAGGGCCGTAGAGCCCTTTTCCGTTGCCAGTAATTACCATGTCAAGGATCTCGGTAAAACGGGCATATTGATAGTAGCCACAGCGTGTAACTGGGTCAACTTTGCGGACTACAGTTAACCTCAAAGTTGGCATAAGGCACCAAATGTCTGCCGGATAAGATGACTGTTGTCGCGCACTTGACCTAATAGACCGCCGTAGTAGGTGACCGAACCTTTTTTGTTGCCTGTTGTCCCGAAGGCAACAAATATTTTGGACATGGATAAATGATATTTCAAGACTTCAATATGTATTGAGTAAAGCTTTGGAGCTGTGGACGGAGCCCGGTATCTGTTTGCGGGGCTTCCATGTCCTAGGAAGTGCCGCATTGAAGAAAGGGAGCCAGACTACGCCAATAGAAATGCAAATTATTGAAGTAGTAAATCGGCCATGGAAAGCCCGAAGGGCCGACACGGGCATGCGTGCATAATACCGCTTGTCGCCCGTGGTCATCACGTTGTGTGTAAAATTATGGAAGATCATGCTGATCGCCAATGGAACCCATAATTTCGACCCAATGAGCCGATGTCACGCACAAATAATCTGAATCGTGATTGACTTCATCAATTCCTATTCCGGGACCTTGTTGCTATTCCCTCGCTTTTGAAAACATCCGCCAAAGCCGCAACTAGTGGTTCCACTTCTCTGTGTGCTAAAGCTGGCTTCTGCTGAACATTCGCCGTGTAAAATTTCTATGGCGCTATGGCTCCACTGGCAACATGAAGTAATAAATCACCTTAATAGAGAGACTCGGGCCCGCGAGCAGGAACCAGGAGACTTTGCCTTTTGGTAGTAGATGGTATATACCTAGGTGTGTAAGAGGAAGCAAGTCTAGGGCCTCGGGTAGTTCGTCCTGTGTACTAGTAGAACCCAAGTCTCATATTTTTCAGTGAATGCTATCTCATAGTATCTTCAGGCTAAATCAGGGGAAAATGTTGTGGATTTGCATCGGCTTATTTCTCGATGACCGAACCCGAATTCGGAGATAATCTGATCTTTATCACCGACTAGCGGCTACAGCCTACAATTTATGAATGGTAGCACCTGTCTCATCTTTCAACTAACACGCTAACTTCCCTTGACCTCATTTCGGTTCTCTTTTGAACCACTTCTTCTCACATTTCTTTCCTTGAATCCTTCACTATGATCCAACAAAAACAACCCAAAATCGCCATCATCGGTGCTGGCCCTGGCGGCCTTACTTTGGCTCGATTTCTCCATCTCGCCAAAATGCCCTTCACTATCTTTGAATCGGACCAGTCAGAAGACGCTCGCAGAGTAACTGGTGGGATTCTTGATCTCCACAAATCGACGGGACAACGGGTCATCCAAGAGGCAGGCCTTTGGGAAGAATACGAGAAGCATGTCTCCTATGAGGCAGAAGATCTCATCATTGCAGATCGAAACAATGAACTTTTGCTTGACACCCGAGGCCAAACCAAGGGACGACCTGAGATTGACCGGCCAGCATTGCGCGACCTGCTTTTGTTCTCCATCCCGGCGGAGCACATCCGGTGGAATCATCGCCTCAAGGATGTGGGTGAGGATGGAACCTTGCATTTTGCCCATGGAAAAGAATGTGGCTATGACCTGATAGTGGGCGCAGATGGTGTCTGGTCCAAGGTTCGCCCGGTCGTCAGTCAGATTGCACCATTTTATTCTGGTACCACAGGGTTTGAGCTCTGGATTCCCAACCCAGCCGCAATCGATGTTGACATGGATGCCATGCTAGGCAATGGCTCTTACTTTGTCTACGGAGGAGACGATCGGGTATTGATGGCTCAGCGCCAGGGAGACCGCTCGGTCCGCGTGTATGCCTTCGTCCGCAGGCCTGAAAGTTGGATTAAGACTGCTGGTCTGGACTTCACCAACCGCCAAGCCGTCAAAAGTTACCTCTTAGATGAATTCCGAGCTTGGAGTCCGGAGCTATTGCGAATGATCTCCAACTGCGATGGCGAAATCATCCCCCGGCCGCTATATATGTTTCCTGTTGGAGTTCGCTGGCCACACAAGGAGCACTTCACGCTTTTGGGGGATGCAGCGCATGCAATGACACCCTTCGCAGGAGAAGGGGTCAATACCGCCATCTTCGATGCCTACAAGCTCGCACAAACCATTATCGCGACTCCCGAGAATCTCGAAACTGCGTCTATCATCTACGAGAAAGGCTTATTTCCCCGCGCTGCCAAGGTTCAACAAACAACTTGGGAAGAGCTCCTTTGGACTTTTGAAAAAGATGCAGGCGCTCGCCTGGCAGAACGAATCACTTACTTGATTGACATGCATAGTAAGGGACTCTCTGTTAGGGAGGGCATGGGATCAGATAATTCGATGGATGATTAGTTAAGGGGAAGGAATAAAACACAATCGGCATTTCAATGCCACCAAGCCAGGCAAAGGCTGTGTATTACTGCTGGCTCATTCAAATATCCTCTTCGGACGGTCTCTGTTCTCCTAATCGCAAACATCCATAGACTGTTCAAAAGTACGCTTAGATATTGGTTAGCTGAGGTTTTCGGGTGTACCTAGGAAAAGAGGTGTACGCGTGCGTAGTATTAAAGTTGTGCTAGCCTTGGAAGCTAGAATTTGCCTGTCCCTTTCTCCCGGAATATATCTTCTGCTCGGGTCCATTCTGCCGGGCGGAGGCGGCGGCCGAGTTGACGATGGAGAAGCTATTTCAACAGCGATAAAACGCATCAAACGCATAACATCTCCACTGCAAATGAGAACAATTCACTTCCGTGTCTGAGCATTTAAACAATTCAGCTAATCGAAAGGGTCTCAGGGGTGAGTTCCGATCGTAAAAAACTGGTTCTAAAAACATAAATAACATCAGTAAGATGGCACACCGTGAACCCACCATCGCTATCCAGGCAAGGGGCTTAGCCAGCCTGGAAGGAATGCAACTTTGCTAGAAGTAACTTCCAAATGCACTTCATGCTCGCTTCAGTTCCACGCCGAAGAAATTGCACTTGATATCAAAGAAAGGTCCTAACGTCGGAATCTCTTTTATTACCTTCACGAAAAGCAAAAGCAAAGGGTTGTTCGGATTTGAGTTGTGAAATTAATATGAACTGGGAGACTCCCTCCCTTAACAACCTCCTACATCATTCAAGTGGGCTAAATCTACACAATATACGACTTGACCTCATTCACGGGTTCGACTTAGCAACAGGTAGATGAAAGTGCCATCCACATCCCTTTTGGAACAGAATTCAGGAAGACGTCGTAGCAACATACAAATTTATCCATCAAGGGTGTCCGTTAAATGGCCAAATCAAACCAATCTTACCAATTTTTTCTGCCTGTTCTGCCTGATGGGTGAACTTCTGAGAACAAAGTCCAATTCCCGCCGTCCAGCCCACCAGCCAAGCCATCAGCACCAAGTACAACCCTAGTCCCATTGACGCCGACCAAAGCATTCGCCCCTGGCAGGACAACACACCCTGTTGTTCCGATTGGCGTACTGAAGCGCAGACCTTGGTATGTACCATTGCGCATCTCAAAGGTTATCGCAAAAGCGCCAAGCTTCGTTGAGAAACCCGCATCGATCGATGTCAGATTGCCAGGCTGTGGAGAAATCGACCAGGTCGCTCCTGCTCCGGAAGTCAATTTGAGACCCGCGGCGTAGTTCATGAGAACGGATGTTGGGCCGGTAGACCAGCCGTGCGAGTGCGATACCCGGGGGTCATTAGCGTACGGCTCATAATGCAACGAGCCATCAGTTGAATACCCTTCAATGAAGGTTGAGTTGGTCATGCGTGGGTCATTCATCATAAAACCCCATTCCAGACGGGAGGAGGTCCAACGCGGAGTTGGGGTTCCCGGCAATGAAGTGAACTTGAAGCTCAAACCCACTAATGAAGGGCGATACAGTGCGACCTGCCTCAGGTGCGGGTGCACCGTATGTACCCCAGCGGTTGCGCAGGGACTGTGAGATCTGTCGGATTTGTGACAGTGACTGGGTGAGGTTGGACTTCACAGCCCAGACGTTTCCATCCTGAGGATAAAGGGTTGTGGTCTCGTTGTCACGGAACAGGCCGCTGCTGGGGTCCCAAAGGTGCTGGTTTGCGGCTGTCTTTACCCTTTGTCCTTGAGAATTGAGGGTAACTTTCAACAATTTCGAGGAGCAATCACTTCTTGAACATCGGAGACAATTTTGAGCCTCATTTTCCGCGAGAATTTTCTTCTCATTCAAGCGGCCTTTCCTCACCTGGTGCCTCCGGGGTCGCGTGTGATCAGCATCTCTGTCCAATGGCTGTAAGCTAGTTCGCCAGAACCCGACACCGAATACACATCTCTCCATGTCCCAGCTGTCGGGGTTTGCGATTTTTGACACGGGGGTAGTCGCTTGAAGTATGGGATGCTCAGTGTCAAGGCAAAAATACCAGCGTACAGAGCCAAAATCTGGGCCTGCGCACCTTTTGGTCGATTGGCCTGGTTTTCCCCATTCGCTCATTGGCCTGTAAGAGCCGGCAATGGAAGTCTCAAAGCTAAATTACCGTCCATGTTCCTGCTTTTTTGTTTTTAGTACACAGTTTTTTTATCTACATCAGCTGCACTTCAACGAGCTACTCGGATGTGTGTACTTGTTTCACGGTGTTTTCCCAGTCCGAGCGAACGAACAATACGTCCCACGCGCAGGGCGGATACGTTGGGGGCTGAGCCATGGCGCAAGGCGCGTTAGAATCAGAGATAGAAGGAAGAGGTAAAGACTAGCAGAAATTGTTCGTTTTGATTGTGTGATGAGGCGACTCTTTGCCCACTTCCAGTGCGCCCAATTTTAATGACGGACTGTGCCTAGCGCTACCTGTCTTTGCCGGTGAGGTTGGTAAGCTTTAGTTGTTTTCAGGCTCAAATCTGCGACCTTTAAAGAAACAAAAGCGTCAGAGCCATCCTTGGAACAAAATATGCTTTACAAATTTCCCTGTTGCCCCATTTTATCCTCTTCCAACGGCAAAAGAGAGGTGCAAAAGCTAAATATTCCACGAACCCCGTTCGGTCATTCGCCTAAATCCGACGAGGTGGTCGCCGTCACGGTCACCTCGGTGCTCTTGTTGGTCATTCTGATGTCAAAGCCGACGTTATTAGTAATATATGTACCTTTTCAGCGGACGTAAACCTCACAATAGGTGGGTGCAATCCATTTGTAGTTCTTTCAGCTACTGATGTATATTAATCGGTCAGAATTTCACTAGACCTCACCATTGCACCGAGCGGCGCCGAACGGATTAACTCGTACCGAATTTCCGACGAATTCTTCCCAAGGTACTAGCTGCGAGGATCATCCGGCTTTTGGGAATTTCCAAAGGCCGATTACAGTACAACTGTTGAGGAAATATACCTACTCCGTGGGTATCGAAGAAATACCCATTAGGTATCGTTCTTCCTTTCTGGTGTCAGACGGACGGGTACTAACCGGTATGTAAAATTACCAACGATCGGGTGAAGAATATATAATTAAAACTTGGACATATTCAAGAAGCCCTGGAATTTGCTTCGAATTTTCGACGTCAATGGCTTGAATAAACGCTTGTTGTGAAGTTAGAAATCACGAGAGCACTCATGAGAATGAATCTTTGGGCTCAATTGGTGATCATAGATCGGGAATTGCGTAGGTTTGAAATCACCTGATGCTCCATCATCTACTATGGCTAACTCCCAGCAAAGTTCCAGAACCGCTGTCACTTTTCTCGTGTGTCTAGTTCGTCTCAGCATATTTGACCTAGGAGTCTGAGACCTGAATATCCGGAACCTCGTGAAGCGACTATTTTCATTTGATTTATTCTGGGCCATACCAGAAACTCAGTCGATACAGACTCGCCAGGTGCAACACATGCACACGTACTGAGAGCTGCGTTGCCTTGGAACTTGCCATATTACCGAACTTTTTTAATTACTTCATTCTAGATGGTTAGTGGCGTTCCAATTTTGTTCAAAATTTCAGGCTAAAATTTGAAGACTTCTCTTCATCACGGTGTGCTACGCTTACATGCACATTCAACATTGAAGTCTTTGCAGGTTTACTGCTTCCGGTCGCAATCTTCTCAATCCTGTGTCGACCCCAAAGCCATGTTTACCGCTGGAATTTGTCAGGCTGTCTGGGATCATGGATTGCGAGATGAAGATCTCAGGCGTCTCGCCGGAGATAAAACGATCCATAGGCGCATTGAACATGTCGTCGACCGGCTCACGTACAGTGCCCTTCTCAAGTTGACCCTACTTGCCTCGTACTTTGAAGCGCCATTTCTTCTACCATCCAAAAGGCTCATTTTATTTTTCGCCCAGCCGTACGAGGAATACTGGACAGTATGCGAAACTCTTTGCAACAGGTATAATCAGCTTCTTGGACAGAAAACTTCCTTTGAAGAGTTTGCAGACGGCCTTGCTACTCTTTTGGCGTATCTTGAATTTCGTTTGGGCTTTGGTGAATGATGAGATAGAAACAATTGATATTACCTCGTCTATGACTCAATAAGATAGAATAAAGACACTATCCATTTCTCCCCAGCCAGTATTCTCAGTAAATGTCTGATAATCTAAACGAAAGCCGAAACCCCGAGGGCGGTGGAATCACCATGAAATCTGGTATACTCATCTCTCAAATCTCTCTAACGTTTCACTACCGAGCCGCCATCCTCATCAAGCCGCCACCCTACTACCGATATTGCAACAAATATTGCAAAAATTTCGAGAAACCACCAGTTAAATACGTAAATTCAAGTGCCATTATTAAGAAGGCACCTATTCAGTTCCTGCCCTAGTTTGCGATAGTTGCCACGCCGCTGTTGTGGCCCCTTGTTGGCTGATCTCGCTGTCCGCAAAGGTACTAACTAGTACTAGTATGTCACATAGAACCTTACAGGCTTGGCGCCCTCTATTTATCTCGTAATGCCGCCCTAAGAGAAATTGAGGCCATTATCATCATAGTCATTATTCCCAACGGCTAAAGGAGCAACATACATGTTTGCTGATTGTAGAAAAAGGAGGTATCCTCAGATATTTCGGTAATTCAAAGCTAGGTGGAAACGCCACAGCCTGGTCGTGTTCGGACTCAAATCACGACAAAAGCCACCAATAGAATGTTTCAGATGTTATTTCTAAAAACGCCTCGGCCGCTTCACATCTCGAAATAATGCAAGATCAGCTTGCACCGCGAAAGTGGGACGATAACTACGGAGTACATGTTTGATGATCCTACCAGCCACAAAATACCAGGTTTGCTGTTCGTACTAGGCCGAACCATCCACGGGGTAGCGTAGCTACCGGTCCCACAGAAGATTGACACGCTCTCCCCTACAACCTCTACCAAAACCTTTTTCAGAATCTCAGCGCAACTGCAAGATGAGCAGTCGATTCCCCGGGGACCAAGTGCAACTTGCATGTGAATACCGTCGACGAAAGGTGAACTGCGACAAATTAAGCCCTTGCTCGAATTGTGAGCGACATGGTGTCCAATGCATTGCCGTCCGGCGCGCTCGCCTGCCACGAGGTCGGACGAACAATAGGGCCACGGGGCAGACGGATACTTCAAAATCTGCAATCATGGAAAGGATGGACAAAATCGAGCAGCAACTCATTCAAATGGCCACGGTTGATTCAACGATTTCCGATGACTTGCTTGTACACGAGAGAGAGTATTTCAGAGCAAAGCCGCGCTCCATGGTCTGAGGCGGGCGGGACACCCTCAAGCCAGAGTGACATCGCGATCTCGACAGGTCTGCAACCTTTTGGCAATAGTCCCTCAGCTCCACGGGTATGTGACCGAAAGTTCATTCAGTTGCTCTCACAGATGGCCCCGGTGGCACTATTCACGCTATAGACCAGATTCTGAATTCTCCCCCCTTCGGTGTCACTCTTGTCAATTCACTGTCGGCAAAGAGCACCCACGGTACGGAAAGTCATACCCGGAGACAAAATTGTCTCCTCAAATCTGCCGACATCTTTGCGCGATCTATTTGCATAACGTGGATCCGTTGTTCAAGATTCTTCACCGTCCCTCCGTTCAAAAGTTTCTCTGCGATGGTGAACGCTATCTGGACTATGAGCCAGATCACCATACTCCCGCTACACTTGCCTCCGCTATTTTTTACTCAGCGGCTTGTTCTCTAAATGACTCTCAATGCGTTTCCTTGTTTAGCGAAGAAAAAAGAGTCATAGTCGCATTACTCCGGAAAGAGACCGAATCAGCACTATTTAAAGCAGACTGCACCGCTTCAAACGACTTGACAATATTACAAGCCTATGTACTTTCTTTGGTAAGACATCTCTCTTGATAACTTTCGATACGAACCTTTAACTAAAATTCCCAGCTTTCTACTTGGACTTATGACCAGAGCAGACGTGTTTGGACGATGTTGAGCATCGCTCTCCGCATGGCCCAAGCCCATCTCTACATTTACCCGAGCCCCCATTTCCTAATACTCCTTTCGACCAGGAAATGCGCCGGCGGCTGTGGCTTGCCATAGGACTGCTGGATATCTCAACCTCTCTATCTCATGCCTCTGAGCCAATGATGCAGCTGGCGTGGTTGGAATCCCATCCACCCTCCAATGTAAACGATGATGATATATGGTTTGACATGGAAAAGCCTGTCCAAGAGGGAGATGACACCGTGTTGTCTGACATGTCATTTTCTTTGATACTTTTTGCAGCACAGAATGTTGTCAGGTCCATAGGGTTTTCCGGCTGGATTGAGATAGTCATAGACCACTTAGTCCTGCGGCAGCGACTTGTTGATTGCTTTCGGAAAACGGTCCCAACGCTGCTCCTTGGATGCAGTCCCGAGATGGAGCCATTTCAGTGGTACGCCCGACTAACTACGCGGACCATAAACTCTTGGTTACAGCTTATTTCCGTTCGACCATTGAAAAGGAGCAGGACGTTTGTCTCCCCCGCGATTTCTGGAGACGATGTGCTCAGGTGGGCAGCTAAAAACCTTCAAACCATACTGGAGGGACATAATGATCCTCGTGCCTCCCCTTGGCGATGGTTCGAGTGCATGTGGACTCCTTGGCATGGACTCGCGGTTGCTATGTCAGAGCTTTGCGCCTGCGAAAATCCACTTACCATGGCAAAGTATTGGCCGTTGGTTGAAGGTTTCTATTGCGAATCGCGCACTTCTGCCAATGGCGGTCAAAGTGACAGAGTCAGCAAGCCAATGGATAGACTTTTCGCCCAGGCGCGAGCTAGGAAAGAGAAATTATCGGAAGATCACGGCACCCGCGGGTTGTCAACATACTTCGCCAACGATGTGCTTTCTGGTGAGAGTGGATCCAGAAAACCTGAAGGTCAATTCTTTTCTAGTCCTTCACTAGGGGTAGATTTAAATTCCAATCCTGATCAACAAATTCCCTTTGGCAACAACATACTGTCTTTTAGCAATTTCCCTATCCTGTGGCCAAATATCTGGGACCAGATGGAATTCGGTAACCCGGCACTTGACAACGAGAGAGGCATAGCCTATCAGAGCTACGAAGACTTTATGCTTGGTTTTCAAAATGAAAAATGAACTTAAGTATTTTAATGACCTTGTTGTCAAACTATATTACAGCAATATTCGGTGCGTTTCAGCATTTCTTGTTACTTTTAGCGTCGGATAGGCTGAAGACATGAACAGTCATTCATGCCTCATGATATGCCTGTACGTGTACTTAATCTATAATGAAGATGTCTCGATACGCCACGGCTTGAAAGTTACTCTGTATTTCCGAAGAAACCCTTAAATCTCGAAACTTCGACTATGAGATTATTTGTTCCGTGTGGCAGATACTAGCTGAGACGGCTTTCCTGTTGACATGCAAAGAAATACGTTACTACTTAAGAGTACAACTCAAGAAAGATATCTACCAAGCTGCTTCACTGGTTTCTATAAGTAGTCTCGGCGTGAAAATGAACCTTGGAAGACATCTTCAATGTCTGAGTGATAGCTAGAATTGAAATGAATTATATAAAATCTCCAAGGCAATGTTGAAACAACTTGAACTCAAGCGTGAGACAGCATCCACGCGATGCCATCTATAAATATATTAGCATGGCTCGGTTCTCCAAGAGTTATTCCTATCAGGAAAACGCGGCCACAATGCCCACAACACCCCCGGCCAAAGGTAGCAGGCTCCGGAAGCTATTGAGTGAGATCCAACTGCGAACAAGCGTATCGATCTCCCCGCCCTCTTTCTCAGCCAATCTGGGATCAATCTTCGCTTTTTCAATCAGCGTTGCATTGGTCTTGCGCATCACTATGATGGTGTAGGGTACGAGGCTTAATGTGAGAGCGGCAGCGGAGCAGTACAACGCGGACCGGCCGGCTATCCCCTGAATAAACTTTGATGATTCCGATCGGACACACCACGCCAGGTAGAAGAATGCGCTAGACGTGATGGCTGTTATTGGGGGGGTTCTGTGCTTTGCCTGCTTCGAACAGCTTCCTCCATTGTTTCGCAAGAGTAGCAGAAGAGATATCGCTTTCGAGTCTTGATTGTAAGAGGCCGGGCGCCGCGTTCATGCTGATCGCAGCAATGTTGCCTATAGACTATTCGAATCGTTTTATTGTCTCAGAGCAAGGCATGTATTGCCCCGCGGTCGAAGGACTAGCCTGATAGCCATGTGGCGCCAGTAAAAGCGACAGTTTGGGCTATGCGAAAAGCCCAAGAAGTTGGAGACACTTTCACCCCAGCTAAAATGATTCGCGGTTTTTGTTGCTCGTTTGGTCGATATACAAATGATCGCGATTCTGTAGTGATCAAGAAAGCGAGATTCAGGGTTTTTTCCGCCTGGGATGTGGGGCGCCAACAATTTATGAATCTGTTCAGTTCATCACGACATTCAATACGACAACGGGCCACCACGTAATGCAAAACCAAAATCACCCCTCCGTAGTAAGATTCAACATCTGAATTTCACACGAGGCACTTTTTCTAATCGTTTCCAAGGATAGCTCAGCGTGACAGACGCACCTTAGTTAGAAAGCTATTAATTCTGGCTAAGAGCCACTCCTTGCAGGTCTAACGGAAGCAATGGGCCGCTGTGGTAGAAGAAAGAAATATCCCCAATACTGACAGATTCCGAACCAATCACAGCCATGTATATGACTCTGACAATCTGCTCGGTCTTTTCCAGTCGCCTCACCCGTTACTAGTTGCTAAACACCCGGGCTAAAAATCACCGGGGCTAAACACCGGGCAAGCCGTGAAGTTTGCACCCATGTCTGTTGTTTGAGCAAGGTAACCCATAATAGACTTGAAGGTATTGTCCAGCCAGTGAGCCCAGAATACCTTATTGATCCTATCTGTTTGCCTCGCATTTAAATAATTTGTGGCCGAAGGAGGTGCCGATCACCAAGCCACTCGAAGGGGACAAGACAATGTCCCCTGTCTGCTTCCACGGCTAGCTCATAAAGCCAGTTATATTAGACAGTATGCTGTAGCTGATTTTGGTAGATAACAAGCATCCTCATAACTGTCCAAATACAATGTCTCGAAACAGGACCTCTTTGAGGAGATTTTCAAGTTCTTTTCTTACTCTCGCGGGCAATTCCCTCTGAGAGCATCCTCCTAGTTGACGCTAGAGTATCAACTACATTTTGTCTTTGCTTGGTTCATTAGCAGTGAGAAACAGTACTACTTCGGCTCTACTGGCTTGACGTCTCTGAGGTGTGAATGTAGCTTTTCTGCCTGCATGGTCTTTATTATCAAGAGGAATAAGTTCACGGGAACTCAACCGCCACGCACAATATCTCGCACCCGAGAACCCGGAATTACCAGTGCGTGAACAAATCCCGCCCCGCGATCGGTCTACTACATATGGCGACCAGAATGGATTAAAAAGGTCGAATTGCAAAAGGTGACCACAAGATGTGACCCACACATTCGTTTCACGCAAGGTTAACATATAGACCCGCTGCGTCCACTTCTCTTACCCATAGTCTCCATGGCCGCATAAAAGACCATTCAGTCATCTCAGTAGTGGGAGATATCTCAGACTGATGAAGGTAATGCAGTTCACTGGCAACGCCATTTTTCCCAACGCCTGCGGAGCTACTGAGAGTCAACGCTGTTGTTTGAGTACTGGCATTTTGGGCAGTGTAAATTGCTCGGAAAATGCTCTCCTCTATGCCTTTCCCTACGGCAGTGAATCAGTGGCCTCGCATGAGGACCACTGGTCGTATACATTGCGTTGGCTCAGCGGAGAAATACCCAGATAGGTTTTCTTCAAGTCGCCCATTTCTGATGAGGAGATTATGGATATCACCCTCGCGGTAGAAATTAGCAATGTCAAACGTGGGGACCGAGCTGCCTATGTATCATCGTCAGCCACCCGCAGAGCTTATGCGATCAAGATATCTTTTGACGGCCTGAGCAGTATGGCTCGTGATGGGAAGTTACCTAAAAAGCCTCTCATGTGGCAACACGCCCGCAGCGGGACATCTGCACAGTTTTTGTCACTATTTGTAATCAAAGAGGGCAAAGACATTTCCTTAATACCAATGGCTGGCGCTGCATACCGGTAATTGTGTATGGAAGGACTGCAGCGCAATGACTGTGAACCACGCTCTGTACTTCTCGATACTTCTTGTAGATCTCGCTGTGAATGAAACGTTCCACATATCCGGGAGGACTACTCGTGATTACTGGTGATGCATCCTTTATGTGGTATTGCACGATATGTGCGGGAGATGACACGGTGGCTGGAGCCATGTTCATAGGCATCAGAAAGACATCTGAACGAGTGGGATGTCTAGCGGAAAGATGACCATACGCGCCAAGATGCTGTTTATGTTTAGTAATCCCTCTGTAAAATTCATATGTAACTATCAGACCAATGGTAATGTAGGATGTGGCATCCTGAGATCAAAGTTCGATAGATCGAGTCTAGAGCAGTTTGGGTGTCGGATATAGACATCGTTGGGTATGTATCACTGTTGTTCTGCGCAGCCATCGGATATAGGATGTGAGATTTGGAAATATTAGTGCAAGGTATATAGTTGCGGGAATTTCGCAAATAGTTGGGAGAGCATGAGAGTTCGAAAGACTCGGGCTTACAGACCCAGTACTTTCCTCGGTGCGAATTAGACCCGAGCTGTCCGCAAGTCCATGCCCCCGCAGAGTTGCATTTGCGCAGTAAGTGGCATATTCGGTTTTAATCAGGCTTTGGAAGCCGGGATTCGTGACCATTACGGCAGATTGCTTGTTCTCGCCAGTCCATTTGCAAATATGATAACTGATTAATGATAAAGGATTGAATCCCAGCACCTACGCATACTATCTCAGGCAAGCCACAATGAGTAACCATCCTTTTACCGGACCACGCATTGATCGCTCTGTTACAATCCATTGCGTGGGTGACTGGGGTCAAGCCAACTTCCACCGAATCTCATCATGGCTATCTCAAGAGTTCTGCGACCGTGCCGGGCCCAAAAGCCGAACAGCAATTTGGTCTCTTCGTGATGGTGGACTGGATTCGATTCTCCAAGTCTACAATGGCGAAGCAGATCTCGGAATCTCCACACCCACGACCCTTCTTAAGGCAAGTAAGTCTTCTGGGTGAGGAGATTTTCCAGAAGACCGGCCCCATGCCCTCTCTTCGAGCCCTAGCTGTTCTCCCACAACGAGACCGATTGATGTTCGCTGCTGCTTCGGGTCTGAATATCTCATCGTTTGCGGATATTCGAGACCGGAAGCTCCCACTGCGCATCGCAGTCTCAGAAGACGATGGGTCAAATTTGATTGGATACATTTCCGCACGGGTTTTGGAAGCCCATAGATTGGACGAAGAGACTATGCACTTATGGGGTGGCTCTTGGGTCAAGGCATGTCGTCCTGAACAAGTTATTGACCTTTTTCAAACGGGGCAGGCCGATGCCGTCATTCAAGAAGCTATAATGACACCTTGGTGGCGAGACTTGATTGAAAACCGTGCTCTGTCGCCAGTAGAGATGGACGATGCCGCTCTAGACAAGCTTTCAGGCCGGGACGGCTTCCAAAGGTCTTCTGTGAAGGCCGACTTCTGGAGTAATCTTACGCACAATATCCAGTGCGTGGACTTCTCTGACTTCGTCGTTGTGGTGCGCGACGATATGCCCCATGACATTGCTCATCTGCTCACTTGGTGTCTTGTTGAGACAAGGCACGTCCTGGAGGCGCAGTAATGCCACATCCCACCGGATCAAAGCCCTCTTTCCTATCCGCTGCAGCCGGTAAAAATGGCCCGGTCAACAATTCCACTCCATCCGGCTGCAGAACAGTTTTATCGAAGCGAAGGATATCTCCAAGACAGCGACACTCCTTTCTAGTCTACTAGTTCCTAAGATAGACTATACCAAGGATTACTTCTTCCATAGAGTGCTATCAGGAAATCGTGCAAAAGAAAGCCCTGGAGAGGTGTGGAGTGGACTGGATATATGGAATAATCTAGATATCTACTAGTCTGGACAAGTGCTTAAAGAATTCACAATGTCAGTCAGCCCTGGAGCTACGAGGTATAAAATCCATTATTCTTAGTACTATTCGTAGTAGCAGCACATCCACCCGTGGGCAGAAACCGCGCCCGGGCGTAGAGGCGGCTCTGCGCATTTAGTAGTTAGGATAGGCACTATGTATTTATACTAATATTTAGACATTTTTAAATCAACCTCATCCGCATTGCCTACGGACTGACCGAGTTCGAGCGAAGCAGTAATTTCAAAGTTCAAGTTGTCTCTGAGGTTTAGACCTCGAGGGGAGTCATAAAGTCTCACATCTTCATGGCTCTGCCTTGGATAGTAGTACCAACTACTCATCGTATGGGATAAGTGGAGTGTTGCTGACATCAGATCGACACAACTCAGGTTCTTCGTTTATGACTACCTAGGTATACAGCTGGCTCCAACGCGAAAAGAAAAAAAAAAGTAATTACTGTATTACTATATATCAAGAGCTAGCTTTAATCCATCAATTTGACAGTGGAAGCGAGTTTCCATCCTTTTCACAGATCAGCAAGCCCGCAAATTTCTCTTATTCCTTGTCGGGATGAAAACCATCCCGATCGGGGAGATAGCCTGCAACGCCTTCTCCAAACCCATTCCATCCATTAAATTCAGAAATAAATTTCACCGAAGCCTTCAAATAATGATCACTCTTTCTTCCAAAAGCGTCTTCGAATGCCTTTGGAGCGCGCACGACCTTGAAGAAATGGGAATCCTTTGCCCAACGATGTTCCAACGCTTGCGCCATTACCCAAGACCAGTCATGACCACCTAGGTCAATTGAATCAATGCGCTGAATGATTTTGGTAGGGAATTCCGGCTTCATCTGGCAAATATAGATCAGGAGAAGGAAAAGAGCATATTGCTTGAGAATAGAAGCATGTCGCTATTCAGGAATGAAATGCCACAGTACCCGAATAGCTTGCGCAACAGTCATGGTGTGAATCAGGTAGAAATCATATTGCCCAGCTCCGTTGCCTGTCCCAATCCCCAAAAGTAACGATAGATCGCAGCATTGCTCTAGCTGCTGCAAGGGATCAGTCACTTCCCATGCATTCCAGTGTTCCAATAGGACGCTATAGCGTTTTTCCAGTAGAATATTAATGTTTGTGATACCGGGCTTAGTAAACAAACTGGCAAGGCGCTTATCGGCTTGGACACGGCTGAGGACTTCTGCAAGGCTACTCGACTTATATGAGGAGTTGTCGGGAGGAGCACGGTCGAGAATTCCATGGAGAGGAATGTATTCAGTACATCCTAAGCTCAAACCTTCAGTGGCTACTGTCGGGCTCTGTAGCTCCCATACATAGGCGAGATGAATAAATGGATGGCCGACTGCGTGAATAATATGAGTCAGTTGAGATAATGGGTGACTCTGAGGTATCTTGGGACATACGGCCTCCGACCAGACCGTTGATAAGCGGTTCTGCCCCAGAAAAGAGATACTGCTGCAACACAGCTTTCCAGTCTCCGTTATTTATCTTGACTTGATTGTCGAAAAAGTCGACATACGCAACGGTATAACTAGTACTTGTTAGGATTTGTTCTAAAACAGGCGATTATGAGGTACCAACGATTTCTGTCCAAGAAATTTCCTCCATTCATTCTTTGAAATGCTGTTGCCCCGGGACAGATGTATCATCAACCCGCACTAGAGTTTTGATTTCATGTTCATAGAGTTCCTCCAATTACTTGCTGCTGGCGCCCAGAATATAGCCAGATCCAAGGAGCTTGATAAGATTAGATGAAATGTCTATATAGGAGCAAGGAGACGATGGGCTATCCATACATGCGGAAGATGGCTATGAAGAATCAACCTCGGTTCCCGAAGCGGTGCCATGCTATCATGGCCTTTGATGAGTAGTTCATTTAGAGTCTGTCGGCGCTCATCTTCGGATTTGGTTACATCGTAAACCAGTGTTGAGATCAAAGATCGCGGCCCCGAGGGAGGAGGGAGCTCCACTGGTACCGTCAAAACAGCGGTGGTCGAAGGCATTGTTATTCTTGTAGCAACGATTTTGTTTGTAGCACAGGATCCCTCGGTTTCCACCATTGGAACTCCTCGGCCTATTCAGTTGGATTATGTGGTGGATCTTTTCCATGCCGATTGTCCCAACTATCTCGACTAAATAAAAACTGTTTCACCCCACTAGAATTGACTACGCCTGTAGATTATGGCGGATACTCGGGTTTTGCAGTGTCGTTTTGGTCGAGGACGGCGTCGGCGCGGGCCCTCGGAAGGTGCTAGTACATGAAAGACCGAATCACCGAAGGCCTTTTTGTTCAAATATTATCTGATTTCAGAGAGTCTATCAATTTCAGGCAGACATTCTCACTGCCCATTTGACCTGCTCTCAGGGTGTTCTACAATGGAAGCTGCCGGAACCCCTCATTCCTCACAATGCCTTGCACTACTGGGTGGAACAGGCCACACTGGTCGATTGGTCTTACGCAATCTTCTGACAAGCGGAAACAACCAGATGGAACTTCACGTCTACGTCCGATCAAAGGAAAAGCTAATCGCGCTTTTCCCGGATATCTTATCGGATGCCAGGGTGACCATTTTCAAAGGCAATATTCAGGATGACGGTCTCATGCAACGATGTCTCTCGGGGGTCGATACAATCATCTGCACACTGGGGGAGAACGAAAATATCCCAGGGATCCGTGTGATGCAAGATTTTGCGCGGTCCGCTTTGGAAGCTTTGAAATCTTTCAAAGACAATAGCTCACACTGGAAGCCTCGACGGCTCATTTTGCTCTCCTCTGCCACGTGGAATAAACGCTTCGCCGACAGTCGACCAGCAATTTTACACTGGATGATCCGAAATACCTTTGCCCAATCATATGAAGATCTTGTGAAAGCCCAGAAGCTCTTGAAAGCCTCGCCGTCGCTTTTATCTATACTTTTGGTTCAGCATAACGCTCTAGTCGACGAAGCGGCCTCCGGGTGCGAGGTCAGCACTGAATTCGCCTATATGGCGGTTTCTTATGAAGACCTTGCGGATGGTTTCGTCAAGCTAGCCAGTGATCCTATGTACACGAATATTGATGCCGTTGGGGTGTCAAGTCGAAGTGCGGAAAATGGATTGCGATATTTTCCCTTCGTTTTCACTAAGGTCCTTCGGGGTCTCATGTGTCAATTCATTCCAGGGTACTGTCGAGCTGAATATGTAATTTACCAGTGGTTACAAACTTTGAAAGAGAAATCTAAGAAGTCGTGAGTTCTAAGTGCTTTCACTCATATTGTTTCGTGCGCAACAATATCCAGACCTCTTAGCGCACAATAAAACTGCACTTCATTACCCCTATTTCTGACAATCAATATGGGGGCTTCTGACTGAAATATCTATTTGCAATTTCGTAAATACAGTAAATATAGTAAATAAAGGTGATCCACTTATTGGCTTCATAGCGATAAGTTGATAGAATTGAAAGAACCGGCAACTGGAGTTATAATACAGAGACTCGAGAGTACCATCCAGACTCTACATAGTCGATTCGTATAGCTCTCCATGATAACGCTGGCTCTTTGATAGTATAAGATAGTTGATAATGAGCACGTGTCATCAAGGCGGCTGTTTCTATGGAGCAGCTTAAGCAAGACTAGGCAGTCCATGGGGTAAATACTTTGAATCTATTAGTCGGATCTCTCGGGGTCCAAGTTCGGCTTTTTAGAAGAGATCGCACCCGTCGAAGCTTATCGGGGTTTGAAGCCGAATCGAAACTTGACGTACTCTTACCGTACTCACCCTATATTAGGCGGCCCGAAAATTTGGCTATCGTCACTGGGATTTTACGAATAGGAGAAAAGTAGAGACAAATTCCATATGGCTCTGTCCTGGGCACACCTGAGGGGCCAGATACTGCCATTTCGAAATCTTAGTATAAAATGGGCAATATGACTTTTCTAATATGCGGAGGGCGTGTGGAAGTCGCCAAGCTTTGCCCCCTTCAAACACCGCTTGGCTATTTATTTGTATGTCTTTTTAAGTAACCCTGATGTGAAACATAGTGAAGCATAAATTTTGAGTGAATTCCTTCCACCTGGATCATTCCCCAAGGGGCTTAAATAAAGGCCCACGTCAAAATTCGGACAAATCTCTGAAACAGAGGTCCATGTGTGGCCTGCTACATACACCTCTTTCATTGTTTACAACAAGAAAATATGGTTCAATATCCACAGATAAAGTGTCAGAGGCCTTTCAGGGGAACTGGGTACAAATAGCTTCGCTCGCCTCCAACTGCCTCTGACAATTTCCCAATTCCGCCGTTATTTAAAATGCACTCAGTTGAGACCAAATTGTAGCTAATTTGCTTTACTACTAGATAATTGCACGGACAAATCCAAGCTAGAAACCTCCTGTTGACTTGAAATTGAGCCTTCACGAAGTCTCTATTTTACCACAGGCTAGTCACATCTAACAAAACTAGAGAGGAGCTCCTAGGGTAGATGATAACTTCAATTGAGCTTCGCCAAACTTCCGGATACAATCCGTATTCCCATTATTAAACTGTTCAAATAGCTCGTCTCTGTCCTTCACAGCACCTTCTTTACTGCCCATTAACCTCTCAAGATTGGCGATGGCCATAGGGTTGGTGTGTGCCAGGAATGCTGAGCGACGTTCCTCCGCGTAATTATGTAACTGTGAACTTGACTGGCCTTGAAGAAGTACCCGCCTCAAGATCCGTCCTAGAAGTGCAGCGTCAAGCAATCCAGTAGTAAGTCCTAAACCACCCATAGGGTTCGTGAGCTAGCTCAAAGTATTAGCGTTGGCTCAGATTTCAAACCATAATATGAGGAGGGCAAAGCGTTAAAATAAGGGGCATAAGGCGCAGGTTATTTGAGGGTTGATCAGGAGGGTTGTTGGTTTGAAGATACTCACATGTGCTGCGTCCCCAGCAAGAATGACATTCCCTTCCACGAATCCCGTAGCACAGAGCTGGTGCATCTTGTAGGAAGCAATTGCTGTAATTCTCAGCTCCTCCAAGGGACCTTTCAGAAGTTTATGAAAGACCTCTCTTGCTCGTTGAATCATTTTCTCTTCAGTCCAATCCTCGAATACACCTCCGACATTCCGAACTGGGAAAGTAATCCGCCAGTTATCGTTACCTAACTTGATCACAACTCCCCATAGCTCAGGGTCCACGATAAAATTGGCAGCTTCAAAGGGTGCCATATGATGGGAACTGTAGACGACTTTGACGGTGATGATTGTATAATCACTCCAGGTAAACCCTTCGAAACCTATACCCATCATCTTCCTCACCGTACTTCTTCCCCGTCCGCACCAACCATGTATTTAGACTTATGTTTATACAAGCCTTCATCATGCGCACGTTTGAAGGTAGCAATTACCAGATCTGGAGAGTTTTCAATGTAGACAAGAGTCGCTCCAAAAACGACAGTAACGTTAGGACATTTGGACAAGTGCTTCAACAGGATTTCAGCAAATTCATATTGTTCCAATTGAATGCCAACTGTCGGTGGCGGAAAGTCAATGCGTGCAAGGAGATCACCTCTAGGCTTCCGCCAACTCAATCCAGTACTTTTCAGACCAGCATCATAGACATCATCATAAATCCCAGTTTGCTTGAAGTCATCCAAAACGACCGGAAAGTAGCTGTAAAGTACGTTAGACATCACCACCAATATAAATCGATACCGTAATACGTTACCCAGCCGCCTTCGGATGCCGGAGAATACCCGTGCTGCGTTCAAAAACGAATACTTCGATACCAGCTTGGCCCAGGATTAACGCTGTGTACAGTCCAACTGGGCCGCCACCGACAATAGCAATAGAGCTAGAGCCCTGTATCTGAGGGATTGTGAGCGCTGATACACGTTTTGATGATCTCGTTTGTCTTTACCTTTGTTTCCATTTTTGCTTTCTGGTGTTCTCCAGTTCCAACGTTTATTTCGTAACTTGTCACTACTGACAGGCAACAATAGGTACGGAATATGTAAATAGTCTCCTGAGCCTTGAAGAAAGGAATTTCCCCCGGAGTTCAGGGGTCAAGAAATGGACAGAGACTGATCATTTCTCATCCCCCTAAAGCTACTCCGCGTTTGTGGAGACCTCGGCCGTTCGGATTGAAATATGGCCGAGTGAAGTTTGATTCCCTCATAGAGAAATCGTATCATACCACACGCGGTAGCGCTATGGAAAGGATGTTCCGTGAATGATAGGTGTCAGATACTTATCCCGCAAGTATATGACTGTACAGAGTAGTAATTAACTCTTTGTCATTGTTGCCATGAGTGATAAGATGCCCATAGATGATATTACCTAGCTTTGGGGGTATGGCTCGGGGTCTAGAATCTAATGCGGCTCGCTGATTATTTGATTTTCACATTGCCTTGGACTCACAAATTATTTATCAAGTGTATATTGATGACCCGGTTTTCGAACGACTTTTCCATTGGAAAGTGAAATTATTACTGCGTTCTACGTAAACTCCGCCAAGCCTTCCAAACCCACCTTTGCACTTATGTGAAGGCGTTTCACATGGACCTCCTGCCAAGCCATAAGATATGTGGGCCAAAAGGGATTTCTACCCGGTGAAAAATAATGCAGTGTTCATGACTAGAAGCCGAAACACCGTCCCTGGCATTTTCCCGCCCCTTTTACCAGGTATAGCGATGGCTGCAATGTGGGCGTCAAAAGCCGACAAATACCGCTCGTGGGGATGGTTGCTTAGTAGGCCTGGAAGCTTGCTGTAGCACCATGAGAGTCATTGATGAACTATTAATCATATTTTTTTTTTCATTAATTTCAGAAGGTTGTAATAGAATCTGCCAAACTGGACATTGATTGTCATTTAATTAGCAATTGAGCAGAAGGGTACTACTATCTCTACCCAAAATTGCCCATTATTCCGGCCTAAATATGGAGTCAAAGATGAAAGAATACAAATACAAATACCGAGGTTTCAGATCTTTCGGGGCCAGGGGGAGGGGAAAAAGATATGGGGATCGGAGGGTGAAAGCACCAGCCTTCACAGTCAATTGTAATGGACTTAAGGAGTTAACACGCAGTTTAGGACGGCATAGCTCTATATGCAGAGAGCTAAATCCGCTTAAAACCGCCCAAACGTCGAGATGACTTCGCCGATCACAGAGGCTATGTATTCAATTTGCCGTTATCTCCGAAGACTAAGTTCAGCCTCCAGAAATCTGATTTGGGTTGACTTGGGTGGACATTTCAGGCGGGGCTCCTTTCGCGTAGTCAACCTCCAGTATAAGGGTAAATGGAGAATAAATGTGTGCGGTATCTCTCTTTAGATCAATGTGTTAACAGGGGTTTTACTCATTTCCCTCGAAGAGATATTAGCGTTCATCCACTCCTTGGATGATAGCTCGCTCCATCATGGGTGATTGTTGTCTTAAAGGCTTTCGTTGGACGGCCCAGCCTCGGGGGAGGGAAACGGCTCTTGCCAACATACCATGCTATGTGACTGGCTCCAATGCAGAGGTTGCTATTTTGGTCATTCACGACTTATTCGGGTGGACGTTTCCGAACATCAGGCTGCTCGCGGATCATTATGCAGAGGAGGTTGATGCTACAGTTTACGTTCCTGACTTGTGAGTTTATTCTTGAAAAAGTCTGAAGCGGGGCTTGCAAACTTGCAGATTAAAGTACAATCAAACGGAAAAGGCAACTAGAGCTAACATTTACAGTTTTGGTGGAGAAGTTCTTCCATTGGACATACTGCAAGATAAAAGCCGATGGGGCAGTCTCAATCTTCCCGCATTTCTCGAACGCAACGCCAAAGCGGTACGGGAGCCACAAATTATCGAATGCGCAGTCACATTACGGGCACAGTACCGACGCACTGGGGCTATTGGGTATTGCTTTGGGGGTTGGGGGGTTTTTCGGTTAGGTGCTAAAGGCAGAAACCTAGTGGATTGCATTTCCACAGCCCACCCAAGCTTCCTTGAGAAATCCGAAATTGAATCTGTCAATGTACCAGTACAGATCATGGCGCCTGAATTCGACCCTATGTTCACAGACGAATTGAAGCTCTTCTGCAATAGCGTGCTTCCAACCCTCGGCGTCGCGTATGAGTATCATTACTTTCCACAATTGGAGCATGCATTTGCCGTCCGAGGAAATCCTAACGACCCGGCCGAAATGAAGGGAATGAGGAAGGCAAAGGACGCGGCCGTCGTTTGGTTTCGTCAGTGGTTGCATGACACTAATATCTAGAAGCGGGGCCCTTTTGTAGCCATGAGGTTGCAAAAGACTGTTGTTGCGTTCATTACCTTCCAATAACTATAGCATTTTGCTTCCATCTTAATCCATGCTTTCATTTATTTTTGCAGTGCAACCTTCAGGTTATGCAATATATGTTGCAATTGGCTAGCAGGCCAAGGAAATTTTATCAAGGTTTGAAAGTTAGTGAGTAGAATCGGATTTTTCTTTCAAGTTTCACGAGATTTGGTGTATTGGGTCCTTCTAGAAACACCCACTAACTAGCAGGCCAAGCTACAAAACAAGCGAATAATGGCACTGTAGGCGCGAATGGCATCAGTTCGACTCGGCTTACAGACGGTACAGGCTTATATAAGACGCGCCAAGGGACCTCGACGGACCTTCTGCGATACTGCTTATCTATATCTTTACCCTTATATGAAATTTGAATCAAGGCACCACCTGAATAGCTTCAACATAGCCTACTCATAATGACAAACTCTTCTACCCGGAACATGAGCCGGATCCGTCTTACCATGATGGCTTTCTCCATGTTGGGCCTGGTGTTAGCTAGTCTAAACTCGGCTATTACGACATTCGCTATCGTTCTGTGAGACCGAGCAAGATCAAGCATCAAAAAGCCCGACAATGCCATTCTTGCCCACTTATTCCAACAACTCTTGGAAAGATTTGTCGGAGACGTACTTATTGCCTCCCTCGCTTCAACCCTCTCTGTCAGGCTTGTGCTTTTGGTTTACCCGAGACTGCTACGCTATAACAACAACTCGAACTCTGATACTCCGAGCGATTCTGTTTCGATGAGAATGAAACTCGCCCTTGACTGGTCAATTACTGGAGCGAGTTTGACGATCTGAAAATCATCAAGGAGATATCAAGATTTCAAGAAATCACGACGTTCGTCGGAGAGGCTCATTCGTCGCTTGAGTCCTGAGGAGAAATGAAATATGTTCGGAAGAATCAAGCTTTCTATCGCTGTTATTCTGGTGGTTCGTTCCCATTTCACCGACTATAATTTACATAATAGCACTGATGTTGGGATCTATATATCAAGTATCAAACTGACATATAGCTATATTACCTCAGATACAGAATATCGCCAAAGAACACGCGACGATGCTCCAGCCGAGAGAATTCCACACAGAAGACCGATCGGAGTATGTGTCACCATACCGAACCAACTATGTAGAAATCATCATTGCGCACTGTTTACCAACCTTTGCATTCGTGAGGGAACAACGATCCCCACTAACTATGACGGGGATGGTTTACCGTTGGCCGCCACTTCACCGACCGGGAGTCACCCGCACTGCCCATAAACATGTTGATTCACGATTCACTGGTCCGGTTCCATCATCATCACAAACTCTCAACCGCCACTCACCTCCAGTCTCACCATCAACACATTAACACATAATCATCACTCATCCGTCACTCAATTTCAACACGCCCTCACCGTCACTACATACCAACATCAAAACACCCCGCCCCAGTCAACTGTGTCAACTCTCATCAACAGGCTAATGCTTATCAACATGAGCCATGTATCCCAGCATCCAAGCCGCACTACACTCACACCTTCTTCATCATCCTGGCCAACAGATAACACATTCTCACCAGCTTGGACCACTGAGTGGCAGCAGCCTCTACGCGATGACCACAATGTCATAAAAGAAGCAGCAATAACCCCATGGTTCAATGTGCTATGCAGTGCCAAATGGAAGTGAGCGTTCAGTTTCGACGATCAGGATGAGATTGAAGCCTACAGGTGCGTTATGCGAACGGAGATTACAAGTGTCTACGAACGCGCAAGGCCGAAGGCATGATACAAAGCCTCCTTGGAGGATCTTGATTTCTATAGACTATATGGAGCAGGTCTTGGCTTCTTCGAGTACCCATGGAGGATTCGAATACTAGTCTCTGACACCACGAAGACGTGCCTGCAATCGCCAGAGGATCAGGACGAAGACCGCGGCGCCACGGGTCACCTAACGAGCGCAAATTTGATAACGCAGGGCTCAAGGCTGCATGGAAGCTCAAGATTATACAATCACAGGGCTCAGGGCTGTGAGGGAGAACTTGGTGTCGCAGCACTCTCCTGCGGGTCTCCCTTGGTAACGCAGCGTCCCCCTGCGAGGCAAACTTGATTACGCGGGGCGTTTCCCGCTAAGAGTTATTGGTAACGCAGATCTTATCCTGCGAAGAACATCCGAGTGGCTCGGGAGTGTGAGGAGGAACGTCCTGCTTTTCTTTTCGACGGCAAAGATGCGTCTTTTATGCCATACCGGGTACGTTTTTCGGCAGCGACCACTTGCGTACATTGTGCCAGACCCAGATATTTGCACTCGAAATTCGCACTGAGCGACCGCCTTTTTGCTGGATGTTGAGGCGGTTGATTCAACGTTGAAATAAGAAATTTCAAGAGTTTGGAGTGGAGAGCGGGCGATGTGGCTGGATCCACCTGGAGCCGTGGCTGACACGAAGCTATGCATGACAAATCATTTGCCTCATCAATGTTGTTGACAATGATCAAACGGCCTTTAACGCAGTTGGTATGAGGTGTATATCGAAGTCGCATTCTATGGGCCACTCGCCGTGGCAGCTTAATCATCGTAGCTTGAAAAGTCTGCCAGTATTCGCTCGCACCGTGGCCAACCGATTTGCGAATCATTGGTCTCAACATTGCTCAACGATGTAAATCGGTTTCCACGCAGCTATTATGTAGTGTCGTTCCATGGAAGACTCGCCTTGGCAGATCGCTTACTTGCCCACTAAATTTCTGTCTGCAAACCTTTTGCCCTCGTCTCCGTCAGACAAATGCTTTCTCCCAGTCTCCCGCTATCCTAGCTACCCTATTCAAGCAGCGCATGGGTATTGGGGTGCCTTTTCGGTCAGCACCCAAAGACCAGTTGCAAAAATGCTACCGATAAATAGATGCCAACGCCGACGCCGACTCCATCGTCGGAACCTGGTTTTGTCGAGCCCCAGTCGAGATTCCGCTCCTGCCCAATATAAACGGTTTCAGCAATTGACCAACCATCGGTAAATTATCTCCATGGGCCCTCTGGTGGCCGATTCTTTCCCTCTAATTGATTTGTCGCAGGTCTTTGACCCGGCTCCTGGAACATTGCCAGGCAAACAGCGTCACGGGTAGGTCTGAACCAGGGTTGGAGTACCTTTGCTAATCGCCCTCGATAGAATTCATAGAAACCCTATACCCCATCCTCGATTTGCCTACGACGCATGTTCCTTTCCGGGCCCAATACCTGATCCTTCAAACTTTGTAACGCCACCTCGAGCATTCCGCCTTCCAATTTGTCAAAAAATGGCTTCTACCACAGTCCTTGGCTGCTGGCTGGACATGCCCTGAGGCGTTGGAGCTGCACAAATTCTTCAAATTTGTCGCTAAACAACGACCGAAGATCTCGTTCAAGCAATGTTGTGAAAATGCCAGTTCCCTTCACAACCTGCGTGATCGAATTGCCAGTACAGTAATATTCGAAATCAGATTTACCTCTACACTTTTAGACTTTCATTCCCCAACCCTATTTTGAAACACACTAGTCTAATTTTAGCCATACCCCAGGAATCCCGGTCAGGCTGTATAATATGCCCTGGTAACACTGGGTGGGTCATTGTTTTAATCTTTTTGGCCAGTAAATATCCCTTAACAACTGAACACCTTGATTAAGAAATATCCGATCCCGAGTCAGATACAGTAAATTTGACCTCACTCCCTTTTCGATTCTGTGTTCCTTTTCAATTTCCCCATCTCAAACCAGGTTCCGATCACCACCATAGTGAGTAGTATTCCACAAATGTAGATCTGAGGATTCCCGTCACCGAATTCGGGATCCATGGCCTTTGAACCGGGATAAAATAGGGCACTCAATTGGGTAATCCAATAAAGGCTTGCTAGCCATGCCCCTGTAGCGAGGGAGTCTCTTTCAAACGTCTGTTGAACGGCAGGAGCTGATGCAAACAGAGACTGAGGTTTTGATCGATACAGGAAGTACAGAGTCGTGAGACCGAGAACCATGCCCATAGACATTGTTTGTCCATTGTGGAATTTCGCGTGAGGGGTCCATCGATGGTTGAAAACATGAGTTTCATTCCAGTCGGCGAGATATCCACCGATCGACGTCGTCAATGCAACGAGAGTTAGGAGGATGCGACCAGCCATAGTTAATGAGAATCAGAGGAGAGTGCTTGCTTTGGAAGACAAAAATGGGACGTAAATCGCCAATAATATAGATCTAACCATAGTGATTGCCTTGTTTGCATGTAGATCTTCACTATTCTATGGTATTCCATCGATCAGCCACTAGGCCTGATTGGGGGTAAACGTCAGTATCTAATCCTGAGGGCCCTCATAAACAAATCTGCGTCTTATTCCTAACCCAGGGGATCAGAACAAAATAAATTGAGCCAATGCCAGGAACGTAATTATAGGAAACAGAATGATGTATATCGATATTTGCGTGTTGATGCTATTTAACAGTTAATTATTCATGGATGGTTTTTCAACGATCAGTCAGTAAATTAAGGGCGATAACTTTCGATGGATCTTCATAAGCCAATCGCCCTACGACTTTAATCAAGTGCATCATCCAATACCTCCGCACACCCCAACCGAAAAGCCAATTTCAGAATATAGGTTTGCCGACATTGACCGCCTCAAGTGTATGGTGGATGTTACAGCGTAGGTATTTGGTAAACTAAGAACGTAATTTTGGTATCAAATACCTGCCAATATCTCGAGCAGTCATATTTTTCGTGACGTTCGTCAAATAATTTCACGCACTAGCTCACCGTTCTTTGGGAGTTACGCGTAACACGCGGACTAGGGCGCAGTCTAGCCAGTTTTACGGATCTGGCGAAGGATGCTGCCGGTCCAGGCAAATCACACTCGTTCCGGCTGTTGCTCACAAGAGAGAAGGCGCTCATTCGTAGCAATATCATGACCCAATGGAAACAGGAGTGGAGATCAGCCAGGAAAAGCAGTCATCTAAGGAAGATCGATAACACGCTGCCGTCGGCATACACCAGGAAGTTGTACGGAAACGTGGCCAGGGGCCAGGCATACTTGTTGACTCGGCTACGCACGGGCCACAATTGGCTATCCACCTACGCCAAGCTCTTCGGCTTCTGCGAAGATGGTCAGTGCGTGTGCGGCGCGCAAGAAACAGTGACCCACGTCCTGGTGGATTGCGCAATCTTGAAGGATCTACAAAGGGAACTGAGGCAGAAAGTGGGGGATGCGTTCAGCAGCGTGTCAAGTCTGCTGGGAGGCTCAAAACAAGGTGAGAGAGGTAAACCATACAACGTCTCAAGGGCGAAGACGGTCCAGGCCGTGTTGGACTTCGCTGAGGCGTCACAACGGTTTCGCAGTCGCGCGCCACAAGGGCAGCCTAACAATGAAAGCGGCAATTAGGCCACGGCAGGCCGTGACGAGGCTCTAAGTTCGTTATCAGGAAGTGGGACAATCTAGATGTATGGACAGGGATATATGTAGTTGAGGTAGCCTGCATATCGTCGTTGAAGTTGAGACCCTGGATTGAGATACAAGTGTGGTGATCCTTCTCGAACTATGTGAGTAGGTGCAGCTATTTGTAGCTGCCTTCTGCCTGGAGTAGTGGTGGCAGCCTGGAAGGCTGCCACTACAATTTAATATATCTATACATCACGTGACCTGGGATCCTACTGTTGAGACGAGGGGTCAGGGTAAATGAAATCATCATCATCATCATCATCATCACTTCACAGATAGATCAAAGTGAATAGTAATAAAAAAGAAATAGAACAATGACAGACGGCTGGGAGTGGTTGATTAGACGAAATGAACTGTATGATCAATTGGAGTTGGAACCAAATATTTACATTTACTCTTTTACACACCAAATATTCATGCCATCTCAAATATAACAAAAAACATCGAACTTTTAGTCAGAACGAGTGAAATGATCAAACTCATATAATTATTAGTGTACATGCTAAGTAGTTGGCCAATAGAATGAAAAGCAATCAAAAGAACAAATTAGGCTAGACCATCAAGTTGCGGGCCGGACTCGGGTTTGGGATGATACGGTAGTAATATCAATGTGGCCATTTCGAATTTTTCAAAGCCGCTAAGGCCGAAGGGTGTGGGAAATTACTTCTAGCTCATGGGTGCGAGCATTAACGACCAGATTTCAGTATCTCCCCATATCCAGACAGGATCTTGATCTCTATATAATTTTCCCTCCTGCTTCATGTGCTTTGATCAGAATCAACTCCTTCTCTCTTTTGCCTCCCTGGATCGGAGACTAGGACATGTCACACTCCGGGCATTATTTTTTTTGGGTCAAATGACACGGCGGGTCTCCGGGTAATGTGGTATTAGGCCTATGTCCATTTACTGATGGGTTAGCATTTTCGCGGCATCTCGTCAATTAAATTGCGAGACCGCCTTAGACCCGATTTTTTTTGTCTGTTGTGGCTTTCAACCCGCCGAGTAGAGTTCATGGTTCTAATGTGAACGGTTATCTTGGAATGGTAACTACATATTGTGCACCAGCAAAGCTTGCCGTTATTTCTGTTTTCTCGGTGTACTCGCGAAAGGAGTCGATACTTGCTATCTAATCATCCATATTAAACCTATTTGATTTTACCTCGATATGAAATTTATTTGCTTGTCTCCAGGGTGTCTACACGATGGGCTCGAAATAACGCGAATCAAAAATTTCGGCGCTACAACCACTTTCCTAAAGTTAGCCAGCCCCCTGCCGCAGTTCGGATGGGCGATTCGTGTTGACTGCCGAAATCAAAGCTTAATATTACTTTCTTTATTTGCCGAGGTTTTCCAAAGGTTTCACGCAAAACCTGGCCTTGGGTTATAAACCCCGTTCCTTTGGCCTATGTCCTCAAAAGTCATACCCAAACAAAATTTCATTTCCACCAATCAATATTATTTCGTTTCCTCTATCGCTCGTGATGTTCTACCAGCCTGGCATCACACCACATGGGCTGCCCCGGGATCCCTTCAAGGTAGTCATTGCCTGTGTTCTTATACACCCTCGAACTGACATCAGCATTCACAGGCCTGTATTGTTCCGCGTCCAATCGGCTGGATCTCGACAAGATCTTCCGATGGAATAGACAACCTTGCGCCATACTCGCAATTCAATAACCTGACATTTGATCCTCCTTACGTCATGTTTTCGGCCAATCAAACCGATACAGCATTTCGAAAGGATACTACTGTCAATACCGAGTCAACAGGTGAATTTGTTTGGAACGTAGCCACCTTCGGACTTCGTGAGGCTGTGAATATTACCGCCGAGCAGGTGTCTCCCGGAATTGACGAGTTCACGCGTGCTGGTTTATCAAAGGAGCCTGCTCGACTAGTGAACTGCGCCATGGTGCGTAATTCGCCTATTAGATTCGAGTGCCAGTACCACAGTACTTTGAGATTGCCTGGCAATCCTCCTATGGGAACTGTGGACGTCATTATTGGGCGGGTTGTTGCTATTCATATCTCTGAGGACGTTCTTACTGACGGTCTTGTGGATATCCGCAAAGTTGACCCAATCGCCCGCTGTGGCTATTATCAATATGCCCGTGTCTCCGAAACCTTCAACATGGTAATTCCAGGCAACGGAAAAGTTCTCTACGGCCTTGAGGGCAGTGCCTCCCTTAACTCACAGGAGGCTGCGGCAAAGGAAATGCCTCAAAAACGCAGACATGTATCTGACAAGCAATAACTCATTGAATGTACATACCTTGCAAAAGGGATATATACCAGTGATAGTTGATCGTAAGGGATTCAGGAGGTCTGAAAAAGGTATAGCGGCTTCCTATTTGCAATTTGATCCTGCGCTGATTTTACGTTAGGTCTCCAAGGAATCTTTCTGATTACGCAGTTATTTCAACACTTGTGAAGAGTCATAAAATCAACATTGGTTGTCTATTTTGTGAGTTAAATAAATATGTATGTATTGTACAATGTCATGATAAAATGAACCACGACTTTTCAGTTGTATGTTTGATATTAGTTATCACATCTTGGCTTCCCATCAATGGTCCCCAGAAGCCTAATGCAACCTTTACCAAAGATAATGGGCCCTTTTGGAAACACTTGTCCCTCAACAGTATCCTGATCCCAAGGCATTTTCACCATCAATTCTCTCGCGGGGCCATCTAAGTTGGGCAAGTCCTTCCATTACCAGTCCAGCTCACCATCGTAAGCTTTCGGCAAATCAAGTGGATTGATAAGAGAGTTTAGAGTTGACTCAGCATCAGAGTTTTGATCGAGTGACGAGGTCAAACCATTGACTGATCATGTCCCAAATGGATTTGAAGAAGGCGGGTGCACCGACGACCTAACTCGACGAGCGTGGATGGTCAGCTATAAATCATGTCACAGACAGGACTTTTGTTACCATATATTTCAGTGGTTGGGGGACGTACAAATACTCTACCGAGGGTCTCTGGATAGTGCGCTGTCGCCGTCGCGCTCGCCTCTTGGAGATATTTCCGAATGCCCAAAAACTGGCGGATGCTCACTCCGCTCACATCGACGATGTGGGTGGATACACTGATAGGAATGCTCATATTTGGCCTTGCTAGTTGTGAGACGAACGGAAAGACAAAATGTTAGAGATTCTCGTATAGTACGTGGAAATGAAGCTCCTGAGGAGTAATGTCGGGGTTGTGGACCATGTGTTAGCGCGATGTCGGGCAAGACGATATTTTCTTGAAGTGTGCGTCCAATCGCTTGATGGTCAGGTGTCGCATTGGGAATATGTAGATGGCGCAACCATTTTTGTCCCGTCGACCAATCCACTGAGGATACTAAAACCAATTTATTGTTAGCGATTCCATGCGGCCTGAAAAGTCTTCAGTCAGTCCGAGTGAGAAGAGTGCCTAACCATTTTTCTTGATTCCTCGTAATAATCGACAACGATATCATCGTAGAAGCTTTGGATGTTGTATTGTTTGCGCCAGGTTTGGATAGTGTCAAAATTGCACAAAGGCACGATCTAGATCCAACTTCTGCGCGCGCAAAAAGCGCCTAGGGAATCAAAAGGAGTTTGATCAGCAAACAGAAACAAAGCTCTTTTATGGCGATTGTTTGCCATCAAATGACGGAGAAATACTAGCAATAACGGAACATCATTCGTGTTCCCCCGACCGTTGTGTAAGATGTATCCATTCTGGACGAGGATATTTCTAAACACCTCCAGCTGGCATTGATGTGGCAAGCACAAAGTCTGGGACGTTGTGATAGTTTTCTCCATATTTTTGAAGGTTCTGACGTGTCGCAAGTCCTCCAATCGGGAATTCAATACACAATTCTTTAATAATCAAAGGGCTGTAGCATCTGCTGGTTAAAGAAAAAGCGTAATGGTGATGCGAACTGATTGAAAATGATGGTGAAGTTTGGCCAGTCACGGAGCGTGATGAAATATTCAATCTTCAGTTCACGAATTATAGAATTATATACCCTCTATAAAGGCTTTTCCACAGAGATGGTCGGAGCTGAATAAGCGGTTAGGGCCATTATTAAATCTTTATACCGGTTCACCTGGGCAACACCTTACTCTGGGTTGGAAAGTACTCGGTTTTATTCGGAAATTCGCCGACTATTCTCAAACCCTGATGCTGGGACTAAAAAAATCTGTTCTGTATACCAAACTTTTTGGAGATCGTGAATTGGCCGCCACATGTCGTCTCCACCGTGAATTTCCAGAGTCCTCCTAGATCCCCACACACAAACTGAACCACCTTACCCGAACGAAATTTCAAGTGGGTCTATTTCAACTTTTGAAATCACGGTAAATCTAAGGAACCTAAAGACTATACTTGTGCTAACCTTGGAAAGGCCTAGTCGCAAGTGGTCGGGATTCGGGTGTGTAATCTCCGGTGAATGCCGACCTCCCGACTTTCGATGATTAACACGCTTTTTGAAGAAGGGCAATGGTCCGTGCACGACACTTTCTTCTACCTACACACTAATTATATCATCCAATTTTCAATTGTGGGGCAAATAGGCCAAATGTCATATAACAAATTCCCTTTCAGAATATAAAACTATCTTAAGGTCTGTACTAAAATGATCACTACAATACTACTAGAAGACAGCGATCTTGAAGCCCCGGAAGCTAATCTATCTAATGGATAACCTGTCTAGCAGTATGATAATTTGAACGGATATTTTCACGATGACTTCATTCAATCAAACTGGTAACCGTAGTTTGAATCATGTAGAAGCCCTAATTTGATCACATAACTACAGTTAAGACAACCGATAAGCAATTTAAGGTGAAAACTTGATAGAATTTAGTATAAACTTGTATCTCAGCAGGCTAGACATCGCCAGAACCCATTTCACAACCCATTTCTTGGCATGCCAAGGAATTTATAACCCATTCAAAACCCATTTTGTATAAAAATTACATAAAATAAGCATAAATTAGCCTAATTAGGAAAGCCTTGGCATTTTTATGCAAAAAATAGGTCAAAATGGGTTCAAATGGGTTCTTGGCATGGGTTTTGGGTTGAAGGTTCCAACCCAAAATGGGTTATGGCGATGTCTACAGCAGGCGAAGGAAGGAACCTTTCCAGCAGGCCAGCTATCAGTGACTCATTATACATACCTGGTAGCATGTAATTTGATCTTCTCGTGGTAGATGTAGATACATCTATAATTGAAACGGCTGCCCCCGTCCTCTCCTCCGATAATGCTTGTTCGATAGGTCCCCTGTGGTCGGAGCAGGCTTGCTAATTTTCAAGACCCAGCAAATACCAAATTCAACTGGGAGCAACATGAGAAGAACTCTGTTAGCCAAAAAACAGACAGTAACTGTCAATATAGCATACACAGCATCGAGCCAATAATGGTTTGCCGTAGCAACAATAACCACCAAGACGATACAAGGATAAACAATGGCGAGGGCAACAAAAACTATCTGCGTCGATAGTGGTTTATTGCTCCTTCGGCCGCGTAATATCTGCAGGACTCCTGAGTGATAAATGAAGGTCCAGCCGATAACAAAGGCATAGGTAAAATGCAAACTCGGCATAGTAGCAAACTGATTCACAGACTTGCCGCTAACCCAAACGCTTTCTGCGTGCTCTTGACGAACGGTGTCGTAAAATAGATAGGATTTGGGTAGCAGGCGTGGGGGCATACAGGGGTAGATGGAAAATATTATAAACGCGGCAAAATTACCCAAGGTCATGGTGCAGCATGATAGTATCAAGAAATAAATCTGGATGTGGAAAATAGGAAGGTATCAATACAGACACTCTCGCACAGATATCAAGGTAAATGGTGGTTTACTCACAGAACAGACACCGGGATATGGATAAGGGAGTAAACCCGATTGAAAAATGTCATGAATGCAGGGTGGTTGTTTACGAAAAAAGATTGAAATTCAATTTCTTCGACTGCAAAGATGAAGCGAAAAACTGATCGATGCTCGAAGTTCATTATGCTGATACCGTGATCCTGGGCCACCTGTACAACGCCTATACTTGCAGGAAATAGCCATTGCGAAGTAGCCTTTGTGACTGAATAAAACAGGTAATTGATTACCAAGTAGAACATTTCAACCAGAAAAGGGAATTTCTGCATGATCCCGCTGTGGATGTGATGAGCCCACCGGGATGAGTCTGGATTTTGGACAAATCTGCCACAAACGATGTGACCTTCTGCTGAGTGGCGCTCACATTGCGACGAGGGATCAGTCTCCGTGATTAGGCAATACAGAGGACTTTGGTTGATTTGATTCTCCAGTGCCCATGGCCTTTTTTTTCAGATGCAGAAGTTGCGGGGTCGGTTTATGACAAGGGAGCCGATCATGATCCCGACTACAACCCGAACAGCTTTGTTAGACTGCAAATACGTGCATTCCATCGTTCAAAATATAGACGTACAATAGGCTCGACTCAGGAATGAGATTGGAATTGTGGCTCGCCGAGGTTGGGGTGAATAGCACCAGGTGAAGGCAGATTGACGCTCATACTAGCAGAGATGCTTGATCACGGATATCTTGAACAAATATTTGTGAATTAGTCAACAAATCGAGATAAAAGAAAAAGAAATTGTGCCTCAATTTTCCGTGGTAAGCGAGATTATGTTAGACTGTAGTTGCGATTATGAAATTTTTTTTGGAAAACTGCTTCTTAGAAACAAGGTCATTACACAGGCTTAAAGACTAGCCAAAGGCTTTCTTTTTGGGTCACTCCCCCGAGATAGCCGGATCCCTTACTATAATCGCTCCACTCTTCAAATTTTCTACATTCCCCACCCGGGCCTTCACGGAGCCTGTCCGCGATACCGAGGCTGTGGGTTATAACAGGAATTACGGGAGCTCATGGAACTCTGCAGCTCGGAGATTGGACTCTAATTGCCCGGGAAAAAAAAGGAGATTTCGCTCGTGCCGAAGCTTTTTCAGCATAGGTTCCCTTTTCCCCTCCCCTCTGAAATAAATTATTCGAGTAACTTTGGAGAAATTTGGCATAAAATTCTATGCATTGGTTGTCGTTCCTGCCGGTAATTTCGGCAAATTGCCCTTCCGGACAAGATCAATTCTAGTTACAGTTTAGACAAACTATAATCCATTCCATTTACCTCTCTTATGCTCGAGTCTGGTAGATGTTGATAGATGGTGGGATCCCTCGATTGGATTCAGAGGCAGTCATCCCTCCTCCTCTAATCATCTCTGACCCCCCCCCCCTTATCTACCCCATAGACCACTAAACACTTTGTGGTAGACTATCGGCACTTGTTCGGACCAATATCTCGTTCAATGTTGGGAGCTCTCCAGCCAGGCGACTCCGTAAAACCTTCTCGCGCCCGCGGGGAATCATCACTTTCTCATAGCATTGAATTGCTTTAGAGCGGCCTTGTTGAGGGTGCGATAGTTGACGTGCCAAATCGCAGGCGTCTTTGATGGCGGTATTTGCCCCGGCGAGGTGAAATGGTATCATCACATGAGCAGCATCACCGAGTAAAGTCACCCGGGATGAGGCTGATGGTACTTCAGGAAGATAGTACTCCATGAAGCGAAGTGGAGGTTGCGCCATGTTTTCAGGCTTGGTGGTGCGAATGATATCGGTAAGAATCGGGGCAAAGGATTTGGTGATCTCAAGAGCGCGGTCATACAATTCTTGACCGCTCGCATTTTGTACCCAGGCGCTGTCTCGTTCCAGATTATCGCTTTGATAACAACAAGCCCAATAGTAACTAGCTTCCGACAGGTCTTCTGTGGTCCCGAGGAGGCCGATCAGATATCTCAATCCAGGCCCGTAAGAAAACAGTCCCGCTGTGCCTATTTTATGGAGAGGCTCGTACTGTTCTTTGGACAGCTGGACCTCTCCTACCAGTGGAATGTACTTGCTCTGCGACGGTTTAGGGGAGTCAAATAATTGCTTGCGAACTATTAATGTATATCTGGATCAGTATCCCATCAAAGGTGAATAGTGCGGTGGTAGGTGCGAGGGTGAAATGCCTACCAGCACTGTGGGCACCATCTGCTCCAACGATGATATCTCCCATGAAAGTTGTCCCATCCTTGAAATACGCAGTAACGCCATTTTCTGATTCCTCGTAATGGTCAAATTCCTTGTCATTGTGTAAGTCAATGCCCTGGCGTAACACTTCGCGAAGAGCTTGACGATTCACACGAAGCAAACATCCAGGCTGTGCGAACTCAGTGGCACCAAGCAGAGCTGTCTGCTCGCCTGTCATGCAATTGATGATTGAAAAAGAGTCGAGGCTACCGGTTTGGTGATTAACACTAGCGTTAGGGATTTTTTGGAAGACGTCTTTCGGCAGGAGCTCCTCTAGGTCCGGCAGACATCTTTCGGCAAATGTGTCAGCTTGTCCGAATGAGGAAGAGATTTTTCTCTAAAATCGAGATGGTAATGGTCACGAGTGGAGGAATACCACTTACTCAATAAGTGCAACTGCCCAACCTTGCTTTCGTGGTTGGCTGGCCTTCTCGCGTTCAAATATCTCAAAGGGTATATTATATTTTCGCAAACAGTGAGCGAGTACCAGCCCACCTGGCCCCGCACCGATAATGAGAACCTTCTTATTGGGACTTGAGTTTGTCATAGCTGCAGGATTTTAGAAATGTGGTGTAAGTGTCACCACACTGAATTCGAATGACAATGTGAGCGAAAGTCGGGGGAAATTATATATTACTGAGCCTGTGAAAAGGAAAGGTCGGTATTCTGTTTAAATAGAATACCTCCACTGTGGGGTTTTGAGAACAAAAACCTGCATCTTGCTCTCAATTTGTTCATGCCGGACAACATACAGACTTGCAAAGCCTACCCCTCGGATATCATTCAACGCTACTGAACTTAACGCTACGCGCGACACCGGATTTAAGGCAACCATCCGGAAGCAAGGCCCAAATCCCGATCACCACTTTACCCGAATGATCGGCAAAAGGCTCGTCATTCATTTGCTCAGGCTGCTTCCATTTGCTTACCCCCAACGCGCCACCAGCAAATTCGTAGACGGTATTTCCAAGAGAGTGGAGTGCTCGCTTTGAATTGTCGTAGAGTCCGGACACTTAAAACAAATATATATTAGTCCCTGCGCCCCGACCAAAAACTTAAGCAAATCTCGGGGAATTTAGCAGACCTACACCACAATGGAAGTACCAGACCGCCCTGTTAGCTTCGTTCCAGCAAAAAATGGGGACATCTTAGTCCTGGGCAACTTGAAGCTGCGTGTTATGGAGGATGGATCACACACGGGTAATTGTGCACATCCCACTCCGTTACATCATATCTAATCTGAAAAAAAAGATATGCGCATCAGTTCAGCTGAGCTGATCATTCCTCCTGGCGCTCGCGGGCCACCACCACATTGGCACGAGATGCACGATGAAACTTTCCTGGTCACTCAAGGCATGGTCCGGTTTCACATCCCTGGCAAGCCTAACGTTGACGCCCACGCCGGCGATTACGTCGTGGTCCCAACCCGCAGCCCTCATACCTTCTCCAATCCCGGTGATGTGGAAGCCAGGTTTTTCAATACCTACACACCTGCGTTCTACATCAACTACTTCAAACTCTTGAGCGAAATGTCGGAGGAGGGGAAGCCAATGAGCCCGGAAGCAAACCAGAAAGCCATGAGCTACTTTGCAACCCTTCCCATTCCAGAGCCATGAGTAGCAAAATAGTGATTGGGATTGATAGCATTGGAGCTACGATCGCATTGTTCGGCAATTTTATGGAACGGAAGTCTGTATACCATTGAGTTCAGGGCAGATGGGGATTTTGTGAATGAGGAGCTGGTTTTTTTCGAATTTCAATTACTTAAGAATGCAGAATTCCTTTTTCTGGCGTGCTAGGGGCCCTTTCTGGGGTTTCGTTGTAAGAATCATTTCCAAAATATCGAACAAGAGGAGACTTTGTCTACTGTTCACCCGGCACATTTATCAATGCCAACTGCCCGACATCATATTTTCACTTCTTACTCCCCATGCTTTCGTCAATTAAATTATTGTCTATCGGCTGCCTTGTGAGGAATCTATTACCCTACGAACTTGAAACACCATAATATTCCACGCGTTTTCCGTACTGTGACCTTGGAGCCTTTGATCCGAGTAAACCCGGAGTGATTTTGTCCCAGAAGTTGTTCCACTGGACGAATAAGCCAGGTACTGGAATGGGCGTCGATCAATCTCAACAAGTTCGGTATCACGGCATATGAACTCACTACCCATTTGATTACCGTGGCAGAGTAAGCTTTTGAACATTCATCCGGCAGCGGAACCTTTCGCCCCTCTTCGGGAAATGTGGTATGAATATTCCCCGCATCCTTGCATGTACTATACGTAATGCCATTTAGCGACCTCGGGAATCTGTAAACTTAAATCCTTTTTCATCCTTCCAGTAAATACCAACCGGAATCCCAGCGCACTCTCTTGCAACATGTCGCTCCTCAGTACTCGGACCAAAATAGACACGCATCACCATTTCGACCCCGAATTTTACAATAAAGGTATGATCGAAAAGCTTTATCTAGACCCGCGGAATTCACAGATTTGATGCCTCTCAGCGGTTCGGAATGCGGGTGGAGATCCATCTGGATTTCCCACGCCTGAATGGAGTCCTGAATCCGACGAAGCATCCATGGGGGCGAATGGAACGAGAACTGCTATTCTGTCTGTGACTGCCCCAGGCCCAGTCATTGTGGATAATGATCAGCGTGCAAGGGAACTAGCTCGAGAGTGCAATAACTATACAGCTTCCCTTCGTGACCAAAACGCCACACAGTGGGGCTTCTTTGCGACAATGCCATCCCTTCTCGACACTGAAGGCACCCTCGATGAGATAAGTTACGCCTTGGATGTACTGAAGGCCGACGGTATCACTCTTTTTACTCGCTATGGCCCGAAGAATCAATATCTCGGACATCAAGCATTCAATCCGATCTGGCAAGAACTCAACTCCCGTCATGCAGTAGTATTTATCTACCCAACTCATCCAATTGATCCACACCGGTCAATGAGATCTTTGCGCAATCTACAGTTGATTATCCCCACGAAACGACCCGTACCGCAGTTGATTTGATATCTTCGGGCACCAAGCGCAATTACCCAGACTGCAAGGTCATATTGTCCCATGCCGGTGGAACTCTTCCATGGTCGATCTCCCGAGTGACACCATCTCTCCGCGGGCTTCCATTCGACTCCAATGCGGGCACCAAGTCTTATGAAGAATGGATAGAAGACTTCCGATCGTTCTATTACGATCTTGCTCTCTCCAGCTCGCCCCTTATATTGACAGCGCTGCTAGAGTCTGTGCCACATGATCATATTCTTTATGGTGAGAACCCCATTCCGGGCGACAAGGTGCTTTTTGAATTATATCTTCTGACCTTTCTAGGATCGGATTCGCCCTATGCTCCAGCAGATAAAATAGCCCGTTTCAAGGAAGATCTTGACAATTTCTCGATGGACCAGGATCTCAGAGATAAAATCTACTTCAAAAATACGTTGGCACTGCTGGCCCGATTGGCTCAAGAGTACTCTCTAGCACCGTGAACACTGCGGGTCACGGTGCCTGCATCAATATTAGAAGACCACTGGCTTCCACCAAATTGTTATTCTTGTTATCTTTTGAAAAAAGGATTACAGTATTTCCGGAAATCGGTGTCACCCCCTATACTCTTTCATTGTTTCCCGAACCCTAAATGCCAAGCCGCACTAAACTACTTTAGAGCAAGCTACGTCAGCCTCATTTGTTTTTGCGATGTATCGTAAATTACCGCATTATCGTACTGGCGGGGATATTGTTTATTACCTGTAAGGTGAGAAGCTGCAAACTGACGCCCACATCAACTTGCCAATCATCATCCTTACCTGGGCTGCTTGGTTGGCCCTTCTACTGAGCGGTGCAGCGAACCATGGCTCCCAACCTAGCAAGGTTTAGCGCCCGACGGTCACCTGAGAGTGGGGCAAAAGACAACCTTGACTTTCAGGGGGTGGAACTTTCACCCGGCTGAGAGCAGCCCCATTTTACAGACTGAATATTCAGCATGAGCCCAATGTCTTTTGGTAGTGCGAATACGGGTCTCCAACTTGGACATAACTATGGGACCATCGGGACAATCAACATTTCATCCGGTATGTGTCACGAGTACTCGAAAAGCCGTAGTAAAGTGACTGACACGTAGGTCCAGACCGACAGGAAAATCCAGTAGAGAAGACAGACAACGGTTCGCTCCACCCTGTACCAGTTAAAGACAATCTGACTTACCACAGACGCAGAGCTGCTCAGGTCACTAGCATTTCCACAGATGCTAGATCGCAGGGATAATATCGAGCCATGTCCTACGAATACCTGCCAATGGATATTAGAGCTGGACAAGTATCAGTCCTGGAGGAATCAGTCCTGTAGTCTACTATGGGTTAAAGGAAAGCCGGGTGCGGGAATATCAACCTTGATGACCTTTCTACATGACAAACTCAAAGAATCACAGGACGGTATCCATGGTATTGTTCGACTCGATTTTTTCTTTACCGCGCGAGGCACGGAGATGCAACGTACACCGCTTGGAATGCTTAGATCGTTATTGAATCAGATTTTCGTCCGTGACGTGACCATACGCCCTCAGGTGCGCGATATCTATGAACAACGATGTAGACAGTTTGGGTATGGTGAACGCAAGTGGGAGTGGCCGCAATCGATACTGAAGAGTTATTGGCAACTGCTATCCTGGCATCAGCCAACGAGCAGCCTGTGATTATCTTTGTGGATGCTCTAGATGAGGCTGGGGCTGAGTCTGCCCAAAAGCTTGCAGCATATTTCCACCGTCTTGTTGATCGTGCTGACCAAAAGAAGCTAACCCTTCAAGTCTGCATCTTTTGTCGACACTACCCTATCTTGGAAAGTGCCCGGGCAAAAGCGATACATGTCGAAGACCACAATCAAGATGACATTGCTACATATATCAAGGATACGCTTCTTGAGACAGAGTTGGAAGATGTTCCTAATCAAGAGATGAGAGAGGTGCTGGTAGAGGAATTGACCCAGTATGCCAAGGGTGTCTTCCAATGGGCCTATCTTATAATGCCTATTGTCAAGGAAAAATTTATCGAAGGGGAGTCAATCAGCGATATCCGTGATTGGTTGGGCGATGTCCCAGTGGATCTAGAAAACGTCTACGTGTATATTCTGAGCAACGTGATCACGGCTAGGAATCGAGACCAATCATTCCTATTCTTTCAATGGGTATGCCTGGCCGAACGACCCTTGACTATAGTTGAAATACGATACGCATTAGCGGCTCAGAATGCCCAAATAACGTCGTCTCGAATCGAATGGAAGAAGCTCCATGGCTTTGTGGAAAGCAATGAACGTATGAAGCGAAGAATCAAGGCTCTTGCTGGTGGACTAGCAGAAGTAGTCTCAAGTGGGAATGACGAGGAAACCGTACAGGTGGTTCACCAGTCGGTCAATGATTTCTTGCGGGCAAAAGGACTGGCCCTTTTGTACCATAGCATCAGCGGGAGCGTGGGGTCTGGGGATATGAACAATATTCTCTCTCAGTCTCAGGCAACTCTCTACCGATCGTGTCTAGTATATCTTGCCACGATCTGTTCAAACAAACAAATAAGTAACTTTCGGGGATCAAAAGAGAAGCTTGTCTGTGAACACCCATTTGTGAACTATGCGACCATCAATCTCTTTATTCATGCAGACAAAAACCGCCAGCTCTCGAGGTGCCTTGCTGCAGAAGGAAAAGAATATTCTACAACGAATGATTAGGTATTGGGTTGAAGTCTACCGACACCTTGATACCTATTACACAGCATGTCCACCCACAGGCACAACAGTTTTACATATAGCTGCCGCTGCCAATCTGGTTGACGTGGTAATATCTGCGTTGTCGGATGAGGAGGATATAGAGAGGAAAAACGAAGTTGGAAATACAGCGTTACACTTCGCTGCACGAGCATGGCACACGACGGCCGGCAAGATACTGCAGGAAAGAGGAGCAAACCGAGAAGCGAAAAACATCGATGGAGCGACTCCTTTCATGGAGGCGGCCAGATGTGGACATTTGGGATTTGTTGAGTGGCTTCTAGATGAGGGCGTGGAGATTGAGAGAGGAGGTGGGGGCGCGCTACAAAGGGCTTCATTGGAAGGTCACAGTGCGGTTGTAGAGATTTTACTCGCGGCTGGAGCGAATGTCAACGCCCAAGGTGGTGAATACGGCAATGCCCTTCAGGCTGCTGCATTCAATGGAAGTGCTGAGACGGTCAAGATGCTGCTCGACGCCGGGGCCGATGTCAACGCCCAGGGAGGTCAATACGGATCACCTCTCCTGGCGGCTATCTATTCGGGCCATACCGATACTATTGATATTCTTCTTCATGCGGGTGCAGATATTGGCCTTTCAGATGCGCTCGATCAGACCGCTCTTCATATTGCAGCTTCAAAAGATATGGCTTACCTTCTCTTTCGATTTCCGCAACTTGCTTCAGCTATCAACAAGCGCAACAAGCTCCTGCAAACCCCCCCTTCACCTGGCTATCTACTTTGGCCACAACCACTTTGCTATGAAACTTCTTCATCTTGGTGCCGACCCTTCTCTTCCGGACGGCTATGGCAGGCATGCTATGGACTGGGCCATCGGACAAGGAACTTTGATGCGGGAAATACGTGAACGTTGTCCTCGGCTCTTATTGACACCTCACGAAATTCAACAGTCAACTGTACAACAATCCCTCTTCCACCTCTCCGATTATCTTCCTAAGCTCAGCACGAGCTATGCATGGTTGATTTTGCAACAATTAGCTCGGTATTTCTTATTTCTTGATAACACGACCAACGCACGCCATCTCTTTCAAATTCGCCTTTCTCATAATACCTCCCTTGCCACTCATATGTGCCAGGCTATCTGCAATTTCTGCAACATACCTATCACTGGTCCTCGTTTTATATGCAGAATCTGCGCGAATATGGATATCTGTTCTTCCTGCGTACTCAAGCACTCTTTTCATCACAGATTAAATCCAGATCAGAAGCACGAAGTTTTGAGATGCCTGGCCTGCCTGAGAAGGAATCTCGACTCACCGGATCAGTATCACAGCAATTGATTTACTTCCTTAATCAACATTCTTCTGAGCCTCTCGGGGAAAACAACAACCAATCTGAGATGAAGCTATCGAAAGATTCCTCATATTTACTATCACGGGAAATGAACGCTCTGGCTCTAAACACTTTGTTAAAACCGGTACTAATATTTTCTGCGATCTTGTTCGGGCTGCTAGCTATTTTCTTGGGGTCTTGGTAGTTTTAGAGCTGGTTTAATTATAAACTATTCTGTTTCTCGTTTGTGGCTAAGAATCTCCTGTGCAGCCTAATGCTCATGGTAGCTGTTCAGTAACATAGCCATTCCCTTTGCGTTTACGTATTTCAATATATATTGCAGCCCAATGATTTAGAAATATAGAAAGCATAATGTAGTAATAAGACGAAGGAGATAGTGATGAGCATATTACAGATGGCGGCCATTCACAGCCAGGTGTAAAGGCATACGAGGGAGCCGGCTCTCGTAGATTGGGCAGACGAGCTTGGTAGGTGTCATCATTCTCGAAAGCAGTGTAAGCTATCCCTTCTAAGCAGTAGATTCTAATGAGGAGCCTATTTATGGTGCCATTGTACGTTAGCTGGAAACAAAGAGGCTGCCATCACGCATAGGGTAAGAGGAGTATGTGTCTGACAGGCTGAGTACGGTGATCAGCAGGATCATTGGTCTTCTGTCAGTCCGAATTTGGAATATCGGCCCGTGCGGTCAGGTTGTGGGGTTGTTCAGGTTCTAAGATTGCGGGTATACGGTAGGATTGCCATTTGGACACGCCGCACGGAGTAGAAAATGACAAGCAGTCAGGTCCGCGGTCCAGCGTTGCTGCAGTGTTTGCATTGTTTGCATTGTGCCGGAAGGTTCCAGCAAAACTCGTATCTTCAATACACAAATAAGCATATGGTATGTAACTTATTTCTGTAAGTGAGTGTATACGTGAAATACCGGAAAAATGCTATTTTATTTCTTGCTCAAAAAGGTCTAGTGTAGCTTGGCATTTAGGGTTTAGGGAACAATCAAAGAGTGCGGGGGGGTGACACCGTTTTTGTAACGAACTGGAGTTGTTAGCCCCCAGTGAGCTCGCACTGGGCGACAGTCCTCGCCAGGCTGTTGGGACAATGGATTCATACCTTCTCGTGGTGTCCGGTGTTAATCCCCGTTGGGGAGACCAAAGTGAATCCGACGTGGTTGTGCGGTCCGGCCCGGCGCGGTGGGCGCGGGGCACGACCGCACAACCACACCAAAAATCAGGGGAAAACGGCATATGAAAACCATCCGACTTCTTCTTACCCGACTCGCACTCGGGCCCAGACGCTGGTCTTGCATTACCAGTTGAAGTGGTGTCGCCCTAGGAAGAAGACAGGACACCCCTGAGCTTGCATACGGTCTGGGATCGCATCGTGCGAGATGCGGCGAGGCGGTAGTGAACCAGCGACGCAGGCAGTCAAGCTAACATCGGACAGACCTCGTTCAAGGCCCAGAGGCCTCGTTAAGACTCGAACTCGTTAAGGCTCGGAGACGTCGATTACTGGAGACCTCGTTAAGGCGAAGCCACGGGCAAGCTCTGGTGCGGCTGTCCTTCAAGACACGGGCACCGCCGAGACACGGGCAACCCTCTTGGGAGACACACGGGCAATCTGGAAGATATTGGTGGTTGACTGATGGCAACTGATGAAGCTCGTTAAGGCTGTGCCACGGGTAAATCATCGGCCCTGTCCAGTCACTGGGGACCAAGCTTGGTTAGTAGAGAGCAACCGACATACACTGCCGGCTGGAGCGTATACGAGGGCTCTCTGCAAGACACGGTCGGCCTAGTGGAGGGAGACCTCCCTAGGTAACGCGAAACGAGAGCAACAGCTCTCGCGGGCGTGGTGTACAATGGCAGCCACTGTGGCAGGGCTGGGTCCTGCCAAGAGACTGTTTGTATAGCCCGAGAGGACGGATGCGCGTGTCGGTGTACAAAGAGACGGGAGTCAACTACCTCACTCGCACTGGGGGCCTGAGACTGACCTAGGTCGGTTGAAGCGGTGTCGTCCTAGTTGGCCTGCCCATGATGTATGCTTAAGGAGCAAACTAAGAGACACCCAGGGTGAGAGGCCTGGTGAACCTCAAGAGTCCAGAAACCTCAATTATCGGGTGAAAAACTGGGGTAGTGGTCTATGCAAGTAGGCCTGTCAAAGCTACTTAATGTCTTTTGGGCTGGACTCGCGCAGGGCTCACCGCTATCACCCATCCTATTCGCATTCTTCAACGCTGATCTAGTTGATCAACCCGTCACCATCCACGGAGGTGCTTCGGCGTTCATCGATGACTACTTCCGCTGGCGAGTGGGCCGGTCGGCCGAAGAGAACTTAGCCAAAATACAGTCCGAAGATATCCCCCGCATTGAGGCCTGGGCGCGCCGGACCGGGTCCTGTTTCGCCGCGGATAAAACCGAGCTCATCCACCTCACCCGGAAGAAAAGGGACCACCTGCAAGGCCAGATCGTCGTAAACGGAACAGTTGTGTCGCCCTCGCCTACAGCGAAGCTGCTGGGTGTGATTTTTGACCAGGAGCTACGGTGGAAGGAGCACGTACAACAGGCCATCAAACGCGCAACCAAAACCACTATTGCTTTATGTGGATTGCGGCACCTGCGGCCTGAACAGATGCGACAGCTTTACCAGGCATGCGTCACGCCGGTCGTCGACTACGCGTCAACCGTATGGTACGACCCGCTAAGAGATAAGACCCATCTGCGACACCTGAACACAGTGCAGAGAAGCTCGCTGATCCGCATCTTATCGGCGTTCCGAACAGTGGCCACAACAACCCTGGAAGTAGAAGCACACATTCTTCCCACCCATCTTCGCCTTCGACACCGAGCCCAGCGCACCATCGCCAGTCTTCACACACTACCTCGGGACCACCCGATCTGGCACACACTCACACGAGCCCAACGCCGTAGAAACAATACCGGATCGTATGCACGCTTCCCCTTGGCGGAAGCATTGAAAACCATGAGCGTCGAGAGATTGAACGAAGTGGAAACAATTGACCCACGACCACTACCACCATGGCGCCTCGACCCTTTCACAGACGTCGAGGTTGGCTTAGACCGAGAGGCAGCGAGACAACGCGCCGACGCCATCCGATCAGAATCAGATATAATCGTCTACTCGGATGCGTCCGGTCGCGATGGCCAGCTGGGAGCAGCCGTCGTAACAATAGACAACAACATGGAGGTAGTAGAATCACAGCAAGTCCAGGTGGGACCGATGGACCGTTGGTCAGTTCACGTGGCGGAGCTGATTGGCGTCTTTTATGCGATCAACATGATCTTCAAAATAGCACACCAGCAACCGGGGGCGGAAGACCGAGAGACAGCCGCGACAATCCTCTGCGACAGCAGGTCAGCCTTACAAGCAATTCAGAACACGAAAAAGAAGTCAGGACAACGGATTGTTCATGCAATTCACCACGCTGCCACTGAGGTCCAAGCCGCAGGCGTTACACTCCGCCTACAGTGGGTGCCAGGGCATTGTGATAACCCAGGCAATGAAGCCGCAGATCGAATGGCGAAGGAGGCTGCCAGCCCAGGCAAATCACACTCCTTCCGGCCGCTGCTCACAAGAGAGAAGGCGTTCATTCGTAGTAGTATCATCGCCCAGTGGGAACAAGAGTGGAGATCAGCCAGTAAAGGCGGCCATTTAAAGAAGATCGACAACACTCTGCCGTCGGTATATACCAGGAAGTTGTACGGAAACCTGACCAGGGGCCAGGCATATTTGTTGACTCAGCTACGCACGGGCCATAATTGGTTATCCACCTACGCCAAGCTCTTTCGTTTCCGCGAGGACGATCAGTGCGTGTGCGGCGCACAAGAGACAGTGACCCACGTTCTGGTGGATTGCCCAATCTTAAAGGATCTACGAAGGGAATTGAGGCAGAAAGTGGGGGATGCGTTCAACAGCGTGTCGAGTCTGCTGGGAGGCTCAAAACAAGGTGGGAAAGGTAAACCAGACACCGTCTCGAGGGCGAAGACGGTCCAGGCCGTATTGGACTTCGCCGAGGCGTCACAACGGTTTCGTAGTCGCGCGCCATCAGGGCAGCCTAACAGTGGAAGCGGCAATTAGGCCACGGCAGGCCGTGACGAGGCTCTAAGTTCGTTGACAGGAAGTGGGACAAACTACATGTACGTTCAGAGATATATATAGTTGAGGTAGCCTGCATATCACCGTCGAGGTGAGGGGTCAGGGTAAATGAAATCATCATCATCATCATCATCAACTGGAGTTGTTACCATTTGCGGATGCCTGACGTAGATGGTATCCACTTAGGCATCCACGCCTACATGTACTTGTTCTATCTCAGCTCCCTCCTTCTTCTTCTCCTCAAGCTATTACTTTCGTCGAACAGCTACTGTTTCCTTTGCTTCGTATGCTACGCCGTAAGTTGATCTCTGTGAGCATCTGAGCATCCTCACAGTTTTCCGGAAATACTGTAGTTGCTCGTCTCTCGGAGAGAATAACCGAGGCTATTCATACAATGAGAAGACCAAGTCAAGTTGATTTCAATCAACTCTGTTTTCGTGGGGACAATGCGGCAATTAATTCAAGTTCTGGTTTGATTCCTGGTCTGCACTAGCCTCATATCACAGCAATTTGTGTCCCTTGGACAATGACAATTTCATTAATTTGATTCCTCACAGCAGTACTCTGGTTACAATAAATAAGTATTTCAAACCAAAAATACGTGCTATTTGTATCATTATGGCGGACGATAGCGGCCATCTACTTAGAATCAAAGATTTGTACATGATGTAACATCATACTAGATTTCGCACAGTGGCGCCGCAAAGGTTTCCAACTCCTTGTTGACCACCTGGTCTCCGTCTTCTGAAGCGGGACTAGTCTCACCTAAAATAGAATACACAAAAGGACAGTTTATTCTATTTTTAGTAGATACTACGAGTAGTCCACTTTAAAAGGGCGGTCAATACTGGTGAGCAATAATTATTATAAGGGATGGGAAACTTTCGAAACCTTTCGCGGCGCCACTGTATTTACCGCATTAAGTAAGCTGGGCCGATGTCAGAAATTCAACCCCCAACAAAACCCGAGATTATGAAACTTTATTCGAGTGATTTGTGATCAGCATTTGAGTAATGAGGGGTAATTGTAGAACATGTTTCATATTATTTTTTTAAGAAAAGACTGGAAAATAGTAACGATAGCTTTCACCTCCAAAATACTAGGTAGAGAAGTAAAATTTGGTGCCATTAAGTGGGTGGCGGACAGGGTTAAGTGGCAAACACCGACATCTATGAGAGATTTAAACGGGGTTTGTCGGGTTTTGGGTTAAACTGGGAAGATGATCGCCTTCCAGGGGAATCGACGGGGCTCGGCCTTAAAAAATAGCGAGGGTATCCTTGGCTTGTGTCAGGCATTGAAGGACACTATGAGGAATCGCTGTTGCGTAACTTAAACTTCGCCTCTAGCTCTTCTTGGACTAGATGAGGTGTAGTAATAATGTTGGTACAGCTTCCACTGTTCGCTTTCTCTCTATCGACCCCTATGGCTGTTTGCATGATTAGCCATATGAGACACCCAACAAACTCCATCAAGACCCGGTTCGATCCATCGATTCCTCGACGTCCTTATTAATAAAATGGCCCTCATTTCCTGCACCCAGTGCTCGCGCCAATATATGAGCTATAGCGCTTATTTGCGACACGAGAAAATTCATGACCGTAGTCGGTGGCATTATTGCGAAATATGCAACCTATCGTTCTCTCGAATCGATGTTCTACGCCGTCACAAACAGGTTCACAATAATGCGAATCGCAATGGCAATAGACAGCGCTCTATACGAGCGTGCGATGAGTGTAGATCGAGCAAGGTTCGCTGCAATGGTGGCCTTCCGTGTGGTCATTGCATTCAGGGGGGGCAAGGAATGTTCCTATTTCATGAAATCGACTCGCCCGAGCGCACAAGGGTTCTCGGCGAGCCGCCTAGAGGCAACCCATGATCTATTTGTGTCTACTGACGACCTCCGTTCCGCACGAGATACAATGCCGTTATCACTATCAACTCGCAGTAAGTGATGACCTCTTGAGGTCCTAGCTGATCGAAGACTTTGCTAAAGCATTTAGTCTCCGCGACATTAGACGTCTCCGAATGCTTTGCACCTGATGCACTGGACTTTGTGACCGAAGTTGAGCAATGTCAACCACACAATCTAGGTGATTCTACTTCACAGCCTCAAAAGCTTTCGGATAATGCAGCACCGAGTTCAACTTTCGATAAAAGAGATCGAACGGACTGGGAAAACCCTGCCATGAGAGAGGATATGCCAATAACCCTGTTTCAGACTGATACGTCCCTTTCAAGGGAAGGATATTGTACTGTGGGAATGGATGTGTCAGATGTGAATCTCGCTGCTCGGGGATTTCCCTCCGAGTTCGAATATTCTCTTATTGGAAGCGACCGGGTGACCGGTGGATCACAACAGCATCTCATTATTCAAGACATCGTGCATGAAGCAGCTGCAGACTTCACAGTTGTTCCAGTAAGGGATGCAGTCACTCGCAGCTATAAAAGAAGGTCTTTGTCAGAAGTGGTTGAAACTTGTTTTGACCTCTCCAGCGTGGCCCATGAAAGCTCAACACATCTTTTGCACAGTTTTATCACTTCCTTCTTTGAAAACTTCTATGGCCTCTGGCCAATATCCTGGCGACAAGGCTTTGATTATGACTCGGTTGAACCTTTTCTGTATTTGACAATGACCTCCATTGGCGCCATGTACGCTGGTTCTTCGCATGCAACTGCATATGGCATGGCTGTGCACCAGGCATTGCGCCCAATCCTTCTTAACGCATGTCTGACATGCCCCGAAAACACCATCAAAATGGAAGAGATTTTCGAAGCTACCATCCTGACAGAGGTAATGTCATTGTACGTTGGTAAATTCCAGGAATCCAAGTACATTCGCGAAGCCAGGTCTATTCTAGCACGCTTTGCGCAAAGGGCAAGGCTTTTTACAGAACTCACTCATCAACAGGGTTCTGGTTTTTTTTTTAAAATATGACGAAAATGAATCTGAAGAGACCCTCGCCCGCTGGATTCGCATGGAGAGAAGACGGCGGCTGGCCTTTTCGTTTTTGCGATGCGAAACTTACGCCAGCATTCTGTTCAACACGCGACCGCTGGTTTCGCATCACGATTTTGACTTGAAAATACCGTGTAGTGAAGAACTATGGACTTATGTCGGCCCAGACTGGCGCGAGAAGCTGTTGACCGCTTCTCAGGGGGCGAATTCGTACACAATGTACGCGGACTTCATCCGCACCACAGTGGACGGCACATTCGCAAACTTTGAAGCACTTGATGCCACATCAAGTGAGCTTATACTTTGCGGACTACAGGTGCAGTTACAACAACATTCTAAACAGAATAGCCATCCAACCTTGCCTTCCCCCCTGGACTCCCAAATTATGAATCCTCGGCATCACTCCGAATTCCCGTTTTCAGCTGACAGGATGGTGCAACAACATCCGTCCCCTCGAGGTTGGACCGACTATTCGAACTCGGATCAATCTTCAAGTACCGTGATGTCGCTCAACCTTGTTTCGAGTCAAAATCCGTATTCTGCGGAAAACCAACAAGCTTCTCAGTTGTTAAATAGCTGGACAACTATACAAGATATGCTTGATATCATCTCTCCGCCGCATCACTCATCCCCTGAGCCCTGGCTCCTTTACCACCTAGGATGTGTTAAACTGCACGCTGATATCAGTGCTCTGCAAACAATATTCTCCTGTTTGGGGGAATCTAGGAGCGAAGCGGAAATGCAAGCCGCTGAAAGGATAATAATATCGTGGGCATCCAGCCCTGCCGCCAGGGTCGCACTACATCATGCGTACCAAATATGGCATCTGGTAGAAGGCAATGTGCAACAAAATGAGATTAATGACTCGTTCAAATCGACTCAAGATAGTCATATCTTATTTAGTATCTCTCTTTATTACGCGGGCATCATCATGCGTGCCATGGCTGATCTTTGTCCCGAGATAGACTTTGAGATCTGGCGGCCAGTGAATCATGGAGTGGGGTTATATCTCCCAAGCGGCGATATTCACGCTGTGCTCAAAAATATCGGTGCGATAGCTCTGAAGCTGAGTCTTGTCTGGCAACCCGTCTCCGCTCTCATCCAGGAAACAAAGATTTTATCGCTGAACCCAATGCCGATTCCCTCGGTTTCTGATCGCGTTGCTGATACATATCAAGAGTCAAACAGACTCGGTTCGTGTTGGACTGGTAGCTTGGGTGATAGGCTGGACGGACTCGTCGATAAGTTTTCCATTCCATAGGCTCCCCAGGCAGCCGCATTTATCTAGCTTGAAATAGACCTTTGCTTCCTTCCTATTACCACTACTATCATGTTCAAATTATAGTCATCGATATGCCAATGTCTGTCTTGCCTACCACTGTAAGGATCATCATGATGCAACCTTGGATTCTAGCGATAGAATCTCCCTGCCAGACTCCTGTGATCATATAGATTTTTTTCCCTTGCCACTCTATGCTCCTTTCAATTGTAGATACGATTTTAATAAGCTTCTGTCAATTTTTCGACTCCAAAATGAGCAGAAGTCTGGTCACAACAAAAAGATATTCAATTCCCCCTCAGAGCTTCGTCAAAGCGCAACATTAAACGACTACATCTAGTTTACATATAATGATTGAACCAGCTGAGTGCCTGCACGAAAGCCTGCTCCTTCGCAACCTTGAAAGCTTTGTTACTCAAATCGGTGCGGACAGCGAATCCGTGTGAGACACCACCATGGAGGCTAATATGCCAAGGTTGACCAGCCTTATTGAGAATATCCTCAGACTCGTGTCGGAGCTGGGCGGTGAAGATTTGATCGATTTCTATTCAATATAATTAACTATTTTTGCGATAAATCTTAGGAGTGTTTGAGAAACCCAAACTTACCTGCTGCAGCGATGGTGAGAGGACCAGTAATGCCGCCAAGTTCCTCATGAGACACAAACGAGGGGTGGGCCAGATAGCCCACATCAAGCTTCTTGTCCTTCGAAAAGCGACAGACATACTACAATGAGCAGGCCGGCATTAGAAAAATGTCACTCTTATCTGCAATACTAGCACGCTTACCTTCGCACCAAAGCAGTAACCGGCCCCAGCGATTTTCTCTGCGCCCAGTTCCTGTCTGGCATACTTGATAGTAGGTTCCATGATGGGGTCAATGTGTGTTGGTTGATGATTCTTAATCCAATCCTTCAATTCAACCTATCCGGTCTCCATGTCGGCATGCGTGAGAGCATCCTCTTCAATATATCCGGAATGAGTGCCAAGTATCCATTGGCGGCAAACTCATCCGCGAGGAGCTGGCTGTTGATATAAATACCAAAAATATCGCTCAAGATGATAATCACTTTGGAGGTCTTCGTACCCACAGGATGACATATGTATGTGTTGACTGTAGAATTAATAGGATAAATCAACAGCTCCTTCGTACTTTGGGGGAAATCAACTCACCACCTTCAATTTTCCTCACCTCCCCAAGAGGATTTCCCTCGTGTCTAATGCCAGTAGCGCAGCAAGCACCAGGGGGGGTTGGATGCCATCTTAGAAATCGAAATCTATTAGATAATAGATGAAATAGTCGATCAAGTTGAGCTCGCGATAGAAAATTTGCCATCCTATATAGTTGGTCGTCAGCATATGAGATCTGCCTTGTAAATCCGTGCAAAATTTGAAACTTACGTTCTCAGATATCGCTGTCCACTGCAGGGTACTTTATAAAGGATGGCACCTGATTATCTTCAATCATGGGCAGGTAGCTTATGAAGGCAATTTGTAACTCACATTGCTCGCAGTTTGAACCACTCCAGGCCCTGAAAGATTCGTTCAATGATTTCGTCGAGGAATAGCGGAACCGGGGCTGATATCGAGCATCTTCCGAGTCAGCATGATTCTAAATGAATCGGAAGCGACACTCACTTGCTGTCTGAAGACTTTACTATCGAGAAATGTTAGACTATTGCGACATAAAATAGGTCAGTCCAGTTCATTGCATGATTTGGAGGTCAATCCATACCAAAGAGTAGCCGCGGAGAGAAATTACATTCGATACTTTTTCACCCAGAATCATAAATGAATGCCTACGAGCGACTGTCCTGCTGGCGAGGGACCGGGTACATATTTATAGCATTCCAGCTAGGTGTTTAGTCTACGTCAATGAGATAATCATTGTGAATTGTGAGTGCTCAAGCTCAAATTACTCTTCAATCATGTGAGATACCGCTTTTTTAATCGATAGGCTGATAAATTATTGACGCCCTTAGTAGGTTTAGGTGGGCATTCTGTCAATTAGACAGCCTCGCTCGATGTCGTCATGAGAAAGCTATAGAAAAGGCACTCGATTCTTTGCCAGTCAATCTTCACGAGACATATGATCGCATGATTAAAAGCATACCGACAGAGTTAGAAAATGACGCGATACGCCTCCTTCAATTTCTCGTCCACTCCGAGCGACCACTCAAGCTGAAGGAGGCTAAAGAAGTAATAGCCACACATATCGAAACAATCCGAGAGGATTTGACATCAAGCGTCGGTTATTCTGCGAGACGGATGTATTAGATTATTGCCCCGGCTTAGTGACAATTGTTCAGGCCACGGATAAAGAGGTACAACTTGCCCACTTTTCGGTTAAAGAGTACCTTCTCGGCCAAAATGATTACCAGAAAGCGACTGCTAGCATTGCCATCACAAAGACGTGCTTGGCCTATCTTGCGGACATTGACTGTGATCATAGAATGGTCCAACGGAATTTTCCAATGGCCAGGTTTGCCGCAGAAAGCTGGACTGGTCATGCTGCATTGGCTCAGGACTCCGATGATATAGTTCGAATAACAGTTGAGTTTCTGGAAGATGAAGTGACATTCCAACGATGGGGTCGTTTGTATGAGGCTGATATAATTTGGCTCGATGACGCTGGTCCCCCACAAGGTTCCAGACTGTACTATGCTTGCTTCGATGGTCTCGTAGCGACCGCAAGGATTCTTATTGGCAATGGAGCGGAAGTCAACGCGCAGGGGGGCAAATGCGGCAACGCTCTCCAGGCTTCACTTGTCACCAGCCTATACACCAGTTTACTCTTCACCAGCCACTCTTCACCAGTCACTCTTCACCAGTTTACTTCTCACCAATTTAATTCTCACCAGTCATTCTTCACCAGTCACTCTTCACCAGTCACACTTTACCAGTCCATATTTCACTAGTGCTTCTCAATAACCCAGATTTCAATGACCTACCTTTCACCGCTTCACATCTCACCGGTTCATATCTCACCACTTCAATTCGCCGGAATAGGCAACTTCCCGACAGTGTAGGTATCTTTACCAGTAACGGTACATACTTTACCGGTATTTCAATTGCATTACGATTTATTTCCCGGACACGCTGTTTTTAATTGTGACTGTATATTCGTTTTCCCGTAACCATCAACTTTGTTTCCAAACAGCTGTATAGACATATTCTGGAGGGCCCTTGTTACGAGATACCATACATGCCCATATGTAAATACATTCTACAGGAGCTTTTACATGGAATTAATCAATATACGATTAGGATTCAATTGAGAAATGCGAAACTTCCGCTACATCTGAAATATGTGCGCTAGACTCCCCTCTTGAAAGGCTATTTGCCGGCGACACGGAAGAAAGGTGTCTGGGTCGCTCATTTTTCCTCTGGAAAGAGCGAGTGATGAAACGGTGTAGAAGCACGATACTAAAAACGGCAAGACTTCCTCCAATCACAGTCATGAGAATCAGTTCTATACCTTGTTTGGAGATACGTGTTGACCAATTTATACGACTGGATACTGGATCGTGCAGCCATCGGGTTGATGTCATGAGGGTAGATGTAGAGGTGTCGTCTTTCGTACTCGTTTGTACTAGCGTGGCTGTATCTATCGATGTTGAAGACTGAGCGGAGTGGCCTCCATGTTGATTGGATATAGAAGCGCTTCCCCAGACCCCGTCATTCCACCAGATTGTATGAGGTTGCGTCGCAACAGAGAAACTGCTTCTCAAGCCTTCTTTGCCCTCAAATATTACACCTCCAAGATCTCCTGTCACCTCATTGGAAGGTCTGGATATCAGCGAAGGTTCAGGATTCAACCAAGATTCTAAAAGAGATGGCCCCAGAGTATTCAATTCAATTCAATTCAATTCAAGATTCTATAACCTAATTCAGCCACACTTTCGAACGTAATAGCTATGTAGGCGTTCCCTCCATCGGGAACCAGAACCATCCTAACGCCACGCCATGGTAACAAAAGACAAAGGAGATACGGCGTCTTGCCATAGAAAAACAGGTAATAACTCCCACAAAACCGTAACGAAACTCCCACAATGAATGTAATCGGCTACTGCCAGCTCACGCAGCGCCATGCGGCTACTTCCTTCTCCGCAATCTCCCCTCCCCCGACACATGGTCATGACCTTAGCCACGCCCTGGTTCCTCCTGTTCATGTTCTTCCTCATCTGAGCGTGTATCGATTCCTCAGACAGCAGCTTCTCGTTACTGCGGCCCCTCGTCTAATCCATGTACACAGCGTCTTCACCTCCTAGTGTCCCTCGCTAGTCTCTTCTAGCATCTCCATGTTCAGTTCGTGTTCAATCTCCTCCGCGTCCACATGACGGAACTGCCCAAGGAGACCGGTTTGGTACATGAATTTGGCCACGTAGCGGATGGCCTGCGAGTCCGATACAATAGCGTTGTAATCGGTTGAGTTCCCCAGCTCCGTCTTGTGCCGGAGCTCGCTGAGCAGTGTTGCTCGGAGGCCAGTGTATAGCGGGCACTGGAGGAGGATGTGCTGGGGGGGTTTGGCTCCCCTCCTCGCAGTGACACCGACCTCGGTTAAATTCGTCTTCTTATTCACCATCTCCTCGTCGTTGAGAGACGTATTTGTAGAGGAAATGCCTCAATCCGATACGCTTTGTTCGCATCTGTATGACAATGGACGTGTATGGCTTCGGCAATCCCTGGTACAATTTTAACACCTTCTTGTGCGGCATCTCCATCAACTTGTGGTATTGGACCGCCACCTTGGTCACCTCCCATTCCTTCATCCCACGCCCCTTCATCCGTTGTCGGATCCATCTTCGCGCAGATGAGGCCAGTCGGATATCGGCACCACGATAATCCGCCCCACTTGGGTTCTCCGCCGCTAACTTTGCCTCAACGTCGGCCATCTCGTTGCCAGGTACACCCACATGTGCGGGGATCCAGCGGATCTCAATGGCAGTGGGAATCGGACTGCATGTGGGTGTGTAGGATGTGGGCAGCGATCGGAGGGCCCGTACGTGTTCATAGATTTGACGGATCACGTATTGGCCTGAGGATCGCTTCGGATTGGCAATGGCTTGGATGGCGGCTTGACTATCGGCGAAGATGACCAACTTGGTCGCATGAACTTGACTTGGCTCCAAATCTGCACTTTGGTTGGAACTTTCCCAAATCCCTGTGCTCTGGCGAGAGCCTTCCGTACTTTGGCTCCCACCTTGAGACTCTTTGATAAACGCAGCGAGCGCCATCTCGACGCCGTTCAGCTCTGCAACGTACACCGTTGAATCCTCGGTGGTTCCCAGATACCGGTTCAAATAGATGCTCCCCTCGGCTCCCATTGGGCGGAGCGAGACCGCGGCGGCACCAACATGGCCCTGATAGCCACTGCCGTCGGTGAAGAAGATCTCCATTGGCGGCTGCTCCGGTATCTGATACGCTCGGAGGTGTGGTGGAAGCATTCGTTCTATCCCCCAGTCCAGTAACTGTCTCTGGATTCGATCGTGTGCGGCAATAGCCTCTTCCGCTGATTCCTCTATCACACAGGTGATTTGGGGTTCCCAGGGCCGCAGTACCCCTGCTACGCGGGTCTCCCACGCCCCGTTCGCGGGTGTGAGGGCATTCAGAACCTCGTTCTTCTTCCATCGGAGGGCTTCCAGGGGGCACCAGCCCCCAAGACGGCGTTCCTTAGGCTCGCGTCGGCACCGAAGCGTAGCCGGTTGCTCCCAGGTTGGGCTGGTTTGGATTCGAATAGCCGTTTCCTCAATGTTCTGCTGCATTTGTAGATGGATGGGCAGGATGTAGAGCTCCACGTCGAGCAGGGCACCGCTTGATAAACCTTGCGCATGGAGAGCAAGGAAACGCCCCATGTGGAGCCGGTGATGCCCCGGAGGGCTTCCAAACTGCCGTTGGCCTTAGCGATAGCGTAGTCCCGGTGTTTTTGAAATGAGAGGCTCTTATCGAGCCAGATTCCTAGGTATTTGGCGTATTCCGAGGGCTTGACCTGGCCCCCGGAGAATAAAATTGGCATCTGGTCGTGGCCCTGCGGGTAACATGCGTCTAGGTCGTAGGGGTCAACGTCCGATGGGATGCTGGTAGCCGTATTTTGTTCTATATTCTGTTGCTCCTGGGGGTTCCTGAAATGAATGAGTTCAAATTTGTCCGGTGCAAACTTCGCTGCGTGCCGTTTCGCCCATTGGTCCGCACGGCCCAGGGTCTTCTGTAGCAATTGCGTGTTGGTATAATAGGATTCCGATACCACTACGATTGCCACATCGTCCACCCATCCAAAGCCCTCGGTGATCCCATCTCCGGTTTCCTTGCAGCAAGTTTTGACCAGGGGAGCGTTAAAAAGCAGGAATAGGATAGGGGATAGTGGGGAACCCTGGGGATGCCGGTAGGTGTGGGAAACGGTTCGCTGAGGAAGCCCGGGAGCTTGATGCGGGTGCTTCGGTTCGTTAAGAAGGCTTCGACCCAGGGCACAAAGAAGCCAAGGCCCAGCCGGCGCATATTCGATAGCAGCCGTTGATGGGAGACGTTGTCGTAGGCCCCGGCTACATCAAGCAGCACCATAGAGGATTGCCGGCCTCGTCCCCAGGCCCTGCGGACTCGATCGATGATCAATTGGATAACATGATCGATCGAGATACCATTCCTACCACCCAGGTGGGTACCCGGCAGCAACTGGTGTAGTTCCACTGCATCTGAGATACGTGTGGCAATGATAGATTCCAGTAGTTTCGCCATCGTGTTGATCAGGGCAACTGGCCGATAGGACTTCGGTAATCGAAAGTCCCGCGGACCCCCCTTGCGCAACGTGACAGTGATGGATGTCTGAAAGCAGCTCGGATTATATCCCGTTCGCATACATACGTCGAAGATCCTGGTGACGATTGGGGCAAAGTTGCCGCAGTTGGCCACCAGGACCTTCCACACACGGTTGGGGATAGCATCCTCGCCTGGTGCTTTGTCTGGCGGTGCTCGATGGACCGCATCGAGCACCTCTTGTTCAGTGATTGGTGGAAATTCGATCGCAGGTCGGTGATAGACCCTACGGCCCGGGGCGAGGTCCGAGAGATCGGCCTCCGGGGGTCGTGGAAAGAAGGTTTTGCGGAGAAGCTCCACCTTCCCCGCGTCATCAGTGGCATGGGCACCATCCGGGCCCTTCAACGGGGGGATGACACCACTGCTGCCGCCCTGCCGATTGCGAGCCCATTTCGACAGTTTCCAGAGCCCTCCTTTGGCCCGGCTGGCCTTTCGAACCCACCGGCGAAAGCCCACGCTTAGTGCTTTCTTGATCGTCCTTCCCTTGTGGTTGCGCATCGATGCGTATATTTGATGAGCTTCCTTCCTCTCCTCCTCTGTTTTCTGCTTGCTGATCTCTCGAAACAGCCGTCGACATGTCGAAATGGCCTCGGAGCATTCCTCCGTCCACCCTTCTTTGGCGAACATGGAAGGACGTGCCCAGGGCACGGCGGTCTGGATGCCCTGTTGCACCACTTGCAACAGGCGTTGCGTATCGTGTTCGATCTGTGGATGGTTGCCTGGGTGTGGGTGCCACGATTGAAGGTTGTCGTTCACAAATTGGACCAGTTTTGGCTCGTCCATCGCCTTCCAATTGCGGCGCAGCACCGGGTCGTCGGCCACCTGCGTCTCTACGTCGACCAGGGTGTGGATGGGGAGGTGATCAGAGTCCGCATGAACCCCCATTTGAACTTCGCAGTTGATCATACGGGTTCTGAGAGGTGCCGATGCGAGCACCAGGTCGATAGTTGATTCTGATTTGCCGTCCATGCGTGTAATTGTCCCCTCCGGTAGCCAGCTGTCGAGTGCTAACTTCTCCATCAAATCTAGCAGCTCCTCTGCCTCCTCCTCCGCCTTCACCCCCTCCCTTCCCCACCACGGATGGTGCAGGTTGAAATCCCCCAGTATCATGAGTCTGGAGCTGCCGTCTGAGTGTTCTGGAAGCACTGCCGGGAGCAGATGCAACGCTGCGTTGCTGGTTCGGTCGTTGTAGGTGTTCAATATTCGCAGGGTGCCCGTTGATGTAGTGATACTGAGTTCTTGCAGGTCCTTGCTGTGTACAGTGTGTACCCATCCGGTGAGCTTTTTTGAAACAAACATACAAACTCTCGCTCTCTCCTCCCCCTCTCCTCCTATCTCCGGGTATAACAGTTCATGTGTATCTTTCGCGGGATAGTGCGTTGTGTTGCTGAATGGGTTCTTCCAGGGCTCCTGTAAAGCAATAATGTCGGCCTCGATGACGGCTGGGTCGCGCATGAACTGGGCCATGACGATATCCTTCGATCGATTGACGTTGTATTGATAGATCGCGATTGGTTTGCCGTGGTGGTGAATCTGCTGTGGTTGTCGATTATTCATTAGAATCGGGGGTAGGGGTGTTAGTTGCCTTGGTTTTGGTTGCTTTGATTTGGCGTTGACGCAGACTGATCCTGGTTCCTCGGTATGAGAGCTCCGACTCGCTCACAGGCTGCTTCCGCTTTTGGCCCCTGGTGGTCATATCTGGAAGTGATGATGGCTGATAGTTGGTATCACTCCGGGCGAGGTCCTCCTTAAGTTGTTTTTCTGATTCTGTGAAGTCTACTTCCCCTGCTTCCTCTGTCTCCTCTGCTTCTCCAGTCTCTTTCTGATTTGCGCTTTCTAGTTTATTGATAAACCTCTCAGATCGTCTACCTGCTCTCTTTCTTGCAGGCTCGCTGCACTGTTTCTGTTTCTTGGTATTGGGTGGTTTCTGGGCACAGAAGGTAATATGTTCCTGACTGTTGGAGAATGCAATGGATGGTTGTGCGTTGAGTTGCAGCTCGGGCACTTCCACATCCATCATATCCTCCCATTCCTCTTCTTCAACAGTGGTTTCCTTGGCTTTCTGGGGCTTTTTCTTGGTCTGCTTGGACCGCGCCTTAGACTTTCCCTGGATTCCACTGCTCGTTCCAGCTGCTGGCGATGTCCGATGCGGTTCGGTCACTCTCCGTTGAGTTTCCTGCTGTACCTCAGACACTGCCAGCTCTAGTCCTCCTATTTTATCTTCCACAGTAACTTGTGGAGCCTTCTTAGTCTGCTTAGATGGCGCTTTTGCCACAGTTTTCTTTGCAGATTTTCCCTGGATCCCACTGCTCGTCCTGGTTGCACTGGTGCGTTGCTCCCCGTTACTGGAGCGTGCGGCCGATGCGACAGCGCTACCTGTCGTACCGCTGGTTGTTTCTTCAGTTGATGACACCTGCGGTGTTCCCATAGAGCTGAGTGATGGCAGGGGCAAGGAGACCGAGGGTTCATGATAGCTGAACTCAGCAGGCACCGGGTGAAACCGTGGGCGTTGCTTGGCCGCAGCCGTCAGTCGATCGATCTCTGCGACCCTCGCTGGACACTCCTCACTCCATGCTGCGTGTGCGCCCCCGCAATTGGCGCACTTCCAGCTGTTCTCATTGTGTTTGTGGGAGGTGCAATCTCGAGATTGATGCTCCCCCGTGCAATACACGCATCTTGTTTTATCGGCACAGGAGGTTCCTATGTGTCCAAATTGTTGACAGTTGAAGCATTGTCGCACACGGAGACCCCTGTCATACAGGAGCGCCTGATACCGATTCGAATCCCAGAGCACGCCCTCTTCGATAGCTTTGTTCGCTGACTTGGGGCTGCTGAATTCGAGGATCACTGAGGCCAGCTTTGCCCCCTCCTTCGGCACCCGCAGCCAATTAATCTTGGTGATAGTGACATCCTTCCCCCAATATCGGGAGTTCTCCGCCACCATCGCTACCGCAATGCTCCCCTGCGCCTCCCGCAAGGCCTGAATCGTCGGCTTATCCACCAAAGAGCGTACCTGTACACCGTGCACGATGGCCCCCCAAGTCGGCATGTGGACGAAGGCTGTGGAGCCGAAGCCCCTGACCCAGATGTCGCGATGCAGCCGCATCACCTGGGCCTCCCGGGCGTCGCGCACTGTGAGCCGGAGATCACCCGACTTCAACTGGCGAACTGCCTTCACCATCACCGTGGCCAAGGTAGCGGTCCGGGTATCCTTCGCATACTCCGCGCGTACCTTATTGGCGTAATCTTTCATCTCCTCGGATGGCTTACCGCGATATCTGTTCACCTGGTCGCGGCTGTTGAGGCAGATGATCACATCCCGGTCACGTGTTGTGATCGGTGCGGCGGATGTGGCATTCGATGATAGGGGAAGCGACAGCTGATGAGCTGGCGCTGGCGCGCGCGCAGCTCCCTGGGCCCAAGTGGCAGTGCCCATGCGAGATGGAGGCTCCGTCGCTGCCTTGACAGCGTCGTGGATCTCCTTGGAGAGGTCATTGCGGAGGGACTGGAGCTCCTGCTGCCAGTCGTGCAGGGGGAGCAATGAGAGGTCGTTGGTGAGGGCTCGAACGTTTTCGAGGAGTTCCCGCACCTTGTCTAGTTTCAATTGGGCTTTTGGACTGCTATTGAGTTCCATCAATAGCTCCGTGGCGTTGCGATTGACGTTCTGGACGCGTTCTCGATTCGACGGCAAATTCTTCAACGCGGCGGAGACGCCCCCGGAGGGACGCGAAACCGCCTTCTCCACGCGCGGCACCGGCATATTGAGCTAGGCTATACAAAGCTAGGCTCAAAATGTAGCGCGTGGAGTTATTTAAAACTTGCCGAATAGCATAAGTTGCCAACTGGCGTGGTTCCTGAGATATAACAAAAATTCGATTTGCGTCTTGAGTTGTTGTTCGCTACAAAGGACGGTAGTTACTAAAAATCAAACTGCGTATAGATTATAAATGAACTTAGAACTTCTGAAAATCTAAGGTTAATCGTACGAAGGAAATTGCTTGCAGTCAGGGTAGGAAAAATCACTTGCTGTAATGGTTACTAAGTTGTCAGGCTAGAGACCTGTGACTAGGCAGGGATATCGGATAGTAGAGATCAGATTGGACAGTTGATACACAGACTGATTCTTGAAGAGATCAAGAATCCTGAATACTTGTGGGATCTTAAATACATTAGGGTTCGGGTGGGCCTCGATATGCAGGTAACTCGAAGGGGATTCGGCTTCGGATCGGCGTCGAGTGTCTGAGGTGTTGTATACTCGGAATCCCGTGACATCAAATAGGTTCTTGGCATGGGTTTTGGGTTGAAGGTTCCAACCCAAAATGGGTTATGGCGATGTCTACCCGTGACACTTGCAGTCAGGGTAGTGGGGCGCATTCTGCCCATACTTAAGAATAACTTACCGCCGTGCAGTCAGCCTGACTGCACCAACCTTTTTGGGATAGGGCCCATGCCCCCGGCGAGGCCCCATCTCCCACCCGCCAACTGGCGGGCCTCACCCCCCGGCACGCTCGCCGGCCGGCCCCCGGTGCCCCCGCCCGCCCGCGCCGCCCGAGGAGGGCCGGCTGGCCGGCGCAGGGCCAGAGTCCGGCTGGGGAGCCCGCATGCCCTCGCGGAGGCGGCGCGGGGGGGAGCACCGGGCACTGGGGGTGGCACGCGGGTCACGGCGGGTACGGGCCCCTGGCCTGACCCGTACCGACATGCCCTGCGCGTCACTCCCGCCGCCCACTACCCACCCGCGCGGCCCCTGCCGCGGCGGCGCACTTCCCAGCCGGACCCAGCGGGCCCGGTGTGCCTTTCATATACTCTCCGACCATCGTTGGGGGGATGCCACCCGTGCAATCGTTCCGTGCCCAAAACGCAATTAGAATACGGATCCTGTACTATGGGGCTTGTATGGAGGTGGTCCGTGCGCGACATTTTGCCCATAGTAAGTGGGCCTGTTCTTATGCGCAAAACTCGTCGTGGGCGGGACTTAAGAAATTTTGGCCCGCCGTTCGGGGCCGCCAACTGGCCAGTCTCGCGCCCCGGCGTCCCGTGGGCCCC